TCCACCGCGGGGCACAAGACCACGCGGATATACAAGATCGCGCCGAACGCGGACGCGGACGACATGCGCGATCGTTTTGTGCTGTTCGCCGAGATCGAGTGGCACGTCCTCGCCCCGTCGCGGTTCCGTTTCGACGGCAAGGAGGTCACCGCGAAGGAGTACATGCATGGACCGAAGATCGGGATTGGGTGGTGAGTCGGATTGTGTACCGTGTCCTTCTTTATAAATATAGACTGCTTGAGCTATCTGACGCTGCAGGCACCGATGCTTCACTGGGCCTGATGGAAAGCCGTACAGGTGGGAGGCGGACATCAAGGCGTGGATATGCAAGGTCTGCCTGTTGGTTCTCTCCTCCCGATTCACTGCCTGATGATTGTGACCATTCGCAATCACGCACGGCTGACGCTCGACGACGGGATGAAAAGCTTGATCGCCAAGTCCCAGCGCTCGGGCAAGGGAGCCATAGGGAAGGCACAGCACGCGGGCTTGGAGGTGTTCGAGGAGGGCCGCCACATGCTGGGCACTATCGTGCTGACGTTCGTGTACATGCTCAAGATGTTTCAGGAGTACGAGGGCTCTGTGCATTCCTCGATGCTGGGTACTTAGTCTGCTCTTCGTGCTGAACGAAGGGAAGTTTGGCCCATCTAGCGTTAAGACCAGCCGGTGGATGATATGTCGTGCTAGTAGAATCGATGATCGACAAAGCTTGCAAGTAAACCAAACTTCTAAATATTTCAACACATCTTTCCCTGCTAAACATGCCGGGCCACCGGGTTTTGTGACCCGTTACGAAGATATTGGGTATCCGGTATGAAGTACTCGAACCAAACACGCTGCTTTCGTCTTGGCAATAAGCAGCATCATCCATCCGCAAAATTAACGTTTTTAGTGGATTATTATCCATGAGGACGGCGTAATAGCAACAATGACTACATTATATACAAAGATCAGGAAAGCAAATGACAGTAAGGTCCACGCTCATAGTGAGCTGGATGGTGTTTTCATGGCAGTAACCTCGCAAATGACAGTGACACCAATAGCCAAAAGAAAGGAAGGAATGCATAGTCTATGGAGGCGTTGGGCAGGGCACATTGAAAGCGGGCGACGGGCTATGCGCGTCTCATGAGTCGCTCCGTCCAGCAACATATTCGTCCATGTCCTGGTCCAGCTGCTCAACGGACTTCTTGACGCGCTTGGGCCCCTTCTTCGTCCGGAGGCGTCGAGGGCCTGAAGCTGCACTTCCGACCCTCACTTGTGGGACCGCGCGCGCTTTCGTTTGTCTAAGGCACTCTTGTCAACCACCGAATACCGAGAAGACGTATTCACGCACAATGTCCCATTGACGGCGGGCACGACCCCCACCGGCGCGCCAATTCGCGATGCAATTGACGGATTGGCAGGCTTATTGATGCCTCCAATCCTGTTCAGCAGCGTAGGCGCGGACGGAGCGGCGGGCGTGGCAGGGGCGATGGAGGTGGAGGTGGAGTCGACAATAATCTCAATCTTGATCGGACGTCCTAAGTAGTCGCGGGCGAATATGGTTGGAGAGGGGCGCTTGCACGAGGCCGGCCCATGCAGACGCATGGGACGACATGGAAAGGAGGAGACTTACGACCGTCAATGTACTTGCCGTCGTAGCGCTGGCGTGCGACCTGGGCGTCGGCGGCGCGCTGGAAGGCGACGACGGCCATGCCTTTGGAGCGGCCCTGGGAGTTGTAGATCATGAAGACTTCGCGGAGGGGGCCGACGGTCTTCTTGAAGAGTTCCTGTTTGGACGAGGAAGGTGGATCAGCTGTGGGCCCATAGACGCACGTGCGGGGTGTGGTAGGTGGACGTACCTCGACCTCTAGCTCTCCTACGTCCGTGGGGAGGCGGCTGAGGAGGATCTTGCTTCCTAGTGATGAGGTGCCATTTGCAAGGTCTGGTGCCTTTGGAGGAACGCCGCGCCATGCGGGGGCAACCTGACCAGCGTGGTTTCCGAGAAGTTGCTTCTTGGGGCTGTAGTAAGAGTTGAAGCGTACAGGTGGGCCGCGTGGGTGGGAGTTCATGGCTACGTCAAGGTCGTCAAGTGTTCTGTGCGGGAAGGGAAGAAGAGGTGGAGAGTGTCGATGCCAGTGCCAGTGCCAGTGCTCAGAGGACGTGCAGGCGCGGCGGGTCTTGTTGTGGCAAACACGTGCACACAGAGGACGCTTTCCATTTTGGGGTAATCAGTCGGCAGACACCTTCCCTTTATGGCGATACAAGTCCATCAATGCCCTAGCGGGTTGCCGAGCCGAGCGCCGCAGATAACCCAACCCGTGCCCTACAATTTATCCTCCCCTCCCCTTCCATCACCACACCTCTTCCTCTCCTGCCAGGCCATCCCGAGGCCCATCACATCCCTACGCAAGTCCAGGGAAGACATAGAAACCTAAAAGACAGCGCCAGGAGCAGCGACAAAACTCAGGGTCGACAACGCTCGTCGTTCACTTGGTCATGGATCCAAATCGGGCATCGGCGGACCAACAGAAGGACTTTCTCTCCTTCCTCTTCACCGCCGACTCCTTCCCAGACGCCCAGCGCACAGACCACCACCAGATCGACCTCCTCTCCTCATCCTCTTCCGGTCAGCCCCCGCGCACGCCCTCCAGCATGGCAAACTTCTCTGCCGCCGCTGGCATGTCTGGCCTGAACTCTATGGACATCATGAATTCCATGAACAGCCTGCTCCAGGGCATAGACCCCGCCCAGCAATCTCAGCAGGGGCAGTCCTCGAATATGGGCATGAACATGTTTGGCCAGAACCAACTCACACCCCAGATGCTACTCGAAAAGCAGTATAAGCTCACCCAACTGCACCAGCTGCAACAGCTTCAAAGCCAGATACAGAACCAGATCTTCCAGCAGCAGGTCAGTCCGCGTCTCTTCTGTGCACTTGCTACGTGCAGCTGCCCCGCACATGGTTATCGCGCATTTGCGGGCGCCATTTCGGTCTTGATTAGATCTTACTGATGCTCGTTGGTCCAGCTCGCGCTTATCAGCGGACAAGCCTCGGTGCTGAACCAAAACGAATCTTCCACCGATGCATACCCTACACCTGGTACGTGTTTTTTTCTTCTTGTTTAGCCCTCCGGCGTCATTACGTTCCGTGCTCCAAACTACAAAACTTTTTCACTCATCCTTGTTTCTGTCCACGCAGTCTCTTCCACGGAGCTCCGCCCAACCCCGAACCACGAGTTCATGCCCCGCGTCCAGCAACAGCAGCAGCAACAACAACAACATTTTGGCACCATGCCTTCAATGCAACAACACCAAAAGGACATCTTCGCACCCCAGTCGACGATGGACCCCTCCGCATTGCAGTCGCCGCACATCCCACCCTCGGGCAGCTTCCACCCCAACCACCACTCGCACGCACACTCGCACCACTTGCACCCCGGATCGGCATCGGCACCCGCCAATCTCGTGTTCAACACCCTCCCGTCGCCCTCGGACATCGAGCTCGACCTCTCGCCGATCACGAGCCCGTGGCTGCCCGCTTACCAGCAGCATGTTCCCTCGACGTCCTCCGGCTCCGCGTCTGCATCTGGATCAGGCGCCGGTGCAGGCTCGAGCGGCTCCTCCGTGACGCGCGCAGGAAACAAGCGCACAGCGTCACCGAGCGGCGAGAATGCGGCCACGGCGCGCAAGCGCATGAGTCCGTCGGTGTCGACGTTCCCCAAGAAGCACCATCTGCCGCGCGCTGCCAAGTCGGCGACAAATACGCCGCTGATGCACGCGACGGGGCGATCGCGGAGGAATAGCAGTGCGATGACGGCGGCGATGGATATGCCTGGTGCGGCGGACTCGCCGTCGCCCGTCGATCTTGCGATGCCGCCTCCTGCGTCGCGCACGCGCAGTTCGAGGACGCCGCCTGGGGGTGGGGGTGTGAATCCCGGTGGAGGAGGTAATAGAGAGGGTGGGGATCTTCAGGCTCAGGTAGATGTGGCGAGGTCGGCGATGACGCCTGTTACGCCTGCGAGTATTATGAACCTGGGCCGGTTGGGGATCAGCAGCAGTTTAACCGCTGGAGGGCCGGCGGACGCCGGTAGCGGGAACAAAGGCAAGGAGGGCTCGAGAGCGAAGGAAGGCGCCTCGGCTGCGGCTTCGACCTCGACCTCGACCTCGATCTCGAAAGGCGGCTCTTCCAAGAAGGGCTCGCTGCCGCTCATCAGTCCCGGGCCGAAGCCCATTCTTCCTGGTGAGTCCCCCTTTCCGCGTTTTTCGCACCAACATCCCCCGTATCGATGCTCACCATCACCTCCGTACGTTGAACCAGCCGGCGGCACCCCAGCCCCCCTCACGCTCACGCCATCGCCCCTCACGCTCCCGCGCAAATCGCACAAGGACGCGGAACAGAAGCGGCGCGACTCGCTCAAGCACGCGTACGACGACCTGCGCATCCTTCTCCCGCCGCTGCCGCTCCCGTCGGAAGACGGCGGCGGGGTTGGATCAGGTGCGTTTGGCGACGCGGCGCCGCTGCCGGGCGCGCTGCCCCCGCGCGGGCCGCCGAAGGCGGGCGGGGACGGGCCGAATCGGGCGGTGTCGAAGTTGCAGCTGTTGAGGTGCGGGAACGAGTATATACGGTTGTTGAAGGGGAGGGTGGAGAGGAGGGATGTGGAGGTTGAGAGGTTGAGGAGGGAGGTGAGGAGGTTGAGGGTGGGTGCGGGTGCTGAGGGTGGGGAGGAAGGGATGGACGGGATGGACGGGGAGGAGGAGGAAGAGGTTGATTTGGAGAGGGATTTGGATGCGGAGGAGGCGGGGATGGGGCTGTTTGGGAGTGGTGTGAGGCGGGGGGATACGATTGAGGAGGATGTTGAGGAGGAGGGGGAGTGACAATGACTTGGGTGCTTCGTGGGTCATGACCTGCCATCGATCGGTTGGATTGTCTTTGGCGGGTTGGCGATGCTGATGTTGTATGAAGACGTTTTTATGTATGGGCTGCTTGGGAGCTTTGGGTCTATTGTTTTAACTTAGTGTCGATTATTTTTGTTGTGCTATGTTTCGCTGCTAGAGCATGGATTTATGTCTTTTATGAGACAGCTTTCAACGTCCTGATGATGTTTTTGAAAAAATGCAAGTCTTAGCTTCGGTAAAGGAGCTCGACGGCGCACTAGGGACGTCTAAAGTTGATGACATAGACACACATGATGTTGTGGTTTGAGTTTTTGAACATACCACTGTATCTTCGCAAATCACTCTTACGTTTACGGGCCACAAAACCCGGTTACCCGGCGCCTACCCCTTTACTCGCACCACTCATCAGACTCTGGGCAGCCAGCAGTTTGAACCTCCCCTTCACTCCACCATGGACTCGAAGCTGCTAACGCGTAAGTATCGACCTCCTCGTGTCACCCCGCCCTCCTGAACACGAGGCTCACCTTCGACCGCTCCCAGGCTTCCTCCCCATCGCGGTCTTCGCTCCACTAAGCTACTTCGGCAAACAGGCCATATTCTCCAACCTCGAGCTCACCCCCGCCCCGCAGCTCCTCGAAGCCTCCTGCCCTGCACTCCCGCTCCCGCTCGCCGTCGCCGAGGCATCCCTCTTCCCGAACCGCCTGCGCTACACAGGCGTGCGCGGCATCGACGACTTCACCTGCATCATCGTCACCTTCTTCCAGCAGCTCAGCACGCGCGCCGCGCGCCCGCTGCTCGCCGGCACGCTCATGCCCCTCCTCGTCGCGAGCGTGTTCTTCATGTGGGCGGAGGCGGCGCGGCGCGGCGCGCCCCGCGCCGTGCGCCTGCCGACGGTGTTCTGCGTCGTGTACCAGGTTGTGACGTTCGCGCTCACGATGCCCGTGTACTGGCTTCTATTCACCGTCAGCGGCGCCGCGGGGCTGCATCGCCGGATCCCAGGTGCAGCCCCGGCGAGCGGGGGAGGCGACGACGCGCACAGGCCGGATGGCATCATCACCCGCCGGCGCGCGGAAGCCGCCGCCTTCGGCACGCTCGTAGGCTGCGCACTGCCCACGCTCGCCATGTTCACACTCTCCTCGCCCTACTGGACAGCTTTATGGCAGCCCTTCCCGCTCCTCGTCGAGTTCGCGCGCGCGCTCTACCTCCTCGTTCGCCCCTCTACATCCCCCACCGCCAACGCGCCCCCCAAGGCCTCCTCGCTCGCCAGCGCAAACGGGCATACGACCGTACGGCGCGCGTACCAGCTCCTCTTCTTCGCATGCGCCGCGCTCTACGCGTTCTACATCTACCCGCTCCTCGCGCGCCTCGACGTCTCTGTGCTCCGCGCGACGTTCCTCCCCGTTGTGCAGCGGGCGAGCGCAGGGAGCGCCTCGCTCGAGGACGCCGCTGTGGATCTCATCAAGCGCGATTTTTGCTTTGGCGGCGGGGCGACACTGCTCGCGAGCCTGTGGTGGGCGGACGGGCCGGCTGAGGTCGCTGCGAGCGTCGCGTGGTTGGTAGGGGGTTCGGTGCTTCTCGGGCCGGGCGCAGCGTTCGTGGGGATGGCGATGTGGAGGGAGGGTAAGATCGAGAGGGCGGTAAGGGCTGTGAAGGCGGGTATTGAGGAGAAGAAGATCGATTAAGCGTTTAGCGAGCTGTAAACTTGTGGTGTAGTAAAAGGATCTTTCTTATGTTTAGCATGGGGCTTCTCCCTGACACCATGCTCCTCACAATGAGCACCCCCAACCCACGCTCAGCGACATTCACAAACGGCCACGGCCAAGCTCTACAAATGCGAGACGCCCTCCACCGCGGGGCACAAGACCACGCGGATATACAAGATCGCGCCGAACGCGGACGCGGACGACATGCGCGATCGTTTTGTGCTGTTCACCGAGATCGAGTGGCACGTCCTCGCCCCGTCGCGGTTCCGTTTCGACGGCAAAGAGGTCACCGCGAAGGAGTACATGCATGGGCCTAAGATCGGGATTGGGTGGTGAGTCGGATTGTGTATCATGTCCTTCTTTATAAATATAGACTGCTTGACCTATCTGACGCTCCAGGCACCGATGCTTCACTGGGCCTGATGGGAAGCCGTACAGGTGGGAGGCGGAAATCAAGGCGTGGATATGCAAGGTCTGCCTGTTGGTTCTATCCTCCCGATTCACTGCCTGAGGATTGTGACCATCCGCAATCACGCACAGCTGACGCTCGACGACGGCATGAAAACCCTGATCGCCAAGTCCCAGCGCTCGGGCAAGGGAGTCATAGGGAAGGCACAGCACGCGGGCTTGGAGGTGCTCGAGGAGGGCCACCACATGCTGGACACTGTCGTGCTGACGTTCGTATACATGCTCAAGATGTTCCAGGAGTACGAGGGCTCTGTGCATTCCTCGATGCTGGGTACTTAGCTTGTTCTTCGTGCTGAACGAAGTGACTTTTGGCCCTTCTGAGGTGGAACTGACCAGTGGATGACACGTACCGGTAGGATCATGATCAACAAAGCCTGCAAATAAACCAAACATTTTAAATATTTGAATACGTCTTAGAGAGAGAGAGGTGGAGCGCGGTGGTTTGCCCTCAAGGAGCGCACGGAAGGCGAGGAAGCTACTGTGTTATATGCCAGGTGAATCAGACTGGATTGTCTGCTGTGGTGGCTCCGTGCTGGGCGTCGTCGTCGTACAATAGTCGGAGGTCGAGCTGCTCTGATTTCGCGACAGCTGGTCTGGTGGCAGAGGAGGAACAAGTAAAGAGCCAATGGTTCCTGGGTTTTCCGTCATGGCCTAGTAGGGAGGAAGACAGGTGTTATGGGAAACGAGCCTCAGAAAGATGGTGACACATGTGCTTGGAGGCCACTGCGACCCACTGCGAACCAGGAGCGATCAGGTCAATCAAGCTTCACGCCTAAATATGTTCACTGAGCAAAACATAGGAAAGCAACAAGCTTGTACTATGGCAAAGTTAGCACTCAAGTGTTGTCGGGTGCAATCCGGACGCGCGTGTACCAAAGTTCCCACGTTTCGGCGAGCTTCAGCCTCAGGGGCATCATGGTCCTCGATCCCCATCCGACCATGTAAACGCTCTTGACTCGACAGAATGGTTCATCTCCATCGTCCCCCTTCGTCCCCACAGCTCGAAGCTAGTCGATTACACTCGTTATTGACAACATGGGTGAGTACCCAACCGCTTAATCGCGTCCGTCCTCGCCCACTCACACACCCCGCGCATCAACAGCAGAAAACCAGAACCAAAGTCCTATCGCGTCCCTCGCGACGGAGACGCTCTGCTACATATTCGAGCTCGTGAACAGCGAGACTCGATGGGAGATCCCGCTCAAACCCGACAACCCGCGCCTCTTTCCCTTTGCGCAGGCTCGCGTCTGCCGTCACTGGCGGGACGTCCTCGTCACTCTCCCATCCATTTACTGGAGGAAGATCATTGTGCCACTCGATGCGCCTGTCCTTCCGTCCTCAGTTGCTGCGTACGTCGATGCTTCTGGCAACGAGGAGAGGATGGAAGTTCATCTGCTATCTCACTCTGCTACCTCCGAAGCGGAGGAGGAGCAGCCGGTGCTGGCACCCCAGGCTGAATGTCAAAGGGTCGACACGGCAATGCAACACCTCGCACCTCATCTCGCGCGCTTCAACACTCTGTCCATCCACACCCAATACCGCTCTGCCGCCCTCGTCGCGATGAAACACATCAGTGCTATAGGCAACGCGCGGATGCTCTGCACCCTCGACATCGTCTCTCGCGTGGCGGACACAACCACTCCTGCCTCTTTCGCCCCGGGCCTCACTTTCCCATGGCTTGAAAGCATTGCGATCGACACGAGGAGCTTCATCGATTGGGTGCACAGCAAACCCAAAGTAGGCGGGGGCGAGGATGAAGAGGACGAAGACGATGAGTTTCGAGACACCCCGTGGCTGGCCCTCAAGCTCACATCCTACCGTCCGACATCGGGTCTTTCCGGCTTCACGTCGACGGTGCTCATCGACACGATAGATGCGTTTGCTCCGAAGGGCAAGTACAACCTCTACCTCGAGATCAGCGATGTTGCCTTCGATGACGAAGATGCAGCCCGGGCTGCTAGCGGGCTACGTCCGCGCCGCAGCACAACTCAGCCCAAACCCAAGAAACTAGACCAACTCGATGCCGTCAAACTGACGTCCCTCGACTACCCGTTCCTCAAAGCGTTCTTTGACCGCTACGAACCCGAACAGGACTACCTAGGCGACGGCGGGCGCTACAGGGTCATACTCTCCAAATGCTCCATTACCGGTCCGCTGAGCATCCGTGTCACGCCTGGTCTCGTCCTCGACCGGATCGAAACCCAGGAGGAAATCCTCACCGCGCTCAAGGCGTGGTCCGGCGCCGAGCTCGAGATCATAGACTGCCCCGCCTTTGACGACGCCGTCATCAACACGCTGCGCACAAGCAAGCCGGTGCTGGGGCTGTGCAAAGAGTTGCAGTACCTCTTCATCGTACGGTGTCCTGACATATCGGCGGAGGCTCTGCTCAAGCTTTTTGACGAGCGCCAGATGTGGCTTCGGAAGATGCATGTGTATGCGGCTCCTCGAGTGCTCGATGAATGTGAGGAGGAAGGGTTCAGAGAGCTGGTTGAGGATCTCAGTTGGACCAGAACGGATTTTATCACCTCTTAGGCTTGGCTCGATGGGGTACGCCTTGACATGCTTTGACTCGCGTATGATTCAGATCGCAACACATGTACGGCCCCATCATGGCGCTATACGCACCATAAAGACCTACTCAATGTGCTCCTAGATTACCTTTCTTACGACCCAATGGACTTTCTTCCGTCAGATCTATACTGCCACATATTCAAGTTCGCATAGTAGGAATCGGGATGGGAGACGGTGTGCACCCGCTGGCTGCAATGACCTCGCATCTCTTCCTCCCGGCGACGCGTCCGATGGGATAGACGCTATCTCACTTGATGCGCCAGCCCTGCCGTCCGTGATAGAGGAAGAGGCTTACATCTCTGCCCCTGCGAAGGAGGAGGTGCTCAGGGTGCACCTCACGTCGCACCCGTTCTTCGCTCGCTACTTACCCTCAGAACGCTACTCGGTCTGGGACGACGCTATCTTCCTCACCCTCTCCTACTGCGCCGTCGACGCCCCGCTCCACATCCGCACGGTGCCCGGCCTCCGCCTCTCCCACATCACCTCCGGCGTCGACGCGCTCGCCAACGTGCTCATGAACCGGACTGATCCCGAGCTCAAGATCGTCGGCTGCCCCGCGGCTGTGGCCGACGACGTGTTCCTTGAGCGGCTGCGCGCGGCCGGGTGGTGTGAGGTCCATTGTAAGGCGCTGGGGTACCTCAGGATCGGGCGGTGCCCCAGCGTGTCACCGGGAGCGCTGTACAGTATAGGCTGCTGGTTGAGCGGGGCATTGTGCGCCTGAGGACGCTTGTCGTATGTGAATTATGTCGGCCGATGGAGGAGTGGGAACGGGAAGATTTTATGGCTTTTGTAGTCGTGTGACATCGCTGGAGGGGTATATTTGCTTGACGCCTTTTCTTGGCTGGCTGGTCACTGAGAACGTTAATATCTGAGAGATGTTGGTGGGCTGCTAGAATTGTGTTCGTCAATCTTGTGCGGTGGTGGTGGCGGGGGTTCATCGTAAACCATGTAGGTAAAAATTTCTTCGTCCGGTGGAAGATCCAGCCCTCGGCGCACGGAAGCTGCCTCTTTCTCGCTCAAGTCTGCCCGCGTCACCGTCTCATCAGTCCCCCTTTCCTCCCGCGACGCATTCGCAAACCTCCAGAAGAAGCTGGCGAGTAGCTCCGGTGCCAAGGTCCAGTCGAACCGTCGCGAGACGATTGAGCCTGCACGGTCCTACCGGACCAAGCGAGCGTATGGTCCGAAGACGAAGATAGAGAAGGAGAAATTTCGGTACTGTGAGCCGAGTTGAGCGATGGCGTGGGCAAGCGCTCTCCCGCGAGTAAGCGTGCCCGGCTCATCTTCGCATTCGAAAGGATGGCTGTCGAGATGATTGAAGAGTTCCCCGTCGGAGAGCTCAACGGGAGGGTCCTCGAATGGGTCGTCCTTCTCGCTACACGCGACTTCTATCCAAGTCTCCATTCTTGAGATGTCTGTGTCCACGTCGAGAGGGACATTGATATCATAGACGGCAATGGCTGGTTTCACTTTTTGTCTGTACACCCGCCATCTTTTGTCGAATGATCCGGTTGTTTTGCAAACCCTGAGACTCCCGACGAATGGAGTAAAGGCCTTAAACTACGGAGAGTGGTTGTTGGTATGAAGGACGCAAACAGTGACCGAAGACAAATTGATGATGGACGTACAAGGGTGTCACAAATTTCCATGTTCTCACTCCCTCCTTGGCCTTCACGCCCTTCCCCTATTAATGAGTTGAGGTTGAGGCTGGATACGTCGACTTGAGGCACAGAGCAGGAAGATGTCGGCAAGAAATCGTTCAAGAACGCGTCGACTGGCATCGGCCAGACGAACTTGTCACTTGCATCTGAAGTCAAAATCCCTTCGAAAATTCCGGGTGGAATTTTCTGGCGTGAGGGCTTGCATCCCTTTTCGGAGTGTCTTCTTCGACCAGGTTGTTTCGGTGTCGATATATTAAATGCGTGGTTTAGTGGCAAACCTGTAGATCTGGGGTCGTCGTTGTGTAGGTCGAGTGAATGGTTGCCAATCGGCAGGTTAACGCAGACATTGGCTTTCACAACGCATTTGTGTTTTGCTATGGAGAGCAGGAAGAAAGCAAAGCCTGTTGGGGCTTTGCCATGGGAGCTGAATGAATGCGCGTCGCGTTGCGTCGCGGTGAGGACGCAGGGGAAATGGGAACTTTTTGGTATCGGTGTCGCCTCGTGTCGGCGGGTGTCGGCGGGTGCCGGCGGAAGTTGGTTTCAAAATAGCGACGTCATTGCTGCGGGATACCAAGGTTAAGACGCGTGACGAAGTCGCGTCTCGCTTAGCGTCGCAGTCCATACTCCAACGTACTTTTTCGACGCCCCAGACATTCGTGCTTGGGCTGGATATAATTTTTGTAGCCACCTGCGTCGTCTCCTCGTCTTGTTCTCTTTTTCCCCTCTCTTCTCATTCCTCGCGTCTCTCTCTTCCTATTCCTTGCGTCTCTCTCTTTCTAAAGCAACCTCTACGGCTCATAGGACCATCACACCATCTCTTAATTAACAACACCTAGTGATACCCATGGCACCCCGCAAGAAATCTCTGCCAAAAAAAACACAGACGACGGCTATGTAATATGTCCGTTGTGTCCAGAGGAGATGTTCCTCTACCCAGCGATTGTTGGCGGTAGGAAGAGTCCCCATTTCGGCCTATGTCATGTCAAGGTACATCTCCATCTTATGCTATGTTTCCCTCACGTTCTGGTTACCTGCTAGTGGTTCAAGCCTGCGGCAAACGATAAGTGTATACGAGGCAAGGCGGATGTAACGGACTCACTTTCGCAGGTAACATGGACGACCTTAGCGTACTGAATGCCGTGGTCGAGCGTGAAGGCGACGGCTGGTCTTGGTCCCTTTACGAAGTTCAGAGTCCTTGTGGCAGTTCGGATTAGAACAGTTCAACGACTGAGGATAGATGTTGATACATGTTATGGCTATGATGTCATTCCGGCGGTCTGAAACAGAATCTGATGACTCACCGATCCCTTTCTTCCATCCTGTCTCCTCTATGTCGCCCATCATGTTGTTGAGTCGTTGTTGAGGTGACGACATATGCCATATTGTATTCTTGAGGCCAGTCCACAGAGTGTTGAGTAGAGGGATCAAGATGCGTGTTCGGCTAGAGAGCCAACTTGCGTGCGCGATGGGGATGACAGGCGGAGCGTTGGCAGAGCTACGTTTGCCTTGCTGAATAAACGCGCGAAGTCCTGTCGGAGCACACAGCAACGATCGACGAAATCGAGTATTTGTGTGAATGAAATGGAAGAGAGGGTGGGACAAGTTGTCTGTGACAAGCTGGCTGAGCTCTCCCAGAGTGATATCGTAGGACATTTTCTATAGCGATATCAATATAGAACAACTATATACTGAACATGCAGGCGATAATAGTCTATATCGGGGGCTGACGCGTCGTTGAGCGCGATCCCGTTACGGGCGCTTGATTTCCCGTCACCGCACAGCCACCGGAAATCGCCGACACCGCGCGACACCGCGCGTCACCGACACCGCAAAACCGCTCAAATCACCTGCAACCTGGTCGCGGTGAGGACGGCGGGGAATCCAGGACTTTTGGTAACGGCGTAACGGCGCGGGCAATTGGTGACGGTGTGGTAACGGCGTGGTAACGGCGGGAGGGACGCGCGGCGGCTGGGCACTGCCACCGAAATCAACTCACGTGGTATGACGTGTCGCGATTCCAGCTAGTTAGAATGCCAATGTACTTATCCGTTACCCCAGGCATTTCACCTGGGCGAAATAAAAATGGCGTTCTCTGCTCGTTCTACTCTTCGTCTCGTTCCCTCCTTTTCTCTCTTTTCCCCTCCTCATCCGTCTCTACTACGCCCCCACTAGACTCTCTATCTTTCATTCAACGACAACGCCTAGCGACACCATGCATTGGAGCTTCATGAAGCCAAAATACCTCGACGACGGACGGTGCTGCTGCCCTATCTGTGATGATGTGACGATTCTCTATCCGACCGTGCAAGGCGACGAGGAAAAGGGCAACTATGGGCGCTATTATGTTTCGGTGCGTCCATTGGTGCATTCTTCGTCTGTTTGTTTTATTCATTTTGTACGTTAGTGCTGCAAGTCGCATCAATGCGGCAAGTCCTTCTACTATGCGTGGCCCAACCGCAAGGTCCCCAAAAACGCCTTAAAGGATGCCCGCCTTGCAACAGGCACTACACCTCTTCCCTCGCCGCTCCCATCGTCCTGCTCTCTCGCTAGCCTTACAGGAGGGTCTCAGCCTTCGTCTTCTACTGTTCCACCCCCTACACAGATGTTCAAGCCACCGGGAAAGTGTCTTGTCTTGAACTGCAACCAGACCACTCCTACAAAGGGGAGCATTTGTTTTCGAACGTGGTGCTGTGCTCATTGTCGCAAGGACGGTGGCTGCCTGGGGTCCAAGAATCATATTGTTGACCCCCTCACTTCTCTCAGCGAGCCCCTCGACGTCTCGGCGTCTCTTGCCCTCGTCGACCCTCAGCTCACCTCAACACCACCACCTTCTTCGCAAGGTTCGGTAGATCATCCACAACCCGCCTCTCCCGACTTCGTACTACCTGGCTCCTCGTTCCTTCCTGCTCGTGTTCCTCTCTCCTCTCCATCTTTGACGGCGCCCCTACACCTGCCATCGTCAACGGCACCTTCGTCTCTCGAGCTGCCTGGTCCTCCTCAATCTCTCTCTGGATCGCGGCCTCCTCCTGCTCCTTCGCAATCTTCTGTGGTTGCTGGGCCATCCCAACGCGTCTTGGTGCCTCTCCAGCCGCCGACAGTGCACTTGGGGCCGAAGTGGATGGGGATCTACGAGTGCGATCGCCAAGACACTGTCATGAACGCGAACCTTGCCTACGCGCAGGCCAAGCGTGAGGAGGATAGCCAGAAGGATATGCACCTCATCGTGTATGTAACGGTACATTTTTTCTCATTTTTTTCTAGTGGTTCAAACGTTCTGATTCTATGGCTATGTGATCGTAGAATATTCTATTTTGCCGTGCACGGCTTCGGGGATCCGTAGACCTTCCTCAGTGGCCGTTTTTCTCTCTGCAAGACTTCTTCGAGTCGGAGCACTGGGAGCAAGGTCCACCCTGCGCAGATGTCCATACTGTCGCCAACTACAGCATCAACTCGGGCAAGTGGACGAACTGCTCTGTTCGGATGCTTCACGACGTCGACCAGGGCGATCTTCTGATCTTCAAGTTCCCCGATGTCGACAGCCCTCAAGGCCTCTTGTCTCATCTGAGCGACGAGGAGCTTGGCCCACGGGACGCTATCAGCCATATTACCCTCGAGCGTGCCCGCGTCCGTACTATTGCTCCCCTTCAGGCCCACGAGCGCAGGACTGCACCCCCGAAGCATGCTGCTCCTCCGTCTTCCGAGGAGGATGTCGTGGACGCTGTGCATGTGCGCTCACCTCCTGTCAAAATCCCCTGCCCGCGCTCAGTTAAATGTGCCAAACGGCTACCTCCCCTCACCCCAACTTCCTCACCTGCCTCTTCTCCCTCCTTGGAGTCTCCCGAGTCGCTCCTCTCCCTTGCATTTCAGGGGATTGACGAGCACTCTGCCGCCCTCGTAGCTAGCATCGTCCTGCCTAGGACACCAAATGCTGAAGACAGGGAGGGCTGGCTACCATTCCCTGAGCCCTCAGTACCCCATCGACGCGGACTCGACACGAAGTGGCCACGAGCTTGGCACGTCAAGAACGTTCTCGACGGTCTCCTTCAAGTTTTCGGCACCACGTACCGGACCTGTCCGCCTCCCTGGGCATTTGAGGCCGTGTTTGGCGTCCCGTACAAGCGCTCTACTGTGCGGGACGCCATCAAGCGCTTTGCGTCGCTCACTCTCGAGCGACGCCTAGCGCTCTACTATCCCAAGGAGCTTGGTGGTGGTTCCTGGAGCAAGGTCAACGACGTGGTCAAGCTCAAGGCTCCGAAGCGGGCAGCATCATCCAAGAGGGTAAAGAAACCCGCCGCTCTCAAAACTAACAAGCAGAAACCCTCTATCAAGACCGAACCAAGCGATGACAGCATCATCATATTGTCTAGCAATCCCTCTACACCTAGCACTAGCACTTCTACTCGTCGCCCTCGCCCTCGCCCTCGCCCTCGCCCTCGCCCTCGTACCGTCGAGATCATTGAGGTCTCAAGTGAGCGGCCAAGCGACTCAAGTGATGGAGATCTCTTGGTCACTACCATACCTCCTCCTCCTCCTCCTCCTCCCGTTCCTCCCACTTCTCCTCCCCGGCGTCTTCGCCCATTCCCCATGCTATTGGAGCAAGAACAACAAATGGATAGCGGTAACGGCGAGTTTTTCGACCTTAGTTCTATTCATTCGGACGACGATAGCGATGTAGATCCTCAGTAGTCACTCATTTGTTAGTTCCTTGTATTTTCTCCTCGATTTGTAGTACATCATCCACATGTACATATTATTGTATTAGAACCCGGCCCTTGTTGTTAGTGGTCGTTGACCGCCTTCTTGAACTTGTTGGAGATCTTGAGTGCCTCAGAGAGCTCCGTCACGTTCAAGTTGACGAACACGGAGTCGGTGTCGCCGTATACGACGGGGCTAGTATAGCCTACGCAAGTGTGAATGAGAATGAAATTGCATATTGTACACTAAAGCTACTCGTTCAAGGAAGAATAATTAGGATGGTGGCCCTTCACCCGAAGACGTTCGACAACGTCAATGTTGCGCAGACGAATCATCTCGTCGAGAAAGAAGTTGTAGCGTACCGACATCATCTCTCGAACCATAGCATGGTACGAGCCCAGCCAGACATTAACCTGCTCGGCAATGCTGGTGTTGAACCACCAACCAGTGCCATCCTCCTTATGAAGCTCGGGGAAGAGCACAGGGTTACAGTTGAGCTGGCAGAATGCGTGGGTGGTTTTATGTTTGTTGAGGAGGTGAAAGACGTCGACGGACATTCGGACCGTATCCCACCAAGGGTCCTTCATCGCCTGCTGCTTAGCATCGCAAGCGGTGTCGTAGATCCAATGCTCGGGCTTTTGAGCCCCGGTATGCTGAACAGTTTCTTTACAAAAAACTGCGAATAGTCGTTAAAATCGAGTAAATTACGGGTTAGGATACGTACCAGGACGTTGGAAACTGCCTCAGCACCAAACAGAGTGCCCCGACCAACAATGACCCCGCACGGACGGACAACCGTCTCCTCACAGCAGGAGCGGCGTCGCGAGAGATGTATCTTGAACCGTTTGGTCGTCTTGTCAGGGCAGTTTGCGGCCTGGACCTGCTCATCGGTAACGCCAACGTTGGTTGGGTTGGAGTCGACGTGCTGGACCATATTACCGTTGCTGTCCAGTTCATAGAACTCATCTGAATCGTCAGGGAGGGACGCAATGAGCTGTGAGCTCAACACGTCGTCGCTGGGTCCATTCTCGGGGAGAGAAGCTTCGGGCCTTGAGGTTTGAGCGCGTGCGAGTCGAGACCTGAGAGCGAACATGCTCTTTCCCCGGGCACGAGTCTGTTCTTCCATTGATTGATGCTCTACATCAGAGCATGTATGCGTTGTTGTCAATGTTCGGTTGATGGCGTCCTTGCACCCTTCGACGGCACAGATGCCCGCTTGATCTTTGTGCTCAGCGCAGAAGTGGTCGGCCATCGAGCCGAGATCGTCTGTGCACCGGAAAACTTTGCAGATGTAGTGGCCAATTGTTATGCCGTCGCTCACTGCTACTTGACATTTTCCTAATATATGGAATGAGCGACGGACTGTTGATCATGAAGGTGAAACATACGATATCTTCTCCCACCGTCAGCCAAATCCTCTCTCCACACCCGCATACAGAGGTCACAGTAGTGACGTAGTTCATGTTGCCCGAGTCGGATGATCCTTTCGTTGCGTTCCTTCATGGAAAACTTGAAGCGGTCGCGTTGTTCTCCCTTGTGCGGAACACGAAGGGGCACCTTGCGGTCCTTGGCGTCGCGAAGGAGTGCGAAGACCGTGAATGCGGTCCACACTTGTTCTTGATTAAGCGTAGGGCTGAATGGTAGGTTGTGCTTGGTGGAGGATAGGCGAGGTCGAGACCAATAAGATGAATCAAGATGACCGCCATTGCGAGCAAAGGTATGCTCGTATACACTGGCACTACCTGTCGCAGATGTTCTAGATAGATTATAGATCAGTACGAGTGTATTATGCAGATAGTAGCAAACGTACGCGGAATATAACATCGCGTTCGTCCAGAGGTTCGCTAGCCGGGTTTCGACGTAATGGTGCATGTCGACCTCGATGAAATCGGGAACGCTGAGGTAGTATCGCCTCTCCTTGATGGGAACAAGGTTCCCTGCGTCATCGAGGACAAGGGCAGGACAAACGACATAGTTGGGGTGGTACTCCCAGCCGCACACTACACATCCAAAGCCGTTAGTGAATCGAGAGACCGAAACAAATGTATCTCACTGTCGCATGTAAGAGTGATCGATTTGGCAAACTGAACGCCATCCTCTATGGTGAAGGCGACACAACGTCTGGGTACGAGCTGACGCAGCTCTGATTTCTTGGCGCAGTTGAGGTTCTTGCAGAGTCTTGAGGGTGGGTATAGGTTTATATACGCTGAGGATTTTGGTTCAGACCAACAGTTGGAGACGAAATGATACTATGACGCACCTAGGCCAATCTTCCACCCTCCCTTTCCCTCAATGTGGCTGACCATGACATGGCTGCGCTCTCGAACGCGCAACATTTGCCATACTTGGTGTTTAAAGACGTCCCATAATGAATGAATGAGAAGTCGCCGAATTCCTAGCGTGTTAGAGAGCCAGCGGGCGTGAACGAGTGGAAGAATAGGAGGGGGCGATGTCACTGTCTTGCGCTTTGCCGGCTGCACCGTGGCAAAATCGTCCCGCCATTCGCAACAGCGGTCGAGAAATTTGAGTACATCGTCGTAAGAGAGGCGAGACTGAGCGAGTGTTGCGTTGGTGGTAAAAGCGCGGGCAACTTCTGCGAGCTCGATAGACATTTCAATTATCGGGAAGGGATATGGTACAGGAAGAGTGGTGGCTATAGATATCTAATCGGGGCGCTCTAGTGGCTGACGCGACTGCGCGCAGCCGTCACGAGTGGTTGACATTCTAAATTGTGGTGGCTTGGTGCCGACACCGTGCCGACACGCGTTCGGCAGTCGCCGTCACCGCCACCAAAAGTTCCCAGATCACCTGCAATCTGGTCGCGGTCGAGACGTGCGCGTGATCGGTGACCGGGGCCGCTAGTTCACGTGACAAGAATAGTGCTTGCCGCCGCTGTGCTCCCTCCATTCTTTACTCCGCGCAACCCACTCCTAGTCCTATGCCGAAGCCAAAGCGACACTCTCGAAAAAAGCCAGCCGAAGATGAGGTAGAAGAGGTCGAAGACCGTCTCAGTGAACCTCCCCCCGGCCTAATTGAGCAGGTCTTGACCCTGGATGCTTGCAACAAGTTCGTCGGTCCATTCCCCGCTGACACTTTCCTGGATACCTTCTTGCCGGCGTCTTCTTCTTCTATGCCAGATATCAACGAGGCTATTTTCTCGAAAATTCCAAGGAAGAGAACGTATAACATGTTCAGACCTCTAGTACGTCTGCGAGTAGTCTTGGGCCCCTACGCTACTATAACCATCACCTCTTCTCCACAGATAACCGCGGTTCATCCATTCTGCTCTAGTCTAAGGGTGTGTAGGACCACAGGAAGTAGTGAGAAGAAATGGAGATTGTACCGGAAAGATCTGAGCCCTCAAATCGCGATGTATGACACCAGCGTCCCTCAAGACGTCAATACGGATATTTCAAGGATGGAGACGTGGATGGAGGTGACTGCCCATGAGGAAGACGACCCGTTCGACGATCCTCCTCCAGAGCTTACGGGTGAAGACCTCTTTGCACACCTTCGAGCACACCCCTTCGAACGCGAAGCGGAGCAGGGGATGCTCACTCGAGGCCGAGCGCTCGCTCATGCCGTCGCCCAGCTGGGATCGCAAAACCGAAACTTCGTCTTCTCGACAGTCGTATTCGGTCGATTCGCCCGCTTGGTGCGCTGGGATCGTGCCGGTGCGGCGGTCTCGCGACGATTCGACTACACCAAAACGCCTGAGCTGCTCGCCGAGTTCCTCTGGAGATTATCGCAGGCGTCACGGGAATGTCGGGGATCGGACGAGTCGGTTTCGCCTGCAGATTTGGACGACGAGATTGCAGCTACGATACGACAGCAGCTCGACATGCCTCCAGGCGAGCAGCTGTTTGGCTATGAAATTCGCGATGACGCAGATCCAGTCGCATCTACTTCGTCCAGCGGAACCGATGAGCACGGGCACAAACCCTCCACCACGTCGCGCTGCTACTATGGCCCTCGATTCGGCCTTCTGCCCTTGGACCTCACGGGTAGCTCTACGCGAACTACCGCCCTGTGGGACTTGACTACCGGGAAGAAGGTCTTCCTGAAAGACCTTTGGAGACCCGACTCGGCTTCGGCAGAGAAGGAGGGCGACATCTATCGATTACTTCAGTCGCATAACGTCCCGCATATCGCGCCCATGGAGAGAAGTGGAGATGTGCCCAGCATTCACGGCGCTAGAACTCGGACGCAGGATTACAGCAAACAATATCTCGGCATACGAATATCCGGTTACGTCCATTATCGTCTCATCCTCGGTATCGTAGGGAAACGATTAAGCCAGTTTTCGACCCCCAGTCAACTGGTCTCGGCTCTGGCTGATGCTCTAGAAGGTCAGTGGTTCGATCCGTGATACGGGCATCTCGCTCACGCCTGCTTTCAGCACACAAGGGGGCATATGAATCGGCCAAGATCCTCCACCGAGATATCAGCGCGGGAAATATCATTCTGTCGCCGACTGGCGAAGGCCTGCTGATCGACTGGGACCATTGTCTCAACATGAATAGCCCGTCATATGAGGAGGCTCAATATGGGATAACAGTGGGTGCTACGATAATGTATTTTGAAGACCATACGCTGATCGGTCACTCAGGGCACTTGGGAGTTTATCTCCGGGCGTCTTCTCGAAGAACCCGACGACGAGAAGCACACTCTGCAGGATGACTTGGAGTCATTCTTGCATGTTGCGACATGGGTCTCCATCCGGGGGATTCACGGCCAGTTGTCGTCCATGGAGCGGGAACATTACCTTGATGACGTTTTTGGCGAGAAGGAAACGATCAATGACCGGGAAGTAGGAGGTTCCTGGAAACACTCGCGTCTCGCAGCCGATCGCTGGGTACCTGATAAATGGCTTCCTGACCATTCTCATCTGCTTCTCATGTTACGCAAACTAGGCAACGCCTTTGGTTTCCGGTATCGCAAACCCCCGAGCGATGAGGAGCGGAAAAGTTTTTGCCTGGCTGAAGAAGAACTCAGAGCTGCTATTCCTGAGCTCTATGAGACCCTGTATGTCCGCGTTTACGATAAGGCTATGGCCGCGATCCAGACGCACGATTGGACCATCAAGGTGTTGAGAGAAGCATCAGAAGCGCTTGCAGACGATAAGACGCCCTCGACGACGGCCATCAAAAACGGACAAGCCTTAATATGTCGTTCTACTGATCTTGAGAGCATAGGTACACATCCTCGCGATGGCCAGCAAGTGCATGGGAAGCGTCTCAGGCGAGCACCTTCGCCTCTCGCTGATGGCAGACGATCAAGGAAGAAACATAAGCGTAATCCTTAGCAATTAGATGTTATGAGCGCTTGCTGCCTTCTGCGGAGCTATTGTATGATATATCCCTCTGTAGTATCAGCAGGTCCATATTGGGCCAGGTTTATTCAAGGGTTTATTAATGTATGGTACGGAATCGCTCGGACGCTTTTCTGTCACTATGATGTGCTAAAAAGAGCATCCTTTCCCACTACCCTTATCGCGTTCTGTATCAAAGCGTTCTCAGCCTCTTGCTACCAGCTCTCTTGTATCGCCTGAGTAAGTGGTTGCAGACCAACACAATGCCTTGAGTTCGTGCTAACAAGCCTTGGGTTAGAAGTCCGACCTGGTCAGGTATTCAAAGTTGTTCATCAACACTCAGTGTAACTGTCGTGCCACCCGCACCTCACGAGGCTTCTCAACATGGACTTGGAGGACGATGTGTCTGATATTGGCTCAAGTCTCCCACCTTCCCAGGCGCCCAGTAGTCCTTATTCAGGGGTATCATCCTCGAATTACCCATCCGAGTCCGACATTCCTGCCAACCCAGATATCCTTGGAGAGATTTCAGGCGATTCTGACTTAGATGACCTCCTACGCCAAAGCACTAGCAACCCTACCGAATCCAACTTTGACCGTACTCCAATGAAGTTCAAAGGCGGAGGTCACGCGCCATTCGCCTCCGCAAACAAGCCGACGGATCGGGTAAAGATGCAGTTAAACTTGGTTCAAGAGACGCGGAAAGCCGTCTCTGGGCCTGTTCCGGTACAGGAGTTTATCGATTCCTTCCTGCCTACCGGTAGCATTGCCACAGTCAAACCGAAGAGTTTAAAAGCGCCGTTCAGCAAGGTTGCGAAGCAGGCAATGAACCTGGAGAAAAAGATGTACGGACCCATAGTAAGTCCAATCTCTATTTTTATCCTAAAGAGAAGCGCTCAAGCGCTCACGACCCGTCTTTTCAGGAGACTGCTCTAGGACCGTTTCTTCCGGGTTTCAAGGTCAAGAAGACAGCAGACCAGGTCAATCCCAAATGGTTTGTGCACGGTCACAACGTCAAACCTGACCTAGCTGTCTTCAACGAGACAGGATTGAAGACTGGCCTCGAAGATATGGAGTTATATATCGAGGTCAAACGAGACAAGAATGAGGATCCGTTCAAAGATCGATGCAAGAGCGCGTCTGGATTCGTTCGTGATGTTGATATCGGCAGGAAAACGTTAGGGCAGCTGATTTCCTATGCGATCCCCCACCTCGGAGCTCAGTTTCGCTGCTTTGGATATTCAATGCTGATCGCGGGAACATACGCTCGCCTCATTCGGTGGGATCGCGCGGGGGCAGTGGTATCAGCCCGGTTCGACTATACCAAGGATCACAAGTTGCTTACGGAATTCTGTTGGCGATTCGCCCATGCATCCAAGGAGGATCGCGGAATCGACACTTCGGTGAGAAAAACGGAAATATCAGAATTCGAGCAAGACAAGATACGGGAATTCCTCGGCATGGCAGACGGAGAGGACTTGTACGAATATGACGTTGTTGACTCCGATAGAGTCATCGACAATAAAACGACAGCGGGAGAACAAGTGAAGAAAACCTACTTCGGGCCTTACTTTGCTTCTATGCCTCAATCACTCTGTGGTCGAAGCACTAGGACCGGTGTTGTCTGTAATCTTGAGGCGACGAAGAAGTCGTTCCTGAAGGACACATGGAGAGTAGCTATAGACGGGTTCGAAACCGAGGGTGCCATCTATCACCTCTTACACCGCCGTGCCGTACCTCACATTGCCGGGGTTGAAAGGAGCGGAGACGTTCAGACAGCTCAAGGGACGCAAACGCAAACGCGAACGCAAGAGTATAAATCACGTTCTTCCTCCGGCGATCATATGCATGGCCACGTCCATTACCGCCTCATTCTTGATGTAGTAGGAGAGGAAATCACCCAATTTCAATCGACGTGCACGTTTGTCAAGGCGGTGATCGATGTCTTAGAAGGTACGCAGAAGGCTATCTACTAGCACCGTCAATTTCTCACAGAATACATTTTCAGCCCACAGAGCCGCATACATCAGATGCCATATTCTTCACCGCGATGTGAGCGTAAATAACATGCTACTGCTACCATCCGGTGAGGCCATCCTAATAGACTGGGATACCTCTTGGAACTTGAAAAAAGATGTAAAGCAGAGGCGAGAAGCCAGAACGGCAAGTCTTTCTCATCAATTGGGGTGAATCATCGCGCTCAACTACGAACAACAGGGATCTTGGCAATTCGCGTCCGCAATGGTTCTACTAAATACGTCAGGAGAGACGAAGCAGGAACTACAAGACGACCTCGAGTCATTTCTACACGTCTTGACTTGGGTGGTAGTCCGGTATTCACGCAGTAATCTCAGCGGCAACGAGCGTGCGGCATATCTGAAAATGGTGTTCGACAAAGCAAAACCAGTGGAAGGGGGGATCCGCGGAGGAGAGAAGAAGAGAGAGTTGCTGAAAAACGGTGATGAGTGGACTCCATCGGAATGGCTCACCAATTCTCCTCTGGAGCACTCACCCCTAAATGGGCTCCTCAATGAGCTAGCAAAAACGCTCGGTGTGCGATATCGGCCTGCACACTCTGATGCTCGGCTTCAACGCATAGACTCGCTGCTGGAGGAAGCCACCGGAGAAACACAGGTCGTCTTGTTGGAATCAGCGCCATACCAGTACCGCCTGCACCAGCAGCGTATAAGCAACCACGACTGGATGATCAAGACCATGCAAGCTGCTGTAGACGGAGTGGGGTGGCCTGACAACGATAAAGCTATTCCGCTGGATCTTGGCCACTCGGCCTTGGCTTTGGGGCCCGCGGCACGAATGGATGTGAAAAGGTACACCGAGCAGGACCAACAGAGAAAAAGTTCCAAGAGTTTGAAGAGCGGCCCAAGCTCCGCCAGCTTGAAGCGGCAAGCGGAGTCTAGCGAAGTGGGCGGAAGAGTGAAGCGGAAGAAATCGCAGCTGAAATCCTGATTACTAGGCAATAATTGCTCAGAGTATACATGTAATCCTGTATCTAATAATACTAGTAGCGATACTTGTTGGCTAATCTGTCACCAATGTCCGAGATGCTCGTGTTCATCAGCGTGTATCCTCCTTATGAACTTGAGCTCGAAGTGTATCACTCGGGCGAAATCAAGTGGGATACCAAACATGAGCCAAGAGTACGTTCGTTCAGTGCGTTCCGTTTAATGGACCACTGATTGCACTGTAGCTTGCACGGGTTCAAGTTACTACCGATAGGAAATGTAGACGTACTGGCAGGAGGAGAATGCACTTACCCAAAACTCTCACCCAGCTTCGCGCAGTTTGATAATCTTTCGTTCCAAATGGCTCTCAGGCTCGTTATATTTAGCAGTCTAAAAGTACGGCCACCTGTGGCCATGGAAACATTCAATTTGCACAACAAAGTGGTATTGGGACGCCAACACCACGGTATATAACCTCCATCCAAAGAAAGCAGCGAATACACACGGAATTATAATTAGCGAAGCCAGTAACGCGAGGTTAAACCAGTCCATGTTGAGCAGAACAAGTGAGCAAGAAAACCAAATGTTTTAATTTATTCAGATTCAGAGCATCATCCGCGCGACGCTGCCCATGAGCACGGCCGTCGCGGCCCACGCGCCCACGCTGGAGGACATACTCCCCATCGCGCCGTTCTTGCCTCCCGATGACGTGCCGGAGCTGCCAGAGGCACCGCTGGTCGACGCGGGTGCGAGACCGGGGAGGGTAGTCGGGTTAGGGGGAGCGCCGGAGGTGGTCAGGGTGCCGCTGATGTCTATAGCGAGTAATAACGTCAACTTAGGCTAAGCACGGTGAATTCAGTAAAACTCACACTGCTCAAACGTAGGTGCCGAATAGTTGGTCTCCACGTATGGCTGCGTCTGATTGATGGATACGAGCATCGGGACGAGGTACTTGAACGCGGCCTTGAGCTGGTCGTAGTACGTCATCATCTCCGACATGGTGAAGTTGTTGAGCTCGTGCGTGAGCATGATCGTGCCGTTGGTGGCGAACGTGCCGTTCTTGGCCCTGTTGATGAGGTTCTGGTAGTTCTGGTCGACTTGCTGCACGGTCGCGTCGCCTGCGGCGACCTGCCAGTCGTTCGAGTCGTACTGCCAGACGATGGTTTTCAGGCCCATGGCGTGTGCAATGGCACGGACACGGTCGTCCATGTCGCCGAAGGGAGGCTGGAAAAAATACGATCGGTACATTGGCGAAGCGCATGATACACTTGACTCACTCTCCAACAAGTGGGGGTAACGCCGACGACGAGCTTGATGGCCTTCATGGTGTAGTAGAACTCGGCAAAGACCTGCTCGTTCGTCAAGGAAGTCATGTAACGGTGAGACCAGGTGTCTAATCACGTACACGCTTAGTATATGTGCCACGTGTAACCAATCAAAAGTTACTCACGAACGCAGATTTCGTGACCATCAGTAATAGCGCGCTGAGCCTCGAGAGGCCAGTCCATGACGTTTGATCCAATGTAGAACATCGCTGGGCACACTGTAAGTACGATTTCGAAGATGATTGAAGCAAGAAACGTACTAGCTTTCTGGTTATTGGCCTCGAGGTAGTCATAGAACGCGTTATGCGAGCAGTTCGGCCCGTCATCGAAACCGAAGCCCAGAGTGTCCGGCTCTGGCGCTCCGGTCAAATCCGGAGGCAGACTCGAGTTCTTGGGCGTGGTGCACTTGTCGTACGTCCACCAGCAGTCAGGGTCGCTAGGGGAGTACGTGTAGCCAGTGAAGTTGCCCATGAGCGAGGCGGGCTGGGTGCCCTTGGGCTGAATGTTGGGAATAGCGCTCTGGATGCTCTGGTACTTGGCTTGGGCATCCGTGTCGTTGCTCAGGATTGAGGCGGGCTCCCAGATGGTGGGGAAGTTGTAGATTTGGGATGCGGCGGGCTCGTAGTAATATGGAGTGCACTCCTCGGTTTGGTCTTGTGACAGGTGTAAGGAATAGGCGAGTGGCTAGGATAAATATGATGAGCTTACTGGTGATCTGAGCCTCCTGCTGCTCAGTAGTACGCTGGGCAGCGGCGGAACCGAAGAGGGCGGCCGAAGAGAGCGACGTGGCCGTAAGGAATGATGAGAATCGCATCGTGTCGTGAAACTGGTATAACTGGGAATGTGATTTGAACAGAGGCTCAAAGTAAAGAGCGGTGCCCAGACGAGTTGGCGTGTGGGCAAGTGCACTGAAAAGACAGCGGAAGCTCGAGAAAAGAGCGAGTCGAGCTAGATACGTGCAGGAGAGGGTGGTAAATGGTGATGATGGGGAGAACGAGACAAAGCGTTGCCCTTGAGGCTTATTTATGGCCTGCCACCCACATTGATTTCAGTGCCGCATATGGCCGACCCGAGGCTATTCTTAGATGAGCCAATACAAGAGTGTGCTAATATTGGCTAGAAGCTGTTCTTTTATTAAACGACTGGTGTAGTCCACGATTCAGACGTCGCAGGATATGTTAGTTTGCACCTCCGGGGAGGAGTGGGCGTATGTTTGAACGGTGGAGCAACCCCATGCCAAGGCATGGCCAAGCTTGCTTGGTCGAGGCATGCCAAGCCTGTCAAGCCAAAAGGCTATTTTCGTGCCTGAGCGTTTCTGTAGGTATGTGGTCATTGTGACATCTTCGCAGACCGCTTCACAAGAACCCCTATAAGCGTCGGAACGTGGAGCGTGTTCGGCAGCAAGTTTCAAAAGTGCGGACGCCGCACGGACAGCGACGCCATATGATTGTTGCTAGAGATCGCATTCTTGGTTGAATACAGAAGAGCGTGCCTTCAGATCACAGTTGCGGTAGGAACGGACCATAGTGAGCCTGCATGGAAGAACGAAGACAACGGTTGGGCATCAAGTAGGCAACGTACAGCAAACTGGCATCCATTTGACCACCAAGTTCACAGAGAGTGCCGATTTACTACGTACCTAAATCTGCCACCCCGCAGGTATCTTTACAGGTTTCGTCCCATTGACATCTTTTGAGTCATCATCTCGTTGTCCGTTTGCAAATCCAGAACCCGGAGCAGCATCGGAACCGCGTTTTGGGCGTGTGTCTAATTCCGCCTTCTGGCCAGCCGACGACTGCGAAGGTCGAGATCTAGACTCGGTGCACAACTCTTCCCAATACCATGCCGGAATGAATCCTACGCGGCTTTCGCTGGCGGAGACCGTGTCAGATCCGTCAGTTGTATCATCGTCCCAGCTCTCGACGTCATTCACTGCATCACGGCTCAATCGCTCCAGCGACACACCCTCACCCGGTTCGAAACGAACGCGCCATACTGCTTTCTCTCCCGGTAGAGCCGACTCGTCATCTTGTTTGACATCCTCTGTATGCGTGCCATTTGCCGACGATATCGCCGCGGATATAGAGGAGCGGAGGAACATAAGAAAGCGCTCGCCCCATGCAAGGCAAATCGCAGGATCCCACGCATCTGGCTTACCACGCACAAGACGCGGAAGGGCGGTCGTATTGAAGGACTGGAGCGTGCTAAGGTGGCCCGAAGGTTGTCGAAAGCCGACGACAATTTCCTACAAACAAGAAGGGGTTACTCTGAAGCAATTGTAGGCGGAATCAATCGAGAATACGTACGGGAACTCCCAGGAGGAATGACTGAAAGTAGAACTTCAACAGTTTCCTGAGGAAAAGCGTAAGACGGCTAGGTGAGCAGTAAGAACTGCGCATACTTCTCAAACCGAGCCTCATCCCCAGGATGTCGGATAACAAGCGATGTCTTGAGCTCGACGAAGGTGTCAGTGTTGCCAGTGTATTTGCCTGTTGAATTAAGGTAGTTGATCACGCTGAGATTATTAAAGAACCGTAGAAGTTACTCACTTCGTACGCAGTCGACCTCACCACCTATGATAAACCGCGTATCCCCCAGTTTGGTCTTAACCACACTGCACCATTGTTCGTTCGTGTTGACGTCGCCACCCCATCCAGTATTGCTCGGCCCGGAGTGAGGATTCGGTGGGCTCTCACGCGTGCAGTACGACTCAAACGCGTAGCCGTAATACGTCTGCTTCCTCTGACGAGGCGCCATGCCTTCCCTGAGAACAGAGGATCAGTATCGAAACAATAACACGTGCTTCTCTACTCGGACGTATGCCTGAGTTAGCTTCGGAAAACTCACTTGTCTCGCAGCTTTGCCCGTGTGAGATGCTCTTCGAGATAGAGCGTGCCGTTGACGAGCATGACGTTCATCTCCCAGCCATCACGATCCTCGTACGGAGCAGTCAGGATTCTTCGATTATGTATCAGAAAGGGATACAGAGACACGTCCTCTTCGCACTCACTTAGTCATTACCCCTCTCCAGCACATAGCGCCTATACCCAAACCCGCAGCCATAGCCTGAGGATTCGTCTCTGCCATCCGCTTCTTCGTACGTGACCATGCGCGCAAGAGCGCGTCTATTCGTGGTCTGGTTTCAGTTTTGCGTACCCAGCGTTCGTACGCGTTGTTGAAGTCTGCATTGCGGGGTGGATCAACGTAGTACCGCAGCGAGGAGTCATCCCATCTGAGTGTATGCGTGGAGTCGTACGAGAAAGAGACGACTTGGGTGGGGCGCTGGAAGGCGGGTGTCTTTGTGTGAATGGATACAGAGCGAGATGGATATGCAAGTTTGAAGATCTGCGGTGCGGAGGATGGGGAGAGACGTTGCTCCTTGGTCGGACGCGGGGGCTCTGTGGGGTCTTCGGGTGCTTTTCTCTTGGCCGACATGGAATTGGTGAAATAGCTCTCGTAGAGCTGATCTTCCAGTACGAAGTTTATGCAAACACACGGGTTTGTGAAGGGAAAGAGGCAGCTCTCGAACTGGTGTCTGGAGGTAGACGATGATGTTCCCGAAAGGAAACTCTCCAGGACAGAATGTCCAGAAGCTGACATAAGGTCGCGTGCCTGAAATGATGCCCAGTCCGGCTCTGTCCGGCTCGGGTGTTCGTGTGCTCCCTGGATTCACCTCCAACAACAACACCTTATCTTTTCTCCCGCTCTCTCCCTCGTTCGCCCTCCCCACCTTGACCATGGCCCAAGTCGCGCGCAGCCCTCTGTATGAATTCCTTTCTACCTCATTGTTGCAACTCTCACTTACTTTGTCCGTAGGTCAGCAGTTTTCCTCCTGCACATTGCACTTGAGCTACCGCTGGCCGTGCAGGCCTTTTGGTCTCCCGCCACGCTGCCCTTCACGCAGATGAACAACACGACGCTTGTCATGCTTAAGGTGCGCTTCCTGTCATCCGAGTCCTTTTCGCGGGACAAGTCTCACGCGAACCTCTTCTTCTTTTGTTAGCTGTACGCGGCCCTTGCGTTTGGTGGATGCGTCACCGCGTTCCTTGCGTATCCCCTCCCTGGTACGTCCTTTCTATTTCTCTTCTTCCTTGCAATCTTCAACTGAAGCACGGCGCTGTAGAGTTCCTCCCGGGGAAGCGAGCTCTCGCAATCGGGTTTTGTATCTACCACAGTATCGTGTCGACCGTCCTCTACCAAGCTCCCCGGTTCATCCCTCACACGTTCGGTGCTTTTGCTGAAAAGTAAATCCATAAGCACTCGCTTGAACGTGACATAAGCTAACGCGTTTTCTTCTAGCTTCAACATCACTCCTGAGAACCTTTGGGGTACCTTCCACGGCTTGTTGGGGTTCGCGATGGTCGTCTGGTGGCAGGGTACTTTGGCGTACGCCCAAGCTGCGAGGCGGGCGGCTTGAGGTCCTGATCTTGTCGAATGTACTCTCGTGTGTTGTATTGCCAGGCGTGAAGTGGGTTTGAAATGTCGTTGTGCTACGTTTCTCGGTGTACATCCCTGCTATAAAGTTGTTCACGTAGATGTGCGAGGTGCAATGGCCCGTTAGTTGAATATAACGAAGTCTCTAAGGCGTATATATAACAGCTACGGTAAAGAACCGTTCAACTGATATAATGAGTGTGTCTAATAGGCAAAAGGCGCAAGCAACTACTTGATAAGGGACAAACGGAATATGTCCACAAAACAAAGGGGCGATAGCAAGTCCCGCTTAGCTCAGCTGGTAGAGCGCGTCACTAGTAATGACGAGGTCAGTCGTTCAAGTCGGCTAGTGGGAACTTTCTTCTCCCGTTTAGCTCAGCTGGTAGAGCGCGTCACTAGTATTATAAATATTAGTAATGACGAGGTCAGTCGTTCAAGTCGGCTAATGGGAAAGATATTTTTTTTATCTACTACAGTAACCTCGCCGGACTGAGGTCATCAGTCCCCAACCCTTTGCAATCTACCGCCGCGACTGCGGCTCTCCCTTTTACCTTTACCTAGCAGGACAACCGCATATCCATGGCCGCACCGTTGTACACAACGGCCTCTGGCCTTCTCTTCCATGCGGGTAAGATCCTGATCCTCACTGTAGGCCTCCCTGCCCGAGGCAAGACGCACATGTCTCGAGCCCTCGAGCGCTACCTCCGATGGATGGGTATCAAGACACAGGTGGTATCGCTGGGCGACTATCGCCGCAAGACTCTCGGCGGCGCCCAGAAGCTCCCGCCCGACTACTTCGCTGTAGGTGTGTGTCCCCTAGTCCTGCAGTACACACGTTGCTTCCCGGCATTGTCGGGATCCAGATCTGAGGGCTATGCTAATGCCATCTTATCTTAGGGGAGAAAAGCCCAGAGACGATGCGACTCAGACAGACCGTGTCGGACGGATGCGAGCAGCTCATCTGGGACTTCTTCATGTCAGGCGGACAGGTCGTCATCTACGATGCGAACAATGGTACGCGTAAGGCGCGTCAGAGTCTTGCAGAGAAGTTCGATAAGGAGGGTATACATGTTATCATGCTTGGTGCGTCCCCCTCCCTGCCCCGAGTCCCTTGTTGCATATGGTGTACGTTACCATGATCTAACCCGCCGTGACCAGAGTCATGGTGCGAGAACAACGAAATCGTCGAGAGCAACATACGGAATGTCAAGATCTCGTCCCCAGATGTACGTTATAACCATTCCGACGCGTCATTTCCCTCTTCTGCTTCACCTTGGCGTGACGTCTTTCCAATCCACTTATGGACATCCGCAGTATCGTGGTTGGGACCCGGACAAGGCAGTTGCAGACTACTACGAACGCATTCGAATCCGCGAGCAGGCCTACGAGACGGTTGAAGAGACTACATGGCCGTTCATCCGCATCATCAATGTATGCATCCTTATCTGCGTGTCTTTGGAGTATCGGCTAATCTGATATTCTCAGGTTGGCGAGAAGATCATGGTCAACGTACGCGTCCGGTACCCTCGGAGACGTTTGATGTACTGATATGTGTGGCAACGCAGAAAATTCGAGGCTATCTGCAGGTACGTAAGCCCCTATATGTTCAGCCGAACGGTTTCTGACATTCCAACTTTCTTAGTCTAGAATCGTGTTCTTCTTGATGAACATACACAATCGATTCCGCATGATTTATTTCGCAAGGGTGAGTGGGTGTTCAGTATCTTGCCCTGACAATTCTAACAGCACCCGCTGGCCATGCTCAGTCTGGCCAATCGCTTATTGAGCATTCGTACAAAGCGGACTCGGACCTCTCGCCTGCCGGATGGGAGTACTCAGAGCGCCTCAAAGAGTTTGTAACGGAGCGAAGGAACAATGCTCTGGAGCAACGTGGATATAACCCATCCGAGCGGCGGCTTGTCGTGAGTTTCCTTGTAATAGATTACTAAAGGGGATGGTTGATGACTTCGCACTGTATAAGATATGGACCTCCACGCGTCGCCGTGCGCACCATAGTGCTTGGCCGTTCCTCTCGACCAGCAAACAGGAAGCACTCTTGCCTTCCTCTCCAGGCTATACCTCGTCTCCTCTATCGAATGTCACCTCTGAGCTTCCTTCGGAATCCGGCACCGGGCCTTCTGGGACACCCTCCAGAGTTCCAGGAGATATTACCCATGGTCGACCACAAAATGCGCCAGGTGCCCCTGCCATGGGACGGACGTTCAGCGAAACCAGCGTCGCTACCGTATCCACCGTCGACGGGTCGAGATCGAACGTCAAGGTCGTCGAGAAACCACAGATGTCGGAGATCAACCCGGGCGTGTGGGACGGACTGACGCCGGAACAGGCGCGCAAGTTCTACTCAGAGGAGTGGAATCGATTCGTCAAGGACCCCTACGCGTTTCGCGCGCCAAGGGCAGAAAGCTATCACGATCTCTGTGGTGAGTACCATTGATCTATTAGCCGGATGGTTTAACAGCAAACTGATCACGCTGCCCTCTCCAGTCCGCTTGGAACCGGTCCTGATCGAACTCGAGCGCGAGAAGGAAGATCTGCTCATCATTGGCCACTCCTCTGTCATCCGCTGCCTCCTCGCGTACCTCATCGGTCTCCCCGCGAGCGAAATCCCCGCTATTGAAATCGCACGCGGCGACCTGCTCGAGGTCGTCCCGACAAGCTATGGCGTGCACACGCAGGCGTTCCACTTCTGGGACGGCCCAGGCCGCCGGGGCGACCAGCTGGATGGCACCGAGAGTCCATCGTTGACGGACACCAAGGGCGCAAGCGCAGACGGTGAGGCGGTGCATTCGAGGAAGACGCGGGACGAGTCGAACTTTTATGAGAACTGGGCGGAGGACACGCAGGGGAAGAAGACGCATAGTATTCATGAGCTTGGGATGGTGGGCCATGGGGAGAATCCGCGCGACTCTCTGGAGCACGTTTAGAGATGCCATTGGTAGAGGCAAAGAACGCTAAGCCTCGGCTTGAGATGAACTGTAGCATTACGTTGAGTCGCAGTTGCTGTGTAACATTACATTCCGTACCATTCATGAACGCTGAACGTGTAGCTGTTTGTATCAAGATTCATGTATCTTCTGACTATCAAGTGAATTTACTTCAGGGCGGGTATGTCGACAACATATGCAAACTTTGGAAGGTGACAAGACGAATGTCTGGTCAAGTGAAGCCTCTCGAGGAGGAGATCAAGAGGAGATCCTCCAAACCGGTCCGGTTACTTGCCGGGGTTGAGTGCGGTACCCGGACCGAGTCCGCGCGCTTGACGGACGCGCTCATCGTCCTGGAAGCTAACCTGCTTTTGCCCAGCTCAGAACCTCACAGATATTGGCATACGCCTACACTTCGTCACGATATAATGACTGCCGCAGCAGAATCAGCGCATAGTAACGTGCCGCCTCCTTCAGGGGCGATCGCGGGATCACTGCCATCCGAACTCCTTGAAATGATATTCATGGTACTTATCAGGGCATCTCACACCGTGGCTGGTCGCCCATGGCACCTCCATGTCTGCAGTACTCGGTGTTTCTTGCGCTGGGTTCAGATTACGCATGTCTGCCGGCACTGGCGCACTACGGCTCTGGCATACTCATCGCTTTGGACCCACCCAATCTTCAATTTACCCCACTGGGTGGAAGAGATGATGAAACGTGCGGGTCCTCATTCCTCCTTGACGATATCAGTGGATACCAACACCCTCATCGGCCCCAGTCAAGGCGCTCATTCGAGATTACCATGGCTCATCGCGAATCTCACTCGGGTTCGAACCCTCGTGCTTACCGATACCGGTACCAATTCCAGCCAGATCACCGCAGACGCGCTCAATGAATGGCGCGGAGACGAGCTCAGCCTCGAGCAGCTCAGTCTTAGGTGTCTTCCCCGCATCGGGATTCGACCGCTGTACAACACCCTCCCCACTCATATCCTGCGTGCCAGCCTTCGTCTCCGAAGCATTCATATACACGGCTGGTGGATCAATTGGCCCGAGCACGGACCCGTGCTGGAGAGCCTTGCACTACTCGAGGAGCTCACCGTCAGCCATACGCGCAAAGAGCTGCCCCATATGGCCATACGCCTTCCCCGGCTGAAGCGCTTGCATGTAGCTGAAGGGCTCGATATTTGTCTGTCCCTGTGCGCTGCTATCCAACCGTCCTCGCCATTGGAGTATGTGGGGATCGACTGTTTGTTCTCGCTGGGCAACATCGATGGAGCCGGCACTCGCGCGATGCTCTCCGCGTCACGCGTAGTCCAGGACCACTCCGGCGTGTTTCCGATGGAAATGCTCGGATACTACTCCATGTTCTGCTTCGGTGCAGATGAAGCAGGAGCAACTTATCAATTCGCTGCATGGTCAAAAGCCGCAGTTGAACGCTCGTGGCTACTCGAGCTGTTCCGAGAAGGAGTGCTACCTCCCGAAACGACCGCTCAATGGTACAGGGCCGGAGACCTCACCGTCTCTGGGCTCGTCCACTCTTCCCCTTCCCTCTATCTTGCGTGTAAGCAAGCAATAGGTCTCGGAGACGATCCGGGAGACCTAGCACCTGCCGACTCGGTCATGTCAAGCCTTGCGGAGACGTTCTCTCTGCGGTCCGCACTGTATGCACGCATCTCTGTCGAATCTACCGACCTCTCGTCAGAGGGCTTGTGCAACCTCCTTGACGCAATGGAGACTCTTCATATGCTCGAAGTACGCGATGCGTCCCTGTCTGCCTTGGCAGCCGCGTTGATGCCCCGAGGAGATGGCCATATTCCGGTGAAATGTTTGGGCGAGTTGGTCTTGCGAGGACCCCAGTTGGGTAACGAAATCGATTTGGGCATGTATTGTTTCTTGGAGTGTCTGAGTGCGAGGTCTGCTAGCGTCAGTTGCAGTGGGTTGAAGAAGCTTACCGTTCACGCTGGAAATGACAGCTTGCTGACCCATAGTCACTGGAACGTCATTCGCGAGTCGGGTATCTCTGTGGAACTTTCTTATTGAGTACCTGATACAGCATTTTATTATGTCTAGTCTTGATTTTATCTGACACGAAGATCTCCTGCTCGATAGTTCGTGATATAAGGGTTCGACGAAAAGGGCTTGTAAGAGGAATGGTTGCAGAAAGAGAATAGGATGGGTCGTAGCCCACGGCGATCCTATAAATGTAGCAGTCTGTGGTTCCGCTTGCATCTTTTTGTAAATGTGAAGTAGCTGCCGGAAGCCGCTGGCTTGAGAGGACGCGAGGCTTCGAGGCCATACTATGCTCATCAAATTCACCGCCAAATAAAGGTAAACCGAGGGATTTCTCGGGAATTCCAATAGCCCCTCCTAGCTGTGTCACGATGCGTTTTGACCGAGACGCGTCCTCGTCGAAGGCTATGATCTTCCAGCACGACCTGTCCTCCTCCACTGTATTGAACGAGTACTCTTGTAGATAGGGGCAATTTCGTCATGGAGACTGTAAACATGGACATACATCGGCATGCCTAGACCAGGCGGACCGCACATTGTCCTTTCCAAAACCTTCCACCGCGACCCAATACTTTGCGCCCTTGGCACGATGAAGTTCGCCAGGTATGTCTGACAGCCTGTCAACCTATAGAACCAAACTGACTCTTGGGAAGACACCTTGAAAAGTCTGCCATTCCTGGTACGTTACATGGATGCTCTGTTGTCCGGCGAAGCACTCAAACTGGAAAACTTACAGAGTGGAGACGCGCATACATCAATTACAAACGCCTCAAAAAGGACCTCCGGCATGTCCATCCCGTCGATCGGGACAAGGCTGAGGCTTCCACACTGGCCGCCGGCTCGAGCACGCACCTACTGAACGCGCCCCTGGACCAGCGCATCCGTGCCCTCCCCGAGTCTCATCAGGTCTTCTTCGACCATCTCCAAGTAGACGTTGACAAGGTCGACTCGTTCTTTGCGGAGCGCGAGGCGGAGGCTGCGTCGGGTCTTTCCGTCCTCGTCGATAAACTCGAAACACTTGTGCGACAGGCCCAACAAGCGAATGCAAAATCTGCGCAGAAGCACGCGTCACGCTCCAATTCCGGCTCACCTGCATGGAAGAGGATTCTCGTGCTGAGGAGATCACAATTCAAAAAGAAACTTGTCGACGATGACTTCGCAACCAGGAAGCGGGAGTTGCGGGTGGCTTTGCTGGAGTTGTACAAGATGTTGGGGCTGTTGAGGTCGTTCAGGGTACGTTATCAGCCTTTATCTATCCAGTCTCTTGTCACCTAACGTGTCTCCTCAGGACGAGAACAGGACGGCTGCGGCCAAAGTTATGAAGAAATACGACAAACTCACGAACGTGAGTGGCATAGTCTTTACATGCGTGCTGTTCGCCTCACCCACGTGTTATCATGCAGGGCTTCATGTCCACCGCATACATGACCAGAGTTAACAAGCTTGACTTTGTGTCCTCTACTCAAGTCCAGAAGATCCAGCAAGGTTAACAACCCTCTTCGTTGGCTTCTTGTCTGCTTCTCCTTCTGACGCACTCTATTCCATGTGCAGACATTGAAGAGCTCTTCGCGACTCACTTCGCCCGGGGCTCGCGTAAAGACGCGATGAAGCATCTGCGCGCGACCAACCAGGCGCCCCAAGCTACTCGTACGTCATATGAGCTCATCTCAGACTCTGTTTGGCGCACTACGCTAAATTTAGACCAGATGGAACAACGTTCCGAACAGGCATATGTCTCGGTTTCGCTGCTCCCTTCTTCATCCTGGGAATGCAAAGAGGTAGGGGAAATGGTTTGTAGATAAATGTGGGTTTGAAGGTTGACATTCGGATAATTTCAATAGCCCTCGATCCTGCAACTCGGGACAACTTTCCGCAGTTCGGTGCCTTGCTGCAGGTGTATGGTACCGTGTTGCTTCCCGTGTTATTCGGGCTGTTATTGTGAGTGGGTGTTATATATTACCGCTCACATGATCGACTAAGGGTTCGTGACTCTAGTTCTCTCGACTTGATTGCATGGAGGACCGCTCGCATCAACTATGCGTTCATCTTTGAGCTCAAGTATGCTCTCCGTTGCTGAATTCCATCAACAGGATCGATCGCTGACTGATGTCCATGTAGCCCGCGCAGCGCTTTGTCCTACCGCCAGTATGCCGAGCTTCCCGCCTTGTTGCTACTCCTACTATGTTGCGTAAGTTTGCCATCTGCACTTTTCCCGCCGCCTGATCGAGCTGACATCGGCCCTCAGTGTTTCTATCTATCCTTCTCGTTTGCTGGGCAGAACGTCATTGCGCCAACTACGTGGCCACTCATCTGGATCGTAATTACGGTGCTGATCATGATCAACCCGTTCCCTGTCATTGCACCCTCGGCACGCTGGTGGTTCTTGCGCTCGCTTACTAGGGTGTTCTTGCCGGGTGTTTTCCCTGTGGAGGTACGGTCTAGCTTTCTTGAACTGGGGCTTTCTCACTTAAACATCGTCTTATTCAGTTTCGTGATTTCTGTGAGTGACTTATCTGCCTGACTGTAAGGAGATGCTGAAGAGTTCCGACAGTCATCGCCGACGAACTGAACTCCCTCTCTTTCTCGTTCTATAACTTCGGTTTTCTGGGATGTACGTATGCAAATGGATGGGGGCCGGATGTGTACGATCAATGTGTATGTGCTGCTTTGTATCGTCGTCTTCAACTGTGTTAGAGTTTGCTCATGGCGACTACAGGCAACTAGTGCGCACTGGCGCACGCCCTTCCTGAACTCTGTACCCGCGACTATCCGCCTAATCCAATGCATCCGCCGGTATCGTGACTCGGACTACACTATGCGTGTCCATCTTGTAAACGTAGGTCGTTCATCACCACTTCAAAGCCCAGACGTTGATTCTGAAGCTAGGGCGGGAAATACGCGTCAACGGTAGCGGCCAATTTGTGCGTCATCATATTTCTGTGTGCAGATCCCCAGAGCTGTCATTCTGAGTCTCCGTCCTCTCTAGTGTCTATTTCATCTGGCGTCATGCAGGTACGGTGTGCGTTGATGTCGACAGTTATCTTTGGACTGACCGTGTTTTAGGCGCTCCTGAAAGCGGAAGCACGCTTGCCGTCTTCACGCTCATCACGGCCATTAGCGGCCTCTATCGAGCGAGCTGGGACCTCTTGATGGACTGGGCGTTTTTGCGGAAGAACGCGAAGCCCAGGTTCCTTCGCGACGATTTAACCTTCCGCTGTTCTCCGGTGAGACTTAAGGCCAATCCCTTCTCTCGTGAGACCCAGCCTCTCACTACAACGCCATCGTGCAGATATGGCTCTACTTTCTGATGGTGGCAAACGTCATGATCCGATGCATTGCCCTGTTCTACATCCCGCCCGGAGGTCTTAACCTCAACGTACGGTCGTTCATGTTCGCCTTCCTGGAGGTGGTGCGCCGTATCATGTGGAACTTGAGTACGTATCATACTAGCACCGCTTGGACATGCTCCAAAGAAGACCTCCGCTGACGACAATCCTTCTTTAAAGTCCGTGTAGAGAACGAACACGCCCGAAACGTGCACGCCTACCGCGTCATCCAGCCCGCAGCCCTGAACCTCCTGCGCTCCCGCGAACCCTCCCCTGTCCGCTCGCCCCCGCTGTCGGCCGTGTCCTCGGCCACCGAGTTCGCCCGGCCCGCGCAGCAGGCCAAGGATCAGAAAGCGGCCGAGATCGAAGGCGGCGCGCGTGGTCGGTTCGCCGCGCGCGACTATGAGAGGCGCGAGAGCGCCCATGACGACGATGAGATGGGGCTCGAGGAGATGCGGGGGGAGTTTGATGATTCGTCGGATATGGAGAATTCGGATGATGCTGTTTAGATCGCCTGGACGGAGTGCCAGGACTTTATTGTTAGGGGAGACTGTGGAGGACGCTGGGCGAACGATTGGTGGGTGGAGTGGAGTTCGTATGATTTAGGTGGAGATCTAGATTATGTTATCTTTCAAACTGTTGGGTACATGCATTAGGTGTTTAGACGATTTTACTATCGAGTTGTAGCCTTCAATGCCATGCAGACTTGTAGCCCTTTCGATGTCTAGCCGCGCCTTGCAATCTGTGCTCTGTTGGTAAAGCAAGTCACTATTTACCACTTCTAAGCTAAAAATACCGAAATAAATAAAGTAAAGCAAGGCGGAAGCACCACAGACGCTCGGCAGCCAGGCCTCCCGCGCCATGCTGTAGTGTAAGTCGCTCGAGTGTTTGGGTCCAGTTTTGGGCAGTCGGCTCGCCAGGCGGGCTCTAAAGTGGACGGATCGTAGGCGTAATCTGGGTATGTATGTGTACAAAACTGGAGATGGTAGCAATAGTAATATTTCGCAGGGCGACGTTGTCTATAACAGTGTATTTATCTTCCACCGGCCTGCTTGAAGAGCACGAGGCCAACGAGGGCGATGCCATAACCTGTCCCGGTAGAGTAAGAGTCCTGCTTCGACAAGTGGCTTGTATGGGACTGTACGCACCGACTACCTGCATGGGCGAAAGGGACGTCCCGTCAAAAGTCACGGATTTTCCGATCAGCAAGATATCCTGAGATCGTCATAAATTGTCAGCATCAAGCCCATCCACGCCTCTGTGTCTTTTGAGGAAAAAGAGCAAAACCAACCTTGAAAATCCCTGAAAGCGTTAAAACCAGCCCGCTGCCCCGTCCGACGAGGAACACGGCGGAGACATTGAGCGCGAACGCGACGGCAGCGTTGCTCGCGAGGATGAACGGGCCGAGATTGCGCACGGCGTAGAACGGTGCGAGGCCCTCGGTGAAGGGCAGGATGCAGAGGTTCAGGATGGCGCAGACGGGCGCGTAGTAGTGCAGCGAGACGAGCGGGTCCATCTTGAGGCCGTGCAGGAGGACTTGGATGAGCGTCAGGCGACATGCTTCAAACTGTGCGGATGCGAACAAGGGGCGATGTTAGTCAGCGTAATGTCATGGCTGGACGTGAATAGAAGAGATAGAGAATTAAGGCACATAGGTGCTAAACATAGCACGAACAAAACGAGAAAGTTTAAGCGCTTAAGGCAAAACAAGGCACGTACACCAACGGCGGCGCCCTGGATGAGAAACCCGACGATATTGAAGTGCATCTCGCCTCGGGAGGCGAGAGCCACGCCGGAGGAGATCATGGACACGATGACAGCGAGTTTCTTGTTCGGTTCAGAGAGGTTAAAGGACCACGAGATGAGTAAGATTGCGACAGGGTTGAAGGACTGCATGTGTCGTCATGTAGGGGACAGGCACAGGGGCAATGGTGAGGCGACGGACGCGGAAGCAGAATGGGGTAGATATTAAATTAGCGAACTCTATGACTATGAAAACTCAGGAGGACATGCCTTGAGCATCTGGATATAGGCGATTGAGAGGTAGAGGTACGCCGTATTTGAGAGGATCAGGGAGCCTGAGAATAGGGCACCTATGGGGAGGATAGAGCGGAGGTACATGTCTCTTGAGATGTGGATGTCGTTTACACCATCCAGCAGGTGCGTGAAGCGATGGAGAAGGCGAGTTCCTGTAGCCTACAAAGCACGTCATCCATCAGCATAACTTGTCCGATTGGAGGTGAGTTGTTGAGGGGTAACGATCGCCGTTCGCAAGCAACCGAAGGTGCGGAGGTAGAGAAGGGCGCGTTGCAATTCAAGGAATGAGAGCAGAACTCACAGCAAAAGCGAGGTGCCATGTGACGAGGAAGATGGGGTATGGAAAGTCATAGTTGGCGTAAATATGGTTGTTGAAGATGATGACAGACGCGGAGAGGATGATCCATATCGGAATGATGGCAGCAGCTCCGAGACGACTGGTCTTCGAGTCCTTTTGCATAGCAGGCGAGGGCAGCGAGTCATCCTCGCTACGGCTGGATGAGGGGGGCGAGGGTGAGGACGTCGAAGAGGAGGGAAGGAGGTGTTCGCGTTGCTCTGGAGTCACTGAAGAGTCCTCTTCGTAGCTCTTCTCGTTGAATGACATGGCAAAGGAGAAGATGGATTCAGGGGGCTTGTCTCCGAGGAAGAGAAAGGAGTGGGAGAGGAGATAAGGAGAGGCGGTTAGTGAGCGACTAACTGAACGAAAGCGATGCAAAGCCCCTTGCAATTGAAGGAGGTGTGTTAGTCTGGGCTGGAGTGTATTATTGGCCAGCTCGGTCTGCTTTCGCCGATGTCAGGGACCCCGTCGGAGCCGGCGGCCCACGTGGCACGTGTGGTGCAAGGGACCCCAGGCACGTCAACATGAGCAGTATCCCGACGCCCGTCTGGGTTAACCTGCAGGTCTCCTTGCGCATCCCCTCGAGATGTCCAGCTTGCAGGGATATGTCGATCGTATGTCTCATCCAATGTCATTACTAGCGCTGCGCTCACACATTGACTTCACTCAGACCGCGTACTCCTCGTCCTCCAAGATGGCCGCTCCATTGTAGTACGCGTCCCCTCCCTCAGTTCGTCTATGTGCCGCATATACTCAACGCCGTTTTCTATACGTCCGTAGGGAGTCCTGGCTGGTTTTGATCAAAAAGCGAATGTAGTCCTTTCTGACTCGAAAGAACGCGTGTACAGTCTTGAGGAGGGCGTAGAAGAGATACCATTGGGCCTCTACCTGGTGAAAGGTGACATGATGTACGTACACTCTGTCATACTCGCACAAACAGTGATTTTTGACGCGTTTCATCCGCGCTCAGCGTCCTTATTGGCGAGATCGATGATGCAGTAGACTCATCTGTCGACCTCTCGACTATCCGTGCCGAGCCCATTCCACCAATCCGGTACTGATGCTCGTGCTGGTCACCCATGCAGTACCCACGAGACAAACATGGGAATCTAGTTTGCGATTACACCCCCAGCATGCCCATTTCCACCCACCCGAGTCGCCCTATGACTTCAAACCCAAAAGACATACGCGGGATAGCTTTCGCCTAGCCAGTTTACGTGTCAACTTATCTGCGCTCGAGCCGATTTTGACTCAGTAGGTTGGAAAGGAGTTTAATTCGGTTCAATGAGGTTGGCGGAAGAATGACAGTAATGGTGAAAGAGACGCGTGGAACGTCGATTCTTGAAGACCACTCCGGAATGACCTATGCAGACACGGTATACCGCCAACGTAGGGGGACTCCATTGGACTCGCAATCATGTACTCCGTCGAAGCCCTTCTATAGACGCATTGCAAAGGTCAACCCGCAGTCTAAACGCGGCCTCTTTTCAAGCGAGTAGGTGTTATGACGCTGCCTCTTGAGCCGCGGCGTTTCATGTTTCTTTCTGAATGAAAGTCGCAACACCATCGTGCTCGCTCCGCGACCTTCGCTCCTAGGCGCTTTGCGTGGAGCTTCGGATATGCTTGCAACAAGTATATTTCTGTTATAGGTGTGCGCCTGCCCGGTGAGCCAGCGTCAAAGCCGTCCTTTGGGTCTCTTCCCATGCCTCTCGAGCTCACACATCGCCCCCGGATGGAGGCTCGACTACTCAGCTCGGGACTGAGTTCAGCTAAGAGGAACAGCTTTGCACCACCTCTAAGGCATACGGCGGTGCTCAACGAGTACTGTCGTGATGCTCCTGCTGTGTGCGACTCTGTTTTTGCTGGTCGTGGCCTGCGTTCGCAGCAACTTAGCCGGTATTTTCCCCGATCAAAGATGTGCTAACCCCGTAGAGCAGTTGATTCTTGTCAATGACGGCGTTCGTCCTCCGCAGGTACTTCTACAGCTCGACCAACAAGGGCGCTGTCAAAAATTAGCCTATAGACTAGGCAAAACGCGACCTGGCTTTGCGGAGGCCCGGGGTGCAAGGTGCAAAAAGGCTCGGAGTGTAGTAGAGGCGCGCTCGAGAGCATGGCAAGTATCAGATTGATCTAGTCTTTTCCAAGATGCGTCCAGCTCGAAATGTTCGAAGCACGGTTTCATTTGCGTTGAAGGCGACGGCGACGATTTGGGATCCGAGTCGGACGAATATGGATCGAATGGTACGCATGTGTTCATCACCTCTCATGACTTTAAGGTGACGACGATCTTAGGTTCCAACATGGCCGCGAACGCACCTCGAAACGCCCAAAACCCATGGTGACGGCAGAAGAGGAGAGGGTGTTCGTAGCTAAAGTCACGCGGATGGGGTTCATCCCGCTTTGTGTTCACATCCCTCGGTACGATGTGCTGCTCACGACCTGCTAGATGAATGTATTCCTCCCTCCCCTTCTTGTTTTCTCCATTGTCTCATCTTTCTTACTCCCCATACTCGCTGTGCTGACAAGAACACTCCAAATTGTATATGTAGGTTATTTACTTTATCGTGAAGTACGATAAGAAGTCGCACTAGACTACCGGATTCCGTACTAATTCGTCGCAGCCCTCCTGTGAACCACTGTTTTTGTCTTCTTAGACTTTTTATGCCGCTTCGCTTTTCTGGGCGCCTCCTTCTCGTCCTCATCGTCATCGTCATCCACTCGCCGCTTCATACTATGAATACTCTGAGAGCTTGCAGACTCCTCAAAGCTCTTCGAATTAGCCCTTTGCATATCGCTCTGCTGGAATCGCTTCTTTTGCGCCTTCTTCTGTTTGTGAGTCGGTGAAAAGTTCGAAGAAATAAGGTCTAGCTCCTTCATTCGGACAGCCATCTCCCACCCTTCCTTTGCGAGGGCTGCTTGAATAGTCTGTATCATCCAAGTGTGCGTCCTGATCTGCTCCTGGTCGTTCTCGTACTGCTTTGTCGTTGTTAGCGCAGCAATTTCTGGCTCGTACAAACGGAGGAGCGTGTCCGCCACGTGGTCCCACTCGGTGGGTGCAGTCCGATAGCGTACACCCAGCACATTCGCTAAGTCGATCAGAAGCGCGGCCAGCGGCGACTGGGCAAGCCACCCAACAGGTAACCAATTGCCTCTGGATCGAAGATTACTTTTTTTGCCTGTGCCCCCCACAACTCTTCCATCCTTCACTTCGCGCTGGTCAAAAACATCATATAACCATTTGCCACGTTGTTTTCCATCGATGCCACCGTCAACGTATCGCACCGATACCCAGGTCAATGCATGGAGAAAAGATTCCAGGTCATCTTCGAGCCCCTGAAAGGCTTCTGGGTCTAACAAGAGCTTTGCAGAGACGAACTGCCAGCAACTCTTTGAGCAGGCAAAAGACGCGATGGTCAGCATTGAAAGATGAAACAATATTTATAATTAATTTGGAGGGTACTAACCGTTCGCCCTTGCCGCCTCTTCGGTATACCGCCCCTATTCACGTCACAAGATGTATCCCAGTCGATAAGATTACCCTTTCCCGTCGACGGATTCCATATCATATTGTTAACACTGATATCTCGGTGTAGAATTCCAGCCTTTTGGTAAGCCGTCATGTGCGCTGACAATCCAATCGTCAACAAAAGAGAAATGAGAACGTGCAGTCTAAGCTGAACTTGCTTACCTTCAAGAACGTTTGCCACCGCCGCTACCATATCTTGCGCGAACTCGAAATTAGTGATTTCACGTCCCACCACATCTAAGACAAGACGGTAGTGGACGTGACTCGACATCTCCTTCATGTCACCAGAAGCACCGGCATAATTCTGTGAGTCGGTTGATTGCTCTTCGCCGTCATCATACCGAATATCGCCACTTGCTTCCACTCTAGGAATATGAGGGACACCCACTTCATGTAGACGGTGATACGTTTCAGCCTCTGGATAGATGTTGCGGGAGATAACCCTCCATGATTCTTTCAGTAGAACCAGCTGCTTAGATTGGGCGCTCACTACCGGGACGGTCCTCCCACAACGCCCATGAAGTGACTGTGGAGTCGTCGGGAAAGAAGGCCCATAGTAGATGTACAGGTTTTCCGGCGGCGCACGTAGGACTGATGAAGAGTGCTTCATATCACCGTCATTGTGCACAAGATACCGAAACAGTTTTGTACCGGGAGGGAGGCTGAGCTGCTGTCGTATATCTTCGATCTCTGAATCAGAGAGGAAGGATCCAGCACTATCGACTGTGGTGTCGATACCACGCTGTTTGGGGGATGCGCGGGAAAGGCGCCATATGAATCTGCTCAGCAAGTCATGGCCGCCTTCATCAGTGTAGTCGATCTGTTCTGAGACAACTGCACCAGCTCGATCCCATCGAATGAGGCGTGCGTAGCGCCCCGCGAAAAGTATGGAGAAAGAAAAGCACCGGAAACCGGCCCCAAGATGACCAATCGCATATCTGAGAAGCTGAATGAGCGAGTTCTTGCCGAGGACCGTGTCCTTGAGGAATCTCTTCTTGACGAAGCCGGAGTCAGAGTCGGAGTCGGACCCAGAGCCAGAGCCAGATTCAGAGTCGGGTTCGGGTTCGGGCTCCGAGCCGAAATCACTGACGAACGGATCTTCGGCTTCTGTACTCTTGACTTCAAACCACGATTCCATGAGCTCGAAATCGGTTTTGGTGTTGGCTCCTTTATAGATTGCGAGGTCGGGCTTAACACCGCGCCCATGTACAAGTCGATTAGGATCAGTCTTGTCTGCTGTCTTCTGCGTCTTCAGGTCCGTTTTTTCCCCTAGAAGACCATCGATGTATGTCATCTGAACAAATAGCATACGAAGATCGACGGATCAATGTATGATATAACTTTGAGGGTACTGGCGAACGTACGATCGGTGCATACATGTCTCTCTCCTTTGTCTTAGTTCTATCAAAGGTTTGGCCGTATCTGGGCGGCGCTGAAGCCCTTTCTTCAGCGCTATCAGGCACTGGCAAAAAATCATCGATGAATTTTGTCGCCGATATCGGTCCGCACAATACTTTCTCCGCCTCCATAAGCAGAAGTTTGCCGATAAGTTCTTCATCTTCATTAGAGGTTTTGGAGTTGAATGCTGTATGGCCGTCCAGTTTGTACCTCACGGGAGTGTGATTATTGTAAGGCAACGCCTTTGCATGGGCTACACGAGGCGGCGGGGTCTGGTGAAGGTCCGATGAAGAAGCACGAGAGTCGTCGCTGTGGTTTGGATGCTCTCCAGTGTCTGACTGAGTGCCGTAGCTGCCTTCGTTCGGCAATGGGTGTTCGTCGATACTTGAAGGGCTTGAGGGTGCGGGGGAGCTGGCGATGGAAGCCCATTGATCACTGGCACCAGAATCCATGAAGGATTTTGCTGGATAAGGGAGGTTACGCTTCGTAGGGTACGATGGACCTGGAAATGGTTCAGTCCTGAGGCCTGAGGGGCGAGTAACTACGGTTTGTACGCGTTGGCTTACAGTACTGTACGAAGTGGTTTCCGGCCAGTATCGTAGCAGACGTTAACGCGTGCTCAGTCAGAGGCTTCTTCCGCTACGCAGTTCATGGCGACGTCGTCGGTTATGGTAGGGATAAAGGAGCCAAAGCCGAAGTTCATGCACACAGCTGGTTGCTTATCAAGCTCATCAGCATAATCGATCAAGACGGCGCCTAATAATCGGGAATTACAATGACTAGCACTATCTGTACGTAAGGTGAGAAGCTACGCATATACTAACTAATAACATATAAGTGCTAACACAACCTGACTTTCTTCGGCAAACGCTGTAAATCTCCTGAAAAGTCTAGAGAAACTGTTCTGAGACGCTTACCCGTCTCTCTTGGCTCGGAGACAGACGCTTTGTTTGATTCTTGCCTACGACTGTCATCACAATGAATGACCACTGTCCGTGTGGACTCGCCGTTATCTGTGAGTGCATGTGACAGCTCCCGCATCCTCGCAATCATCCAGTCATGCGTCCCGAGGGCCACCATAGCCTTGTCGTAGACACAGGCGTATATTTGCTTATATACCTCGGGATGGCGATCTTTGAATGGAAATAACACTCGTTCGGCATGGCGGTCGCCATCGGTAGGTTCGTGGCGATATCGTATGCCGAACGTATCTGCGATGTTGCCAAGCAGAGTCCGCAAGGGCGATCCTTCTAACCAGTCATTGGGAAGATAGCCCTCTCTCGTTGCCATGTACATCTCTTTGGTGATACCTCCTGTCTCGAGGTCGCCTGTTTGCCGTCGCTCTCGAAATATTTCGTCGAGGTATCGCTCTATTTTCCTTCGCTTGAGCCCACCCGGGATTCTACGAACTGACGTCCACGTTGCAACATGCAAGAACGACTCAAGATCGTCCTCCAAGACGTGCGTCTCCGTGCGTGGGCTTTTGAGGAGCCGTGCCGAAGCGAATTCCCATGTACCCTGTTTTAGCATCTCAGCGGGAAAGCGTACAAGACCGCTACATATCGAAACACTGACCGTGAATCCAACCTGTGTCTTCAGGCTGGCCGGATTGTTCATGTTCAGACAATGGTCCCAATCGATCAGCAGGCCCTCGCCGGTGGGTGATAATATGATGTTGCCAGCGCTTATGTCTCGATGCAGGATCTTGGCCTTAGTGTACGCGTCCCTGTGAGCTAAAACGTGACATCAGTATGATAAATGCGGTTGGAATGGATGGTACCGACCCTCAAGAGCATCAGCCAGGGCGGAAAAAAGCTGATGCGGGGCCGAGAAATCATGCAAACTAATGCCCACAACACCGAAGACTATCCTGTAATGGACGTAGCCGGACAATCGTAAACCCAGATATGGCTTGCTGTAGTCCTGCGTCCGCGTTCTCATGCCGTGACTGCTCAAGACGTCCCCGCTGCACTCCATGGGTGCGAGATGCGAGACATCGTGCGACTTCAATATCCGATAGATGTCCCCTTCCTTCTCTGCTGATCGCGAATCGCGTCTCCAGGTATCCTTCATGAAAACCTTCTTCTGGCCAACTAGGTCCCATAGAACGAAGGTCCTTGTCGAGCTGCCGGTGAGTTCCCACGGCATTAAGTTGAGACGAGGACCATAGTAAATACGCGACGTTGGAATCGGGTCCGTACTGAGGCCATGTTCGTTCTCGGTGGGTAATGGTGGCGGTGGCGAGTCATCGTGAAGTAGGTAGGCGAAAAGTTCTTCGTCTGATGGGAGCGTCAGCCCTCGACGCACGGCAGCGGCATCTTCTTCGTTCAATTCTGCCCGTGACACCGTCTCGTCAGCACCCCGTTCCTCCCGCGACGCATTCGCAAACCTCCAGAAGAAGCGAGCGAGCAGCTCCGGTGCTGTGGTCCAGTCGAACCGTCGCGTCACTGCTGCACCCGCGCGGTCCCACCGGACCAACCGAGCATACTTCCCGAAAATGAGGACGGAGAAGGCGAAATTTCGGTACTGGGAGCCAAGCTGAGCGATAGCGTGGGCAAGCGCTCTCCCGCGAGTAAGCGTCCCCGATTCGTCTTCGCGTTCGAATGGACGGTCGTCGAGGTGGTCGCAGAGATCCTCCCCCGAAAGATCGTCAGGAGGGTCCTCAAAGGGGTCGTCCTCTTCGTCAGCCGTGACTTCTATCCAGGTCTCCATCTTCGAGATGTCCGTGTCCACATCGAGAGGGACGTCGACCTCGTAGACTGCGATGGCTGGCCTCACCTTTTGCCTATACACCCTCCATCTTTTGTCATACGATCCATTTGTTCTGCATGCCCTAAGGTTTCCGAAGAATGGAGCGAAACCTTTCATCTGTGGAGTGGTTATAATACCGAACGACGTAGACAGGGATTAACCACGGACGTACGAGGAAGTCCAGCATGACTGCCTCCCTACTCTCCTCATTATCCTGACTACCGTCATCACATGTTGGCTTGAAGTCACATTCCTCGACTCGTGGCATGGCGCAGAAAGATGTGGGTAAGAAATCGTTCAAGAACGCATCCACCGGCATTGGACCGACAAACTTGTCGCTCGTGTCTGACGTCAAGATCTCCTCCAGCGCTCCGGGTGGCATTATTTTGCGGGACCGCTTGCGGCTCTTCTGGGAGCGGCTTCTTCGATCGTGTTGTGGTAGTGTTGTCATGGATGAAGCGGTCTGCTAAGCGTGTTAGATCTACGGTTGTTCTCAACGTCAGGCTAATTCGTAAGAAGTAACACGACAGGATAGTCGAGCGCATGTCGTACCTCACAAAGCCTGTTCACGTCGTTTTATAGTCAACAAGAGAAGAGAGCCTATAGGGGTTGACTGCGCGAGTTCAAGAGGTGTGTCGTGCGAGCGTCAACTCGGCGGGGCCGCCAATGCGCGTTGGCCAAGCCACGTGACAAATCTGTCGCGTACAGCCTGCCAAACAACTGCCAAATATCGCCGGCACACTTCAAAGTAGTGTTGCCGTGGCTCGGGAGCTGGCTCAAGCTGATTTGATGGGCTTACAGCAGAGGCAACAAAATATTTAGTGAGGTGATAATTATGTCATAGTTGCCATCGTCGCTGTCCGGTCGTCGCTTCAAAACATGACCTTACGCTACAAAACTCAAGTGTTATTTTTACGAGGAAACAGTTCAGCTTCGAGCCGAGCCGAGCCGCGGCAACACTACTTCAAAGTTGCTTCAAAGCTTCAACGCCTCAACGTTCAACCGTGATGTTACCTTGCTGCAACCTGCTGAACAACTTGAATTGCCCCGCCGTTTTGAGTTACTTTCTTTCGTCAAACTTGCACTATGATTTAAAGGTAAGCTTGAAAGTTTGTTGGAACCCAAGATTGCCTGGTCCGACTGAAAACCTGGACGGTTTTTGTCTAAGCATATGCAAGGGCATAAGTATGCATCTGAGTCCACAGCCAGTACTAGTACTATGGAGTCAGAGTCTGGCCATACCGTCCAGCCCATTGGTAGAGTGAGTCGAACCCGTCGACGTCCTAGTATTCTATCTGATTAACTTAACTTAAAGTAGACCTCTGGTTCCGACTCTGAACGGAAGTAACCACCGATAATCGCAAAGATCGGGACGCTCTCCCAAGCGAGATGTCCCTAGCGACGACGGACGTGCAGCCGACACTCGGTTGGATGCTGTGTTCGCCTCTAAATAACCCTGCTATAACTAAGGATGGCATTGCAGCGAAACGTGACGAGCAAGAAGTATGTCAAGAACCTTCCGATAAGACGAGGGGAGGGGATGCGTTCTCTTGCATAACCGGGCGGCTCCGCTTGCACAGGTGAGCACGATATCCGCGACTTTTAAGCCTGCTTCACCTTCTTCCTCAGACGTTGATCCTCAGCTGGGAGGGAAGGCGATTGCTCCAACCGCTTCCTATGCACTCGTTCATTCTCGCGAGAATCAGATTTAATGGGGTAAGCTATCAACGCTGAACCACTGTCACTGTTGGTCGCTGTCGTGAGAACTTGATCGTCCAACTCTTCCATCGCTTTTGACCCCTCTCTTAATACCTCAATCATCCAATCATGCGTCTGGATCGCGGCCATAGCCTTGTCGTAAACGCAGACATAGAGGGTCTCATAGAGCTCAGGAAGAGTGGCCCTAAGTTCTTCTCCAGCCACACGGTACTTTCTGCGCTCCTCATCGCTGGGGGGCTTGCGATACCTTAGGCCAAAGGTGCTGCCTAGTTTGCGTAACATGAGAAGAAGATGAGAATGGTCAGGAAGCCAATTATCGGGTCCCCAGCAATTCTCGTTTATGAGACGCAGGTGTTTCCAGGTGCCTCCCACTTCCCGACCGTTGATATTTTGCTTGTCGCGGAAGATTTGGTCAAGGTAATATTCCCGTTCCTCGGACGACAGTTTGCCATGAATTCCGCCAACGGAGGTCCACGTCGCAACGTGCAAGAAGGACTCCAAGTCATCCTGTAGTGTGTGTATCTCGTTGTCGGGTTCCATGAGGAGACGTCCGGAGATAAACTCCCAAGTGCCCTGGTGATCGTGATCAGCGTATAGCCTTCAAAGTAGATTACCGCGGCACTCACTGATATCCCATATTGTGCCTCCTCATATGACGGGCTATCCATGTTGAGACAATGATCCCAGTCGATGAGAAGACCTTCGCCAGTCGGCGATAGAATGATATTTCCCGCGCTGATATCTCGATGGAGGATCTTGGCCGATTCATATGCCCCCTTGTGTGCTGGAAGCGAGGTTGAGTGACATGCACGTATCATGGATCGAACTACTGACCTTCTAAAGCATCAGCCAAAGCCGAGACCAGTTGACTGGGCGAAGAAAACTGGCTTAGTCGTTTCCCTACGACACCGAGGGTGAGGCGATAATGAACGTAACCGGATATTAGTATGCCAAGATATTGTTCGCTGTAATCCTGCGTCTGAGTTCTAGCGCCGTGAATGCTGGGCACATCTCCACTCCTCTCCATAGGTGCGATATGCGGGACATTGTGTGATTGAAGCGTTCGATAGATGTCGCCCTCCTTCTCTGCCGAGGTCGAGTCGGGTCTCCACAGGTCTTTCAGGAAGACCTTCTTCCCGGTAGTCAAGTCCCACAAGACGGCAGTTCGCGTAGAGCTCCCCGTCAGATCCCAAGGCATAAAGTCGAACCGAGGGCCATAGTAGCAACGCGATGTGGTCGAGGGTTTGCGCCCGTGCTCATCGGCTCCGCCGGACGAAGTAGATGGGATTGGATCTGCGTCATCGTGAATCTCATAGCGAAATAGCTGCTCGTCTGGAGGCATATCGAGCTGCTGTCGTATCGTAGCCGCAACTTCATTGTCCAAATCTGCAGGCGAAACCGATTCGTCCGATCCCCGACTGTCCCGTGACGCCTGCGATAATCTCCAGAAGAACTTGGCGAGCAGCTCAGGCGTTTTGGTGTAGTCGAATCGTCGCGAGACCGCCGCACCGGCACGGTCCCAGCGCACTAAGCGGGCAAATCGACCAAAAAGAATTGTCGAGAAGGCGAAGTTTCGGTTTTGCGATCCCAGCTGGGCGATGGCATGAGCGAGGGTTCGACCTCGAGTGCGCATCCCCTGCTCGGTTTCGCGCTCGAAGGGGTGTGTTCGAAGGTGTGCAAAGAGGTCTTCACCCGTGAGCTGTGGTGGAGGATCGTCGAATGGGTCCTCTTCTTCATGGGCAGTGACCTCCATCCACGCCTCCATCCTCGAAATATCCGTATCGACGTCTTGAGGGACGCTGGTGTCATACATCGCGACTTGTGGCTTCACATCTTGTTGGTACACTCTCCACTTCTCCCCACTACTTCCCGTGGTCCTGCACAACCTGAGCATAGAGCAGAATGGACGAACCGCGGTTATCTGTAAAGAGCGGGTGACTGTATAGTAGTGTGTCCCAAGCCTGTTCATGGACGTACGAGAGGTTTGAACATGTGAGATGTTCTCTTCCTTGGGATCTGAGAAAAGCTAGCCTCGTTGATATCCGGTATAGAGCAGGAAGACATAGGCAAGAAGGTGTCCAGGAAGGTGTCAGCGGGGAATGGGCCGACGAACTTGTTGCGAGCATTCAGCGTTAAGACCTTCTCGAGGAGGCCGGGCGGAGGCATTCTGCCAGGGCCTTCTTTCTCCATTGTAACGCGCCTCCTTCGAGAGCTGTGCACCGATTTCGGCATAGGACAAGTGGGTAGCTGGCTAATGTGCTAGATGTGCGGGTTTGAGGATGAGCGAAACGGCGACAGCGCTATTATTGTCACGTGAATTCTGGCCCGCGTCATCCGCACGCGTCTCGACCGCGACGCGACGCATGCTTGTTGGTGCATGCATTCACTACCATTCAGCTCCTACAACCTAAAAAGCTCTCTTTTCTTACTGCTCTCCACATAACGGCGTCAAATCCCTGTGAAAGGGTCCGTATAGGCGTGTAATAGCTCAGATTTGCTGATGGGTATCAACTAACTCATTCTCCAGAGCTCGCATTTGCCACATCATCTATGTCATCACCGAAACAACATAGTCGAAGAAAAAAGTCTCATAAGGAGCGTAACCCTTCCCGAGAAACATGGTCACGCGGAGATCTCGAGGATATTCTTACATCTGAAGCTAGTGACAAGTTCGTCGGTCCAATGCCGGTGGATGCGTTCTTGGATGACTTCTTACCGACAACTTCCTATTCCGTGCCTCGAGTCGATGTATCCAACCTCAAGTCCGTACAAAAGAATGGCCGTGGGGATGATGGGAGAATGAACATCTGGGAGGCTTTCGTACGTCCGTGATCGGTCACTGTTTGCATCGGTCATACCAATGATCATTCTGCAGTCGCAGGTTTTCGCCCCATTCTTCGGAAATCTGAGGATTTGCAAAACAGCAGGATCATTCGACAAACGATGGCGAGTGTACAAACAAAAGGTGAAACCAGCCATCGCAGTCTACGAGGTCGACGTCCCTCTCGACGTGGACACGGACATCTCGAAGATGGAGACCTGGATAGAAGTCACGGCTGACGAAGAGGATGACCCATTCGAGGACCCTCCTGACGAGCTTTCGGGACAGGATCTCTGCGACCACCTCGACGACCGTCCATTCGAACGCGAAGACGAATCGGGGACGCTTACTCGCGGGAGAGCGCTTGCCCACGCTATCGCTCAGCTTGGCTCCCAGTACCGAAATTTCGCGTTCTCTGCCCTTATTTTCGGGAAGTATGCTCGGTTGGTCCGGTGGGACCGTGCGGGTGCGGTAGTATCACGACGGTTCGACTGGACCATAGCACCGGAGCTGCTCGCTGGCTTCTTCTGGAGGTTTGCGAATGCGTCGCGGGAGGAACGGGGGGCTGACGAGACGGTGTCACGGGCAGACTTGAGCGAGGAAGATGCGGCCTCCGTGCGCCGAGGACTAGCACTCCCATCAGACGAAGGACTTTTCGCCTACCTACTTCACGATGACTCGTCACCACCACCATTATCCACCGAAAACGAACACAGCCTCAGTACGAGCCCGATTCCAGCGTCTCGTATATACTATGGTCCTTGCCTCAACTTCATGCCATGGGAACTCATCGGAAGCTCGACAAGGACCTTCGTTCTTTGGGACCTAGTTAGCCAGAAGAAGGTTTTCATGAAGGATACCTGGAGACGCGATTCGCGATCAGCAGATAAGGAAGGGGACATCTATCGGATACTGAAGTCGCATGATGTCTCGCATCTCGCTCCCATGGAGTGCAGCGGGGACGTCTTGAGCACTCATGGCATGAGAACGCGGACGCAGGACTACAGCAAGCCATATCTGGGTTTACGATTGTCCGGCTACGTCCATTACAGGATAGTCTTCGGTGTTGTGGGCACTAGTTTGCATGATTTCTCGGCTCCGCATCAGCTTTTTTCAGCCCTGGCTGATGCTCTGGAGGGTCGGTACCATCCATTCCAACTGCATTATACTACTGATATCACGTTTTAGCCCACAGGGACGCGTACACTAAGGCCAAAATCCTGCATCGGGACATAAGCGCTGGTAACATCATATTATCACCCACCGGCGAAGGACTGCTGATCGATTGGGACCATTGTCTGAACATGAACAATCCGGCCAGCCTGAAGACACAGGTTGGATTCACGGTCAGTGTTTCGATATTTAGTGGTCTTGTACGCTTTCCCGCTGAGATGCTAAACAGGGTACCTGGGAATTCGCTTCGGCACGACTGCTCAGAAAACCTCGCACGGAGACGCACGTCTTGGAGGACGATCTTGAGTCGTTCTTGCATGTTGCAACGTGGACGTCAGTTCGTAGAATTCCGGGTGGGCTCAAGCCAAGGAAAATAGAGCGACACCTTGAGGACTTGTTTCGAAAGCGATGGCAAACGGGCGATCGAGAGATTGGCGGGCTCTCCAAAGAGTTGCGCCTGTCCGCAAGCGATCGGTATCTTCCCGATGACTGGTTAGAAGGATCGCCTTTGCGAACTCTACTTGGCAACATAGCGGAGATTTTTGGCCTGCGATATCGCCACGAGCCTACCGATGCTGAACGCAACACCGAACGAGTGTTATATCCATTCAAGGATCAGTGTTCTAAGGCATACGAGGAGTTGTACGCCCGCGTCTACGACAAGGCCATGGTGGCCCTCGGGACGCATGACTGGATGATTGCGAGGATGCGGGAGCTGTCAGACGCTCTTTTTAACAAGGGTGGTCCCATCCCAACGGGGACCGTTTGCGATGCTAGGATTGGACAGTAGTCAGCGCTTTTGGTCGTACTCGCTTTGACTCGAAGTCAGCGGAATGGCCGCTGAGTATGACCACCCTTGAGGATCAAGTGCCGAATATCGACCACATATTTAGTACTCCAAGTGCCTCGTCACGCTATCTTTTCATCTCGCTCGTTGAACCCGCACCATGTGGTCCTAGAAGCAGTCGAGCCGGCCGGGGATCTAGTATTGGACTTGTGGAAGGCGATGGTTTGTGCGAAGAAAAGGGCGAACATCTATATATAGCATTACAAAATCATCATTTCAACAGGTTCGCGTGCAATTTAATTCCACAAATATCGATTGTAACCTTAGTACCTTTCCTCCGGACCCTCCGGAACAGAAGCAGTGTTGTTGTGGATAGATGGTGGCACGCTAGGACGCTCTGCATTTTTGGCAGCGCATCCTTATATTAGTCCTCGACGGTGTCTCCCTGACCGTCCCCATATCTGAATCCCACTGTGACATGTCTGCACTAGGTATGCCAGATGGCCTGTCTTCCGAGTCCCGGCGACATCTTATTCTTATTTACCTATCTCTCCAGGATCAAGCTTCGACCAGCAAGCAAACGAGGATGCATGGAGGAGACTCCACGGCCAGATTGCCCAAGGGGCAGAGTACGACTCCAACGAACGCCGTCCTTTCTCCCAATGTCTTCCAGGCACCCGCGTTGAGCTCTTGAAAACGCTGGAGGCGTCCTTAATACGGCAGGACAGCAAGATCGTTTGGCTCTTCGGGGGGTCAGGTTCGGGCAAATCGAGTGTTGCATATTCCACCGCAGATCGTCTTCGCAGCAGAGATCAGCTAGCCGCAACATTCTTCTTCTCACGCAAGGAAGTCTCTAGGAGCAGCACTGATTATGTCTTCCTCACCCTCGCATACCAGATTGGCCTCCTTCACCACCGTGCCAAAGAGGCTATAATCAAAGCCATCAGGCACGACCCTGACTTACTCTCCCCCCATAAGTCTCGTCGCGATCAGTTCATCAAACTGCTGGCCGAACCCCTGAGAGAGCTTCGGTTCGTTTGGTCAACGAACAAAGGGATGGTCTTTGATACTGCCGATGAAGGGATTGCGGGACACGGAGTTCAAGTCGGAGACTTGGTCCGCATGTTGGTCGAGCTTCTCCTGGATCCTACCATCCCTATTTGCAGTATTCTCTTCACTAGCATGGTCTCTTCTCAGCTGCAGGCTCTCACAAGGCATCCAGAGATTGTTGACATCATGCATCCTTACCACGTCGAGTCTTTTTGTGCTATCGAAGACGTCAAACTTTATCTGCAATGCGCATTTGAAGAAATCTACTACGTATGCGAACTTGAATTCTTACACCCTCAGCCATGGCCTCCTGGAGATGCCGTTAAGATGCTAGCGAAGCAGACTCAAGGGCAGTTTATTGTCGCTGCAACTATCTGTCGACTCATCCGTGAAGCCTCCAGCCCACACGATTTCTTGAGTGCCATTTTGAGCATGTACAGCGGCGAACTTGGTTCCCTGGATCTCACCTTAGGCAACATTGACTCGGTTTACACTACATCATTGCCAACCCTGACGTTGAGGATCGGCAACTCGGTGTCGAGTATCTGGCAGACATCATTGCGCTCGCAAGTCCCCTATCACTGTCTGACATCTGTAGCCTGCTCACTACCGACGTCCGGAAGCACATCACCCATCTTTCAGCCATCGTTTCTCTCCCGCATATGGACTCCCCAAGTTCTGTGCAGATATACCACTCGTCCCTCCGTGACTACCTATCAACTAGGTCTCGTTCTGGGGACTTTTACGTCGACCCTGCAGAGTCACACCGCCGTCTAGCTGGATTATGCCTGAAACTCATGCGTCGACAGCTGAATCCGGAGATACGCGAGCAAAAAGGTGCATCCAGATTACATACAGAGATACCAGATTCTAACCGCAGCATGATTCAGCGATATCTGGCGCCCTACGCTACGCCTGTCTTTACTGGCCATATCATCTTGAAGCAATGAGCCACAGCGCCGAAAATCAAGCACTTGTCTTCCAATTTATACAGGAACAGCTTCCCTTCTTTTTAGAAGCGTTGTCTCTGATGGGCTGCTTTGATCTTGCTGTCATTCGCCTTAGTGAAGCTTCTAGGGTAGTCTCGGTGAGTGAGCCCCTCACGCGGTGTGCTTATTGGTCTTATCGACAAGCCCACCAGTCATGGAAGTTGTCCCATGAGCAAAACACATTCCCTGCCGTTTTCAGTACGTTTATCAGGGTCATTTTTCGACTCAGAGGTTCAGCAATTAACGTTATGCGTCGATTCAGATGTTGTTACAAGATATCTCCAGTTGATCCCTATTTATCCGATTTATCCAGGCGCGTCCGCAAAGCTGAAATAGCTTTGATTAGTGAATAACATATGACCACAGCTGTTGCACTATCTCATGCGTCGTTTTGCCTAACGGACACAAGGTATGCAAGAGGTAATCACTCACTGCCCAGGCGCTAACAGCTAAAGCTCAGTGCCCTGTCCGCGCTCAAACACACACTTGACGAGGTGATAAATCGACACAATGATGATAACCCACTTTCATGGCTCCTGTGCCACGCTCATATCAGGGCAGAGTTCCGAAAGATAATTGACACGACGGTCTGTTATAACATTTTGTATCTTTTTTACTGCGGACATAGCACTAAAGTCAGACGAAGCTACAAGCCAGTAATGAAGCCCGTTGCAGGCATATGTTCTTTCGAACCTGCACACGAGCTGAATGCGATCTTCCGTCCCTTGCCTTTCAACTATCCCCTGTCTTTGGAAGTCATAACAATGCGAGCAGCTTCTTCTCACAGAAGGGCCAGAACGCACAAACATTAGTGGATATCCTACAAGCTGTGCGTCGTAACCTCAACTATATTATAGATTCTCCAGGCAATTTACTGTACTTTGTGTCTCAATCAGATCCTCATGCGTTCCAAGATCGATGCGAGATCACAACGCATGGCTCGTTACGCAATGATACACCTCGCTGCAAATTCAAGCCGTTACCCGCAATGTTTAAATTTACGCAATGTCACTTGGGGAACAAGTCGAATGTTTGCACGTGGTAAATTTGCAGATATCTACAAAGGAAACATCAAAGCAAAGCCAGATGTACAGCTCGCTGTCAAAGTCTTCCGCATGCACCAGACTTTTGGCTTCGAAAAGCCTCTAAAGGTCTGTAGCACCGTTTCGCTTTTGCCAGTCATAGTAGTCAAACCTCGCACGTGCAGTACCTTGCAAGAGAAGCCACAGTGTGGGGCCAGCTTCGACATCCCAACATTCTTCCATTTTATGGTGTATTGCAACAAGGAGCAACATTGAGCCTCGCTTCTCCGTATCTCAAATATGGACAAGTTCGCCACTATCTTGAAATACATCCCAGTACCAACAGGGCGCTGTTGGTGCGAGCTTTCGCTTCTCGTTTTGATGCGGTATATGTGTCCTTACTTTGCTCTAGGCGTTGGATGTTGCGCAAGCGTTAGAGTTCCTCCATGGCTGGGATCCAGAAATTGTACACATTGTTATCAACGGGGTGAGTGGCAGCAGAACGAATCCACTTGTTTCTTATTATGCTGACTAGTAAGATGAAATATAGGGCAGTGTTTTAATTACAGACTCCGGGAGAGCTTGTCTCATCAGCTTCACATCCACATCTGCAAAGGACGGACTCCTTGACGAGCACGACACGAGCTCGTTCACCGCGTCTTGTTCTCTTACCAGCATCATCCCCCCGTGGGAACTTTTCATCCTCCCTCTCCTCCACTAAATTATGCGACATCTATCACCATCGGTTTAGGGATGTCATCACCACTCCACTCCGTTTCACTTTCTGAGGGACGACAACGAGGCGATATACCCATCGGGTGTTGATCACCCACCATCCACCATGCAACAACACCGTCGGTGACATCAGTCCCGCCCACATCAAATTGCTTCAAGCTGGCGCTCAGTGCTCGAGCCCCCTGTTTGCTCTCCCATCTTTGCCCGCAAGGGACATAGGACCCCCGACCCCCGTACGTCACTCATTTGGTACCTCCACGTTGATGGCCTCTTCGGGGTCATCGGCCTCCTATGGGGTGGGGACCGGGTTTGTTGGGTTCCGGCCCACTGTCAAAGGTAGTTGTGAGGAGATGTGGAATAGGGGCCTGGTATTGTTTGCAGCACTCTTTTCTATGGCCATTTTACCTCACCGACATGCTCCTTGTGTGCCACCTCTCCCATACATGCTACCACAGCATACTATACTCCACTTGTGACTTCCTTCGAGTCACCTCATCCTCTCATGATCCTAGTCCACTGCGACGGGTTCCTCATCTCAACGAGATGGTTTCGCTTTTGAAACTACTCCCTTACCACCTTGTATATGATTCGTTTCATTACGTTTCATTCTTCCCTGCGCATTGTCTACGGACTTCCTAGTGCCCTAAGGGCTTTCTCCAGTGTTCGTTTGTAGTGTTTCGGTTTCAATACATTCCCGCCTAGTGCGGTGTTGAGGCAAAAAAAAAAAAAAAAAAAAGACACGAGCTCGTTAGAGTCAATGGATGATATTCCATGGACGGCCCCAGAGATTTTTACCGGAGATGGCCTCGAAAATAAGGCATTCACCATAAGAAGTGATATGTACGCTTTCGGCGGATTTTGTTATGAGGTCAGGGGTCTACGAGATACTTCATATGAGTGACACTTTGACAAGCTTATGTCGATTCTGCAGATATACTGTGGCAAAATACCGTTCCACGGTCTTGTGCAGCTAGCCGTTTTACAGAAGATAATGTCCGGAGAAGTCCCTGAAAGAATTAACAGCGGGCACCTGGACGATACTGTCTGGACTTTCATGGAGCGATGCTGGCGCACAAAGCCGACAGAAAGGCCTACTGTGATCCCACGTCAGAATACACGGCCAAATTTCTAAAATGCCTGGAATATTTTTGATAGATGCAATCGTGCTGAATTTAGGTTTGGAAACCCGTCCTGACATAAGCTCTCATCCAAAAAATCCCTGAAGTGTCAAAGTTGCGGGATCCCTCTTGATTCGGGGATCGGTGAATTTGGACGTTATCGGGGACCCACGTCAGAATGCACGGCTTGTAATGCTTCCGGTGGCGGTGGTTCACGCCAAATTGGGAAGGAAGGCGGCTTAGGCGAGCCCCAAAAAGGGAATACGGGTTCATTAATTGCGTGTCGCTAACGGCGTTACGGTGGCTATTGGGCGTGATAACATCCCGAGAGCGAGTTCTTCAGCTATTTGAAGTTATAGAGAGTTCCTGCCCTTATGATATGCCCAATTGTATCTTAAAGTCAGCTCAAGAGGCGTACTTAGCACCCTTGACCTATTCAAGCTGTATAGCGCGACTGTATGAGTGCGTAAAGTTTGATAAAGCTCTAAATTTTTTCAAAGTAGCCCATTTTTCACCTTCTAGTACTCGTAGCTCGTCATCCAGATGTTACCTGGCCCTACAAACGTTATGGCACATTGAATATGATCCAAACATAATTGTCATGAATTTACTTTGAGAGTTTTGCACGGGAAACGGGCTAGAAAGCGAAGTGTGCATCCTGACGTGGGTGTGTATTCTGACGTGGGATCACAGTACTGCTCAGGAGGCGGTAGAGTTCTTCAAGGCTCGAGTGTTGAACTCTGGGTTGGTACGAATTGAACCGGCGGAAGAATGGGACTACTCCATTATCGACGAAAATATGAAGCAGGCAGAGCGGTTCCTCTACCTTGATCACCCTGAAACGATTCGTAGTCCAAGCTCCGGCCAACAAGTACTTATGTAGTCCCAGTCCTCTTTGCCAGCATTCCAAAACCGCCTACTGTATGCCTGATAGATCCATTAACTAGATTCACGCAAGGTCGTACACAGCTAAGACCGAGTTGCTACGCAATGTATGTACTGAACGCTTGACGTGGGATATCAATTTGGTCTCTCTCTCTTCGCCATCGTCGTATATTTCTGCTAAACGTACTTACATAAAATGTGATGTCGCGATCAATCTTTGCGTCGAATAAAGTGAAGTAGAAGTACTGGCACACTGCTTACGATGACTTGTATTATGATATGCCTAACAAGGGGTAGAACGACTGATGAGTCCATGCATTGGTGAATGTCAAACAAGTACCCAGTCTGTTGATACCCGATAATAAATGGTAACCGAAGAAATCTCAACAGTGAGTGCACGGGGAGTGGGTAGAAACGAGGCGATGGAGAGCTGCCGACGGCTGAGCGACTGTAGGGCTGTGTTGGAGGGCGCAGGATTGGTCCGGCGTCCACGAGAGTGCGCCTTGGTACTTGCAACGCAGTGTTTGGCGAACTTTTGTTCAACAAGTCAGACCAGTTAACTTGACTTCATTGTTGTACCACGGATGACTTGAGGGGTAGTCATAACCGGGGCAGCGACATCTCGACGAGTCTTGCCCTTGAGCGCGCGCTAAAACAGACATGTGTTTTCATCAAGGCGTGACAAGACCAATGATTGGGCTATGATACAAGTAGGAGTGTAAGAAGGCTCGAATAAGTTGGACTTATACTGTACGTAGAGCCTCTCTGATGCGATACTCCCAGTACCTACAAGGGGCAAAGGTCAGATGCTTTAGGGATCAGGAGGGTAAAGACCCACTTCTTGCGAATCGTGTCATGCTCGTCTGCGAGCAATTTCCACAACTAAGTTACGGGTACATGAGATGCGCATCAACTGGTGGTCGAAAATAACCCACCTCTGTAGCTTTCATAATGCTATCGCCACCAGCGGCCTCGTGCACATCAGCCAAGAACTCGATCGCCGCAACACATGGCAGCTGAGCCAGCTTGGAGGGCAGAGGGTTTTCGAGGTCGATGACTTCTGCCGGGGCATCATCTTCGGATCGTTGGGGGAGAGTGTACGGAGTGACAAAGATCTGAAGCTCAGAGAAGGGAATCTTGCTATGTTCCAGGACACCTCGCAGGTAGTTCCACACCGAAGCGTTGTTAGGCGCTTTGGCGATGTATTGCTTCGCGAAACTAGCCAGAAAAAGGATGAGGACATTGGAACTCATTGTATCAGCAAGGCAAACACGCACCTAATCTCTCTCTGAGCAACTGCGCCTCGATCCTCGTCCCCCTTCCGCACCCCAGATTGAAATACAACAAAGAACCGATGATGCCACGCCGAATTGTTCCTCAGATCCTCCTCGAGCAAATCACCTACAAAATCGAGCTCCCTCTCCCACAGCGTGTCCTCGTTGAAGTATGCGAGCAGCCATTGGCGATACGACCACGTGTGGTAGTTCTTCGTGTCCGCCCGGAGTGACCGTGACAGGAACGCGAGCTCGCGTGCCGGCTCCCGCGTGCGCGCGACGAGCAGCCGTCGGTGGTGCCAGACCTGGTACGTCTTCAGGTGTTTCACCGCGATCTCGTCCATGAGTGCGAGCTCGTCATCAAGCGGATTGTTGAGCTCAAGGAGGGTCTTGTAGCGATATTGCCTGGCAAGGACCGGGAGTGGGAGAGATGATGATCAGGAAAGTGCGTAACGCAGCAAGGAGGAGGGTACACACCATGCGGAGTAATGTGCTGGGTTCATACGGATGATGGCCTCCGTGAGCTCCAGTACGCGAGGACTCATCTCCCCAGCCTTGACGATTCCTCGGAAATACGATGTTGCATCCTTATCTACGGGATGTCAAAACGAAGAACACTATGAAGCAGCAGAAGCGAGCTGACATTCTTCCGAGTAGTAAATGGGTGCAAGGGGGTTGACGCCTTCGTACTGTTCTAAAGGCGTGACATCTGCCCACTCTGGTCGCTCAGAGAATAGAACAAGTGTAGACGAGTCTTGTTGGTGCATGGAAGGTGCGAGAGAGACGAACGACGCGCTTGCATAGGGGCAAGCCGTGTCGTCCTCGCTGGCGTCTCAGTTTAGCTCCGCTTGTAAAAGTTGCTCCTTTCCCCACACGGCCAACACACAAGGATGGGCAAATACCAAGGGCGTTTAACAGCCAACTCAAACAACTTCTTGAATGTGTATGAATGAGTAGATGGTGTGAGCCCCGGGGTCCAAGGGATTGGTCGGATTGTGTTTCAGAGACTCAGGCCGTCAAATCCGACGCGAGCTGGGCATCAGACGATTCACAGGTGAGTCAAAGTATGCAAGTGAGCTTCAAGTCTACGTATACTGAACACTGCTCGATTTATAGCTTTAGGTTTTCTACAGTAAGGATTGGCGATATTGCCACTGGATAAACAGGGTATCATTGATGTTCAACAACCAGTAGGTCGATACGTTGTCATTGACGCTACTTATATCAACTAAACGTGATCCATACAGGTTCGTCAGCGACGCTGATTGTCCGTGTAGCTTCTACGGTGCCTATCTTCCGATAAACCTGTGGTTCAACTTCGTTGGCTACTACCCATCGCAAAACGCTATCCGGGTGATCCGAAGTGACATCCAAAACCCAACTGTTTGACGTAGGATCCCTGCAATGCTGGATCCACGGCAGAAAGACCTTGGGCGTGTCATGTCCTTGAGGAAGGATGGCAATTATTCTGCGATTCCACCTTGAGAGCCCGTCGGCGCCCTGCCCGCCATTGACCAGCAGATGGTTCAATCTATAGCCATCCACTATCCGGGCGCATTCATGTATACTGTCTCCACTCAGCGCTGCTTTCATCGCCGCTTGATCTTGATGGACAAGCTCGTTATTTGTCGGACTATGTGGACGGACATGAGCGTTCGCAATCGTGTTCATCAGTGTCTTCTCCGCCGGACCGATATCGCATCCTTTAGCGGCGGCTGTCCATAAGATCAGGAGCATCTTGCCCAGCTCTCCGCTTCCTGCTCCTATCGCTTCGCTGTAGCCGACGATTCTTCCGACGACTCTTGCTGCTATCTCAAGTCCTTGTGCGGTCAGCAGTATACGACGATTATTGCGATGTGGCTGCGAAAGCGTTTCTTTATGGAGTCCCGACGACATGCCGTACCAGTGCTCGGCGCCCGTTATCACCGGCATCCATTGTACCCCTGGTTCTCCGTTGGCAGCCATAGCATCATTGAGGAGTGGCCACAATCTACCCGACGTGACTGCCTTGGTGATAATCTGCTTCCAAAGTTGTTCTAATGCCGATCGTCCCCCTCCATTCCCGAGGGTACGAGGGTCAATTGGCACCTTGTCGTCGTCGCTCAGCATCCCATACAGACCCAGCAGACGATCCACATCAAACGTAGAAGCTTTGTCCGTGTTGTACACAACCAAAGGCATGATATCGATGTGCCCGTTTTGAAGGAGGTCCTCTTTAAGGTTCCATGATTCGTCGTGACGAAACCAGTAACCTGTCATGACGAGCTCCTCATGCGTATGGATATCTGGGTATGCTGGGCACCCCTCCGGCCTGGTAAGGTGTTTCGTCTGGAGTGCCCACTGGTACCACCTGAGGATCGTGTAAAGTTTGTCGACTCGCAGGTCCTGGCCGTTCGGGAGAACGAGCCTCCTCGACAGCATGAGCTCCTGGTATGTCCAGGTCCTTTTGAACCACTCGTTATTTGCAATATCCGCGAGGAAAGGGATCGTCTGCCACAGTCGTCTTTTTGCCTCCTCGGTCTCGGTGAGTCCATCTTTGATAACGGTGTCGTAGATTTGGATCACGGGAAGATATGATTTGGAAAAGGCGTCGAAGTCTACGGGGACGACAAGGCACGCAACCGCGTTCTGGTAGTAGTGAGTCATGTTGGGGATCTCACGAGCCTTCTCAGCCTGTGCGTCTTCGCTATCTGGGGTCTGGTCTATGCACAGGATGTCCATCCACAGCCACTTGATATTGTTGTCTTTGCAGAAGTTAGTTATAGCGTTCCATTTGTTTAGGTTGGTAACAGGAACAACCCATGAAACGCCGGCGAGGGAGAGATGCTCTGTGGTTATCCCCCAGACTTGGGAGACCACCCAGTAGGACGGCATCTGACCATTGCTTTCAAGGAGGTAGGTGTTCATGTCTTTGACTTCTTCGTTCGAACAGTCCCATAGTCGCAATGGATACGTCGATCTACTTGCGTTGATTTGTGAGCCATTACTCACGCTATATTATGTTTATTCTAAAACTTACCTTCCATCTCTAGCCTTTATCAAGTCCGAGATAGCGAAACTCTTCTGTATTGAATTTTCAAAAGATATGGAACCATTGATTGGTACATCGTGTGAGGTAGGAAAGGTCGCAGTCGGAGACATGGGTGTGAAACCAATACCAAGGTGAAAAATCGAGCGGAATCGGGGCTGGATGGTATGTCTAGTTACAGAGCGTCGATAGGGATGCGCTTATATTTCAACTTGGCTGAGGACTTCGCTCGAACCGCTTTCCTGTGCGATCGCGACGCTTTTCTTGAGCGGCGCTCATGACGGTGTTCCGAGTAAATTCGCATCGCCTCGCGCATCGGAAGTTCTGAGGACAATTCCCGTACCTTTCCCAGGACTTACTAGTGCGAGAGTAATTGACTACAGTGTGAAGTCGAGTATTATTTGCTGGCGCACAGGTAGTTTCTAGTATGAAGCTCACTTAAGTGTCAGAAATGCGGGCTGTGTGATGCCTACCACATTCCGGAAAGCAAGGGATAACGGATGGAGGGCGCAATGAGGTGCACTTTGTGCGGGAGGTGCCTATACTAGTACCTTGCCACAGCCCCCAGTCGTGAACAATCGACCTGTTCATATTCGTGCGGGGAGCAGCATTCGCCAATTCCGTCAAAGACGAACGAGCGCGTTAACCCCTCCGCCGCATCCGCCTCCCACGTATTCCTACTAACAGCTCTCAGGGACTCGACAAAGACAGGAAGATGATGATCCGAGTACGAACGTTCCTGGTGCAGTAAACCAGGGTCCTTAGCGAGGGCGTCTACGGCTTGCTTTTGGATGAGATGATGTCCGACGCCAAGTTGATGAGCGATGGTCGGAAGGACGGAGGATAGCGATTGACGCCTAGTATCTTTTCGAGAGAAGAAGAACCTGCCAGCCAATTGCCCCTGAGTTTTTAATAGCCGCTCAACGATGGAAACGCCCCTGCCGTCTTCCCGGTTCCCACTGCACCGTGGAGCCATACATTGACAACACTCCGTGAGCGCTCTTAATGTTCCAAACTTATGCGAACCTTGCAAGGCCGCCCACCGCCACATGTCGACCCAGCACAGGCACTTATACTGACAAGTCAGCTTGATATGATCAATCGTACCGTCGGCTATCGACTAAGGTACTATTTACATTTGAGCGTTTGTTCCTGTACTACTACCGCCCAGTCGTATTACCTTGCGCGCTCATGACCAGAAAATCATTTTCTCCTACATTGCAGAAAGAAAAGGCAAGATGCAAGAGTCCATTGACTAATGGGTGGTTGGTGCGTTTAGTAAAATACAAGATCTACCGAGCGAAGAGGACATAGTATGAAAGTACTGAAAAGTAACGGGATGGGATACGGTACGACAAAAATTTAGACTAATTGCAGCCCAAAACCGAATCAAGCCGCCGGAGCAGCAGCAGCGGGTGCGGCAGCAGCCTCAGTGCTAGCGGTGTAATCCTAGAACGCTATCAATATTCGACGAACGCCTGGTGCTCCAGACACGTACCTCCATCTCCGCATCGAGGTCCGCTACACTCTTCTGAGGGCGCTCAGTGCCCCTCTTCCCACCTCGGCGACCACGACGACCACCCCTATAGCAGCGTTTAGGTACAAGATATACACCGATGACGGCCATTGACAAACCTGGTAGCACCGTTAGTAGCAGGAGCGGGGGCGTCCTTAGCAGCAGGAGGGGGAGCCACACGAGACACCAGGGAGCTAGACGCCGCGAGACGGGAGGGGTCCATAACAACTTCAATTTTCATCGGGCGTTCTGTAGTCGGTGCAAAGGCGAGACGGGTGAAAGAGATGAACATCATTAGTCGGCTGTCCATTTGAAGCGAGGAAGCAAGCAAGCAAAAGGAGGACGAGTACGATCCAATCCGTTACCGCGCGCATTGTGTCTTGTCTTTCACCGACGCTTCATGCGAGCAGCAGCTTTGCGTTCTGCCGGAGAGCGCTGAAATTGGTCTAAGGACGAAGATCGGGAACTTGTCCCACGATGCCTACGCCAGCCTTCGAATCCAATCCCACGACACCTCCCTTCATCGACAGTTCCAGTCGCCGAAGTGTGCTTTGTGGGTGCTCGAGCCTCAGGAGTCACCTTCCTTGAAGCGAGCAACAACCACGAGCTCTGATAGTGAGACTATCTGCGCAACGTGGGGTAACGGACCACCACCCGTTACCCACGTTTGAGTGCGCAATGAGCAGCAATGACTCCACGAGGAGCTCTTGCGGGTCGAGACGGACAACAATGCGCGTTGCAACCGCAATGTGACGACACTCCGAAATAGAAACGAGGTAGTGAAAAGGAGGCGATACTAACTTCCATCGATGAGGCGGTTGTTGTATTGCTGGTAGGCCTTGGTGCCGTCTCCCTTGCGTTGGAAATGAATGGCAGCAACACCCTTGGAACGACCCGCACTATCGTAGTGCAAGGTCACCTCACGAAGGGGGCCGACGGTGGTGTGGAAAAGCTCCTGTAGAAACGTAAGCGTCTGGGTAACTGAAGTAACGATGAGGACACTAACCTTGACTTGAGCTTCGTTCACATCCTGGGGCAGATTCGAAACAATGATCTTGTCAGCAGGCTGCTGGACCGTAGGCTTGGCAGCGGCAGTAGTGGCGGCGGCCTGAGCACGAGTAGTGGGGGCGGCGTTTCCGCGACCGAGAACTTGGGCCTTGGCGGTGCCACGGCGCGAGGAACCACGGCGGGGGGTGCGACGGGTGGCAATGATCTGGGTGAGGGGTGAGGACGCGTGTTCGTGTCGTTCAACAAGGAAGCAATTTACGTCGTCGAGGCTCTTGTCCATTATTACTGAGAAATTAGAGTGTTGAAAGTACGATGAATGACGTTAGACGAAGAGGAGTAACGGAAAAAGAGGAGGAAGTTGGTGGTGGTGGGTCTGGGTGGTGGTGGCAGCAGCGGGAGGGGCAGCGAGAAATTTCCTCCACAGCAAACGCGCGGGACATAAGTACAGTCGGAGTTTCAAATGTTCTAGACCAGCACGCACGCACCTGTCTCTGCCTTTGTCATCTCTCGGATCCGGCTCAGGCAACAGCACCGCTACCTTTACACATCTTCTCAAATGTCCCGAGGCGGTCGAGGCGGTGGTCGCGGTGGGGGAAGGGGCGGTTTCAGAGGTGGAGGAGCAGGCATGGGGGCCAACTCCATGCCCCCGATGGGTCTTAGCTTCGCCGATATACAATCCTTGTCGCGAGAAGCGGATTCACTCTATCCTGTACGACTCATTGCTGTCCGTTCGTCTGGTGCCAATGCAACCCTTATGAAACTATCAGCCCATAGAACCACTGCCTGCCCTTGCTGAGTACTCTGCTGCGGACAAGCGTATTTGCGATTTGCAATTAGGGTTTGCGGCGCGCCTGAAGAAATCACCGTATTACATCGTCGAGTCAGAGAAGGTCGATGGTAAGAAATTTTCACAGCCATCCTCGTCAGAACTGACTGTTTTTCAGATGTTCAACGATATTCCGACAAGTACCGCGACAGCAGCGCTTCTCGGCCTATGCTCAAGAGAAAGGATCTTCATGCGCCGTTCTTCCCTCAGGAGATCTTTGAGTGGTACTTCAACCCTAAGAAAAAGCGGAAGAGTATGTCTCCGCCATCATCCTAGCTTTCTTGCACTTAAAATATTTACCTAGCTGCGAAGAAAGCCGCAGGCCAACGCGTAGATCTGAACGATTTGGGCGAGGACGAGGACCTAGTGAGCAATTCCCGGGTAAATGCAGCGAAAAGTCTGATGATTCTTCAGGAAAAGAGTGACGAAGGCTCAGACGCAGGGTCGCAAATCGTAGAGTCAGACTATGATGTCGATGAGGAATACGACAATGACTATGCTGAGAACTACTTCGACAATGGCGAGGGTGACGACATGGATGACCTCGGGGGAGGTGGAGGAGACGACGGAGGCGGTGGTGAGTGCAGCTTTCCGTCGATTTGTGTGCATCGCTGAACTCCACCTAGGTGGTGACTATGATTAGTCTGGTCGTAGTCCCTAGGGAGGAAAAGAAGTCCTTGACTGTATCGTGTCCATGTACTTCTATTTCACTGGTCTCGTCATTTTAGCGATTATGACTCTTATTATGCCATAAATCTAAGAGTCTCGAACGCGATGTTGTTCATCGGTGCGCCCGTACTTTGAGGTTGATTTTCGTCACGTGTTGGCATAAAAGGACGCGTTCCACCGTTGTCAATGTCTACTCCTAAATCCAACCTCTACTTATCCCCCACACGCTAAACTATGTTCTCCGTTCTTTTCCTCATCTACCTTTTCATGGCGCCGGCCGCTGTCTCTGCGTGCGAAGGAGAATGCATCGTCAAGACCACCAACGAATTCCTCAGCTTGTATGCGCCCCGTATCATAAATGTCTTTGACACTTTGGTGAGCTCCCGCCCTCCTTAAATCCGTTCAGACACTCATGTATGCATTCATTCATCTGATGTCTGTACTTTAGGGCGACATGATCAACAAAAACATCCTCCCCGCCGAAGCTCAGCGTGCTCTCCCGCTCACCTACTTCCACCCCATCCTCGCCGAGTACAACTCCACCGCGTACGCCGGGCTCGAGACCGCCATCTTTCCGCACTACTTCCACGGCAAGTGCCTCGATGCGCACGGCAACGAGCCCAACGGGTGCCCGAACCCGGACTGCCCAATCGTGTGCGGCACGCCCGGCTCGCTCGTGCACTTCTACCACATCCTCAGGCAGATCGTGTTCGATCAGACCAGAGAGATACTCGTCAACATCACGGACCCGAAGACGAAGGCGTACAAGGCCATGGAAAAGGCCGTGCTGGATGATGTCAAGACGGCGGGTCTCGATAGGCGCGCGAGCAGAGGACTCGTGCACGGTGTCTCGAGGGTATACAGGAAGAGACAGACCAGCACGTACAAGGCACAATTGCGCTCAATCATCAAGGAGTTCTCGAGCGAGCTGGAGACGACGTGTGGTACCAATCTGACGCATTGCAGCTGGGAGAAGGAGATGAAGAAGTTCGTTTTGCAGTTTCCATGATTCTGCTACTAATATCTGTAGAGGCAGGTCCTCGGTTGTGATACATTTTGTAAACGTACATTACACTCTATTCTATGATAGACCTGATTCACTTCACTATGCGAGCTTGAGCAGATCGCTCATAACGCCCATAGCAGTTACGGCGGCCCCAGCTCCAGCTCCTTGAACGATCAGCGGTCTGCCGCCGTAGCGCTCCGTGTGGAACATGATGATGTTGTCTGAGCCTTGAAGCGAGGTTGCGAATGCGTGGTTTTTGGGATACCTATGCGAACGCAAATTAGAAACACGCCGGGTCTCGAGTGACTGAAAGCGCACTGCTCGAGGCCTGCCTTGATCACGGGCTTGCTGGGATCCGTGAGGTCCACGACACCGACATAACGCAGAACCTTGCCATCCTTCGCCGCATCTTCTCGCGTCTTGGAAAATTTGGCGTCGGACTTGGGCAAGCCATCCATGAAGTCTTGTAGGGACACACTCTCAAGCCCCTCGGGAACCAGGGAGAATGGGTTTACCTCCTTGAATCCTTCAACGAGGAGCTCCGAGTCTTTGAGGCTCTGAGGGTCGACCGCATGGGAGATGATGGTGCGGTAGAGGATGGTGAGTTTGCGGGCGACGTCTGCACCGTTCAGGTCTTCTCTAGGGTCTGGTTCCTAAGATGCTAATATAAGGAGTGATGAGGTGTCAGAGAGCTGTAGTAGAACATACCGTGTAACCGGCCTTCTTTGCCTCGAAGACGACTTCAGAGAAGTTGTCTCCCCCAGCTTCTCCTGTAGAGAATTTGTTGAAGATGTAGCTCATCGTCCCCGAGAACACCCCTTCGATCTTGCGTATCTACAGATCAGGATGACGTCAACGTTACGACGATGAGCTAAAGAACGACGTGAGCGTACCTTGTCTCCGGTTCCGACAAGACCCTTCAAGGTCGAGATGATAGGCAGACCCGCTCCTACAGTCGACTCGTTCAAGAACTCAGCCCCAGAGCCATTGCTCGCAACGCAAAGAATATCGCTATACAGTGCCGCACTGCCGGAGAAAGCCTTCTTGTTCGGTGTAATCACATCGATACCGTAGCCCAGCGCAACGGGGTACGACCCTGCGACAATCTCATCCGACGTGTTGTCCACAAGCACAACACGCTGGCCGAGCTTGACGAGCTTGGACAGCCCCTTGATGCACCGATGGAGCTGATCCCTCTTCTCCTCTGCCGTCTTGGGCAGATTCTCCATCTCCTTCGTCTGGTCGAAGGTTCCTTTCCAATTGCTGAGGGTAAGCTCAAGCAAGCCATCTGGGTTCGAGAGCAGCTTTTTGGAAGATTGCAGCGCGACGAGGCGGAACGGGCTGGGCGACGGGAAGGATAGGAGCTGGTTGACAAACTCGGTACCGACGAGGCCGACGCCGATGACGGCGACCTTTACGGATCCTTCGGCGTGCGTGGTGCTCATGGTCTTCTGTGAGTGGGTAGAAAAGTGTTGCAGGGTGGAAGAAGAAGATTGCGCGGTGATAATCTGCGTGACATTCTTTTTGGCTTGCGTCGTGGCGAGGACCCTGGTGCAGGCAAATCCGGTGAAATTATGTCCTCGGCACCAATACTGTAACGTCGGCCGGAGTCTGGATGCAGCGCGTGCTAACGAAAGGCTCGTCATTGTGGTTTGTGGTTAACCATGTACAAATCGATTCTACACTCGCGCAGAAGCCGCCCGCGAGTCATTGACAACTTGCTTGCTTGTTTGTATATGATCGTGGCCTTGTCATGGCCTGTAGCCGCCAGCGTCTATCTATGTTCTCGAACTTCAAGCTTCAAGTTCATGTTCCAGGCGATATACAGACTACTTCAACTGCCGACATACACGCACCTCACCTTGATCTTATCCACTGACATTAGCTGAATGCAGGTGCTTCGCCGCAGCAGTTATGATCCCACTTCATAGATATCCAACACATATAACCCCTGACGGTTATCACAGGTAGCCTGTCGACGTCATGCATCCCAATCTCAAGTGACCAAGATGAGCTCATGAGCCTGGGCTAGGTAATTGGCGTAAATTAATTTACTTACATGTGGTCCTTCTCTGGAGCCTCGTCAATGGCATTTCAGACTCTTTGAACATCCACCTTCGACTCCGTCAACTCAGAACATAACCTGAACGACCTGACACCAATAGCGTTGGCGGATGAAGCGAATTGGCAACTTCGATTGGCGTTGTTGACATACGTAATGTAAAGTAAGATTCAACAACCCTGCGTATGATGAGATACGTCCATATCACATCGCCTTCCAGCCCTCGCCTACTTCATGTTTCGTCTGACAATGTACTGCGGATAGAAACACCGCACCGAGGGTAGGGAACAGCTGCACGCTCGACCTGTGCAGGGACAAAGATCATCCTTAGGATCGTCCATTATATCGTCCTGTGCTAGCGCTCCGAGCTCCATCGCTCGCAGCAATCCCGTTAGATTTTCGATCGCACTAGGATAAATGTAGAACTTTGTTTTTTGAAGCTTCACAACGAATCCAGCGGAAATGAGATCTCAGAGAACTTATCGTATCGGCACCGTCCTGCCGCAGAAGCCTCGTTACGAACATCTGGGATGTGAACGCGTGGAAAGGATACGTACGTGTAACCCTCCTTTTCTGCTGACGGACACATACATGCTAGAAGACGTCGACCGCCCTGAGCTGTCGCAGAAGAATGACAAAAGCTGACGCTCCTTTGCCCCTATGACATGTCTCAGAGATTACTCTGGTCTGTAGCTCTTCTAGAACCAACATGCACTGCGGCCGTTTGTCAACAGCATTTACATGGGAATGAGCACGGATGCGACGAGTGACGTCAGGATCAGGTCTAGATGAGCAGCGAGAGATGTATGTCCGCAGTTGTTGTTCTACTCGCGCCCGGAGCGAGGCAGGGATGGTCAGAGTGTAAGGGTAAACCAGACACGAGAAAGACCCACAGACCATGATTTCCCGAAGCGAGATACCATATAATCATAGTCTCGTGCCAGAAATAGCTGCATCAGCAATGGTGCATCGCCCGAGGTAAACGTGACCGGTAATCCTGGCAAGATAGCTCATAGATCCACGGAGAGATAAATTGCTGATGGTCCAACGGCATGAAAGCTTGCAATTTCGGAGATCGTCGCTGCTGGCGAATCGGAGGTGAGGTCCAGCGAAGCATGTGTGGCTCATATCAGCCCGTCAGCTTGGGCCATGAAGACTGCGCACGTTTTAAACATGCATCGAGGGCGAGGCCGTGCAGGTACAATCATCGCGGACTTGACGCAAGATAATAGGCTCATGTCGCGTATTTGAGGGTGCCGATGGTAGATGAAAAAGACAGGACACTCAGCTCTTCAGTTTTTCAGTGTGGCAAACGCGCGTTCACTTGTATTCAGTGATAAGCGATAGAGAGTATTGAGATTGGCCAGGTCAGGAGACAAGGTCCCATGCACAAGCTTTGATGGAGTCGCGAGCGACCCTGCAAAACCAGTGGAGGAGACACTTTGCCAAGTCGAGCAACTACTCGCCGTGGAGACGGTCTGAGAATATTCCACTGGGGCGGACCATTTTCGCTCAAGAAAGAGGCACAGCTGCGGGGCAAACCTAAAGTGTGTGTCCGCTCTGAGATTTGAGGACCGATGAGGTCCTCGTTGCACAGAGACGGCGTTCGTGAGGCTTTTGTGTTTCTGAGCACAGTATTCGCCTTTGTCCACGAGAATACAATGAACGTTGAAAGCCCAGCGCTACCTTGCGAGTACGGTGATTGTGTCCTCCACGCAGCAAAATGGTCTCTAGTGACTACGTCAACATCAGTAGGTCCTTGTTCTTGCTTTTATGAATGAACAATAGGAGACGAACAATGGCTGTCGAATGGGCACCTACTTAGGATTTTGCGTTACCTCGTTCGGCGTGTGGTTGAGACTATCTGCGTCTGAAGATTAAAGCCGGCGCAGCAGCTCATCGGAGCCTTCGCGCAAAGCCCGAGGATCCGGGAGTTCCTCGAAGGCTCCGCAAGGCTGGCTCAATCCGTTAAACACAGAGCGATACGAAAATAACGGACCGGTAGATGTGGCACGGCGTATCATATCAGTCAAGCGGAACGACGACAACAGGCTCGGCTGTTTCCCTGTAACACGAGTAGGACACAAGCATACATTCCTCGCGCTCGCGGTTCACTGATGGTTAAAAGTAAGGCATCTAGAAGCCTGTCGAAGATCACGGAAGCAACTCACGCACCACGTTGAGGGCCACCTCATCACTCATCAGATGTAGGTGTCTTTCAATTGACAGCGTCCGACAAGCATCCGAGCGGCCGCGGCCGCGATAGGCTTAGGCTGAGACAGACAAGGGCGTAGTGAAACAGGAGCCATTTCTACCCTGGCGCAAGGAGTCGAGGGTGCGTGGTGGGTGCAGGATGGCGCCCGTGGCTGCTGGTGGCGGTGACGCTTGTCAAAGAAGGTTAACCTCAATTATTGTTCTGCCTCCGAAGGAGCGGTGTCCAAAAAAGAGGTTTTTGCCGATTTGCCTTTCTCCAGTCCCATGGCTCTGTGTTCAATGGACTGAGACGTCCAGAAGGACGATGATAACTGAGAAGGAGCAAAGGCGCCCGTGATGATATAGTCCAAGTCTGATAAGAATTCTTTGTTTCCATAAATAAATAAAAACGACGAGTCACGACAAAGTAGGAGATGCAATATTGAATCCGTAGGGTGGACATGGCGGGCTTTGAAAAGTTTGCCTGAATCAGATACTATGACGTGCTCAAAGAACGCGCGCAGCTGGCCTGTGATGACTGTGGAGACTGATTAATGAGGGCAGGCGGCGACGTTACGAAAGGGGTGCCCTTGGTGGGAGATCAGCTGGTGATGGGCACGCAGCACGCTCTCGGGAACACACAGGCACGGGAGAAGGAAGATCGAAGAGCAAACAAGAATGGGTTAGCTTCTCGGTTACAAGCGAATCTATAGTGTGCGGGTGGCTGGTGGTGGTTGGAGAAACCACGCAAACATGCACATACGGTACCGTGACGAGGCACTCAGCTACAGCACCGGTGCAGAGCGGAGCAGGCGGTCAGATAGAGCCGCGCGTCGGAGAGGAACGTCAGCCAGGTGCGTCTGGAAGCTGAGTGCGGTGGAGATGTATGAAAGTTTGTACAGCTGGCAAGCGTGCTCGAGGCTCGCCGCTCGGCCCAGGGCGAGTCCATCGGAAGATCGGACAACAGTGACATCTCTCAGCGCCTTGGACTCTCTTGGACTATAGCATGATATGAGTGCATTGAACACGGGTCATGGGGACTGGTGCCGCGGAGTGGCCCTAGATGTCCCTATAGGTGTTCCCTGGACTACTTGCCTTGGCTGATAGCGGAGGAGGCTACAGCAAGAGGCACCGAACTCGAGCAGCCACGCTTCCACGAATAGCCATGAATAGGAGGACCCAGATCGGCCCCAGATCCAGGGTGCGCCGGAGACAGATCACGGAGACGAAAGAAGGAAGAAGGACACGGGAAGTTGCGCCGTTCACAGATAGGAGGAGTTCCGGGCCCTGCGCAAGGGCTTGGGGAGCTGGGCAGAGCGGAGAGGAAAGGGCAATGCGATAGCGGGTGGAGCGGGACAACCATCTCAAACCCACACTTGCAGGAGAAGCGGGCTCGATACAGCAACTGTATGCGCAGTAGTGCAGCGATGGCGTTTGGGGGGACTAGATAATGAACAATAAGCCATGCTATTGCAGCGCGTTTGTCGCGAGATGGAGAGATAGTTGAAAGAGAGGATGGCTGCCACAAAGGCGACGTATGTTTTTGTTGAGATGCTCTAAGCGAATGCCGCCGGGCTTTACAAGCGATACAGCCGGACAGGGGATGGTGTGAGTCGTGACGCCCAGGAGGGGTCTTCTGGAGGTCTAGGCATGTGCCATGCATCAAATGCACGCTTTGCATCCCTGACTCGTTTTTGCTGCTCAGTGAAAGTGCATCTGAGCACCCTGAACATCCGCTGAAGCTAGGAAGCAGGCTCTGTTTGGCAGCTAGACAACAATAGCTAGGCTCTCAGGCGGAGACGGAGGTGATAACAGTGGGGAGGTTGTCGTTGTGGCGCGCCGATTAATGACAAGGCACGGTGCGGGAGTGCTCCCGGATGGCAGATAGTTGAGACTCCGCTTGTCATTTGACATGCCTGATATAGGGCGAAGAATGCGCTCTGTGAGGGAAGCGGCGGTGCGGCAGTCGGAATTGAAAAGGGACTCCAACCGTGGGCTGCTGGTAACGTCCCATTCCTGCTCTCCCACGACAGATTACCTCTTTTTTTATTACCCACCATCTCCTCCCTGTCCTCCCCGCCGCCCTCGTCCCCCTCCCCTGTCCCTCCCATCTCCATCTCCATCCCAATCACCATTCATCCCTCCTAGATAAATGTTGCTCTCACACAAGCCATCCCTCATCCCAATGTCTCCATCGCTGTCCCACCGTCGTCACCCCTCCGCCCCTCCGGCCGTTGTCGTACAGGCTACCAAGACGCCTGGCCTTCTCTCCATCTCCAAGCCGGCCCGCCCTTCATCCCGGCAGCAGTTCAACCTCCAGCCTCCGGCGAGCAACCACAAGAATGCCCGCTCGCCCAAGCAGAAGCAGCCACAGCAGGCCCGCCAGTCCCCGGTCAAGGCTGATCAGTCTGAGGACCCGTCCAAGGCCTCTCCAGCCAAGAAGGCTGCTGACAGCGACGCTGTCGAGAAACAGGAGAAGACTTCCAGCCCTCAGTCTCCAGAGAAGCGCCCCAGAGGCCGCCAGCAGGGCAAGCCTCCCAAAGATAAGGCGCCCACAAGGTGATATCCTGTGCTATCTGTCCGGTGGCTTGTGTTGACAAGTATTTCTACCCATCTTCCTCGGTACCCACACCTACAGCAATGCGCAGACGAGACGCAACAACATTCGCCAACCCTCCCCTCCGATCCCCTCGCAGGCAGAGGACAACGCCTCCATTTCTTCAGACACGAACCGCAACCCTTCTTCCAACTCTTTCGACCCCTTTGTCGTTTCTTCTGATTCCGAGTCGGACAACTCTCAAGCTGTCGCCACGACCGTCCCCAGGAAGGGTTCTACCAAGCAGGCGAGCCCTGCCTCCAACGGCGCTTCCGCCGGCAAGCCGTCTCGCAAGAGGCGCGCCGTCCCTCAGGCACCTACGACGCCCACTCCGGCGTCCAAGGCCGTCCCCATCCCCCGCAAGGAGAAGGCTCACACTCGCCCCGACCTCTCCCGGTCGGCTCCGATTGCAGCGGCCGCACCCATTCACGCAAACATGCGCTCTTCCGTCGCGTTTTCCGCGCGGTTCCCTGTCTGTGACGATACTACCGACACAGAAAACGATGACGTCCCTTCGACGCCCACTAGGTCGAAGAGCGGCTGGCAGCAGTTTGAAGATAGTCTCACCCGTTCTGTGCCCCTTCCCGACAAAGGCTTCTCGTTCGGGGTTATGAACTCCCCTCCTCCTCGCGCCCGCACTACTGGCCACTACCGCTCTCCTAGCGAGGGTGTTGGCGTCTTCAACGCGTCCTTTGACGAGGATATGTATGGCCCCGGCCCGAACGCTGAAGCCTCCGAGGAGCTCAAGAAGCTTTTCGGCTTGTTGCCCAATGGGACAGCTCATAGCAATGAGTCCAGGGAGCGGCTTCTCGGTGCCTTCTTCGCCAACTCTGCCTTCCAGAACTCGCCGAGCCCCGACGAGCTCCCGGCTCCCGACTTCTGAAGTCGCGGTTTTTTTCTTTTTCTTTGGTTATCTTTATCTCTTCCTGCTTCTTTATGTGTAGAGGTAAGTTTATTGCTCGCTCTCGGAATTCTCTGTACTAACATACGCGTAGTCTTAGAAGTTATCGTTCGGCGATCATCTTTAGATCATCGAGCCTCCCTCCGCCGACGCTCATTTCAAGCGAACTATAATCCACCACTTCTTTCGTGTTTTATACCTCCCTTAATTCGGCGCTGCTCGGGCTAACCCGCCTAACCAACTTTCGACTACAGTCCTCGACTCGACCGCACGGTCTCTTTTAGGCGCTCTCGCATTTCCCCCGGGTTTACAGCAACTGGTCTGGTTCCACGTTCAGGACAACCGCGCTCCTTTTCAGCATCTCCTTGAAGGTATCTTCGCCTCTTGGTGTACTCGCTTCCACGCCGATATTCATGCCTCGGAACTGTGGTCGCATCCCCCATCTTCCCCACTCCCCTATCTAATCTCTCTCGGGTCTCGTCTTTCCCCTTCTTGATCACTGTGACACTACCACGCCAACCTACAGGTTCAATACCTCATCTGCATGCTTTCAATTGCATCGGCATATCAAATTCTTTTTATTAGTCTTGTACAAAAGGCTTCAGCAAGGTTCTCCATCAAAACTCCAATCCCCTTTCTCCCCTTCGACACGCACCCCGGCTACCTTGCTGCTTCGCCGTGTGTATCCAAGCTACAGCGCGGCAACCATCGCATTCATCTCGGTGCTTATTTATCGACTCGACCACGACATGGTCCTGCGTTATATGCGTCTTCAGGCGAAGACGTTTGGGCGTCTTGGGCTCTTTGTTTCCACCTTTGTTGACTGGCTGCCTTTTCTTTTTTTGAGATTGGATTCTGGGACTTGTGATATTTAGCATCCTTTTCCCCTTTATCGTACGACCAGGTTTGGTTTTTCGGTTGCAGTATCCTACCTCTCGCCCACCCTCCTTGCATTTTCTCGTTAGGGTTGGGCTTCTACTAGACTTGCTCATTCTCCCTTTGACTCCACGTCTCCCTCGCCGGCCTTTCATTTCTGCTTCTTCCACTTTCTTTTTCCTTTTTCTTCTCTGCCGGCGGATTTCTCTTATTTTCTTCACCCCTCCTATTTCTTTTCCTTTTCTCGTTTTACGTCTCCTCTCACAACAAGTGTATCAATATTTGCTCGGTCCATCATTCACATCTCGGACTATCCGCACCATACCCACGCGTTTAGTACTATCTTTCCATTTTGTGCTATAGTTCCCATCACTTCGAACCGAACATGCCCTTCAAGCCGCGGACCCAGGATCATTTCGCTCTTTGGCGGTAACCCGGTCCACTTCGCCGCGTCGACTCCCTGACGCGTGCACACCTTCCTTAATCCCGGTGGTCATCAGCGACTTTTGGCGTTGGCGACCACGTCCAGTCCCGCCTGGGACTGGGTTGTACATGATGCGACATGATTTTCCAGGGTGTACATATGGTTCTCTCCGTACGTCGCCTTTCTCTTCTCGCAACCATACTCGACGTTGACCACTCTCGCAGCCGTGACCCTCCTGGCCCGTACACACACTCCCAGCCTATTTTCTCCCCCATCCTTTCCTACACCCCTCTCCCTCCCGCTCACTTCTTTCTGTTTCTTTTTTTGCCCTTGGCGCGGCACTTCCTCTTCTCCGTTGTCAACACCGTCACTATCATCTTTGTCGAGCACCCTGCCGCGCCGGGTTTCTATTCATGTGTGCTACGATCATAGATTAACTTCGACAGTAGACTTAGTCAACCTGCCGTTTGTGACGCGGGTCGGGAAAGCAAAATCCCTTTAGCAGTAGTAGTAGTATATTGCAAGTAGTTGTTCTGAAATGTAAAAATCTTGTTAGTACGAACACAACGGACTAGAGGCGCTCGTTAGTCTCACCAAACTTAAACACTCTTTTACCCAATATAACTTGTGCTTTTTCTCGTTCCTCATGTTCTACGTGTCAATGCGTGATTCGTTGGTCATGGCGACGGATGAGAATACATATACTCGAGTATAGTGGGCTGCGCCATACATTGAGTGATCTCACTGCGCTATCGCCCTCTACCGCCTCAACATCAACAGTGGAGCCTAGCTCATAGACTTGTTGATGATGCAGAAGCCAAAACCAGCTTGCCGCATGGTCAGGTGGAGGAGAACTTGTCCGATTTAAGAGGACCGTTGCAATCGAAGTCAAATGACGATAAGATGACCCTGTATTAAAATCTCTGGGTCGGACGTACTCGATCGTAGTGGAACTCAATCACAGCTCTTTCCGCTGCCATGGCGGTAGGAGCTAATATGAGCCGCTTTCAAGGCGGAGCCTCGGACTCGGAGACGTGCAGTGAATGAACGATCGCCGTGCTGCCCGCTGAGATGCGCTGGCGGATATTAGTGACTGTTTATATATGATAGTGTATTTAGTTTACTTCCGGGATATGAACTCATTGTTCGGGCGGACCCGAAGAAGCTGTTGACGGGAGAACTCGAAGGTAATGGGGCCGTGGTGATCGTCTTGAAGTCAGGTTTGGGCTGCTAGTTATTAGGATTGGGCGGCTTCTAGTAGCCTTCTAGTCAAGGGATTTTAGAGACGTCACGGGTCAGGAGGCTAAAGCGGTTACGTTACGGAGATCATCGTGTAACTTTTATTGGCTGGCTGCTGAGCTCCGAGGCAAGGGGTAGTGTGGTCTCAAGGTAAAACGTACATGCCTCATGGCAAGTGACGCGATTGCGAGTGAAGAGAGAGAAAGACTCGGAGCGTGCAAATAGCTCTAGGGTGGTTCGCACGGCTTGCTTACCATTTTACACAGCTCGCACATCGGACATGTGTTGATGGTTGAGGTCACCCCGCTTTTGTGCTCCTTACTCATCGACCACGTTCACGTTGCGATCTAGGTACCGTCGACATTCAATCGGCACTCGATATTTGAGTGCCCATGGCCCTGACCGGCGGTGTCAACCTGAACAGGCTGAACAGGCCTGAACGTCGTGACTGCGCTAGCGCTTACCATTGTCTTCCATTTCGGCGGGAGATGTGACGCGGTGACGCGATGCCATATTGCATGCAGCCAGCCATCTGGCCAACGTCCCCAGCGTATTCAGTATGTCGACGCCGCAATCAGACCGCTGAGGTTGCGTTCCGTCACTGGTCGTATGTGTCGACTTCTTGGATTGAATTCTTCTGATTGTTTTCTCTCAGGTCAAAGCAACGGCCTGATGTAGCGACTGCGACGCCCTCAGGCCTGTGCAAAATAAGCTCGCAACATCTTTGACGGAAGCTTATGGAAAGCCCACGGAAGCGAGTATCGAGTACGTTTATGCGTCAACCGGAGCAATTCTCTTGATGCTCTTGATGTGCTTACCTGTCTGAACTGTCCTGACCCACCCGCCGGCCCTGCCTTGTCTTACCGGTTGGGGATACCGTTTCATTATCCCAGACAGATCGACCGGCTCAGTTTGACGGTGCCTGCGCGGTTGGACCAATATGGTGGTGTGTTCGGCTACGGGTGACGCCGCTACCTGGAGCGCTTTTGTCTTTTGTGGACACGTTTTTTTCTTTCCCTTCAATAGTTTATCTTGTCGCTCGTTCCGACCTCCGGGGAAGCGCAAGGCCAGGACCAGAACAGTCTGTCGCTTCGCTTGCACTTGCCGTGTTCTCCGCTTAGCGACGCGACACCTTTGCCTGGGGCAGCTTATAAGAGGCTGAGCGGGCTCGTCATGGCCGCATTTTACTCTGAGCCCCAGTATTCGTATCTGCCTTCCTGCCTTTAGGCGCTCGCTCAACTTGCTCTTAGCTCACGTCAACTAAGCTTCACTCTGGCGCCACCCACTGGCCAGCTCTCCACCACCATCGCCCATACACCATCGAACGCAGAGATCGCCACCCCACATGGCCGTGCTATCCACCCCATGGTACCCTGACGCCGACTACAACCCGGAGGACTACGTTCCCCCCCACCGCCTCGCCTCCGACACCAAGCTCGGGCTCACTGCGTCCACCGCGGGCATCCTCATCGCCAAAGTGCTCGCGTACAACGGCCCGCACGGCCCCCGGCCCACGCTTGCCTGGAGGCTGGACGTGCACCCCGACTTTGCGCAGGTGCACGACGCGAACAACCCGTTCGCGATTCTGCGCTCGGGGTGGAACACGCCCGCGTTCGTCTGGACGGGCGCATCGCATGCGGGCACTCAGAGTAGGATTGGCTATGCGCGATCGGTCTCTGATCCGTCGCCGTTTGCAACTTCTCTGACCGCACCTTTAATGGGCAAGCTGACGCCGCCACCGCCGCCGCCGCCGCCATCGACGTTGTCGTCGTGCACGTACAAGACGATCGAGCAGCTCATCAAGTGGATCTACGACTGGTTCCAGCAGGAGCTAACAGAAGAAGACGTCGCGCGCCTCTCGGCGGGGCAGATCACGCCGTGCCTGGGCTGCACGTTCCTCGTCCGCCGCGGTCCAGTTGTCACCGCTGGCCACAATGGATCCTACGCCGCAGATGATGCCGGTGCCGCGTACGTGCGCGTCGCGCCCCCTGGTCCCGCCAGCGCGCGTGTGGCCGCGAGCCGGCACAGGACGCCCAAGCGCGTAGATCTGCTGGGGGACTTTGTCAAGTGGGTCGGGATGACGGTCGCCGTGGACAGTCGCGGCGTGCCGATACCGCATCTTTTCCTGACGAACGATCCGTCGCTGCGCATGCGGGGGCACGTGGCGTGGTGATGGCCATCGTTGGATTTGGAGATAGAGTGCGGGACATTCATGGGACATTTGTTTTCTGCGTGGATCTCTATGTTATTCGTAATGACCTTAATTTCTATATTAACAAGTATACACCCGAATGCACTTACGTTACTTAGACGGTTTCGGCACGACCATTAGATGAATTGACGAACATACTAGTACATGTATATGACAACACGATGTTGAAGCTACCCCTTGAGTTGTGAGATGTGACTGCCCCTGCTGCTTTGAGATAAACGAACCAAGTTATGGCATCGAGGGTACATGGAAAGTAAGCATATGCCAATGCCGACCTGTGAATCTTCCTCAGGGCGTGGGTCTTACCTTGACCGAGAACAGACTTCTGCTGAATACTCCGAACTCACTCAACATCGATCACGCATTTGTCCAAAGGTAATGAGTAAACTTCAGATTACCGTGCCAAGCGTACAAGTCGTAGTAGAATAATGATAAGAGAATACAGTGCGTAGAGATACACCACGAAGAAAGAAAAGACAGATGCGAAAGTAGGTTTACTTGGCGCCTGCACTGGAGAACTGTATGTGCGTAAGTATCGTGTCACGGAGGCAAGCAAGCCACGTATGCGTACCTTGGTTACCGACTTGGTACCCTCAGAAATAGCGTGCTTGGCAAGTTCACCAGGGAGAATGAGACGGACAGAGGTCTGGATCTCCCGTGATGAGATGGTAGACTTCTTCGAGTAGGCGGCGAGTTCTAACGAGAACCGAATCAGCATCGCCTTCAGGAGCGGTGGAAAGTCAAAGACGACTCACTCGATGCCTCCGAAGCGATCCGCTCAAAGATATCATTGACAAACGAGTTCAGAATGGCCATAGCCTTGTTCGAGATACCCGTGTCAGGGTGGACCTGCTTAAGGACTTGGCACGAGCGTCAGACCCGACTGCAGAGGGAGGGCACAAAGGCCGGGGCGTTCTTAAGAGAAACGCACCCTTGTAGATGTAAGACGAGTACGTCTCCTTGCGGGCCTTGTGCCTCTTCTTCTTCTCCTCGCCACCAGCGCCACCCGAGGCGGCCTTGGACGTCTTCTTGGCTCCCTTGGTGGCCTCAGTGGTCTTCGCGGGGGCCTTGGCCGCGGTGCCGGATGCGGGGGCCTTGCCACCAGTCGACGCGGGTTTGGGTGCCATTGCTAGTGCAGAAGGTAGACTGGGTGCAGCGGAGGATGAGGGGGACGATGGTGGTGGTGGCGTGCAGAGATAACGGCGGCTCGGGGGCTGCAGTGCGTGTCCCCCTATATATACGTGAGATGTTTGGGTGTGTTTGGCGGCACGCGTCGAGACGCGTCTTTGTTGATTGGGTGGCGAGGATAACGGGGAATCCACATTTTCCGGCGGTCCAGCATTCCAGCAGTCCAGCCGTCCGTCCGCCGGTCCAGCTGTCTGGCCCCGCATTCCATCTGTCCGGCGGTCCAGATCCGCAAAGTCAATGCAGATGATCTTGCCGCGTCGCGTCATATCCACACTCGTCCCCCATGGTGTTCGCCTCGATCTAAGCTTATAATAATTCAGCTCGAGCCGGGACTGCGGCTTCTCGTTCCCAATCTCTTTCTTTCTTTCCCCCCACTATCGCTAACCGGCTGCTGTGCGGTCTCTGTCGACACTCTTTAACGCAACACCCAACCCTCACCCTGTCATGCCACCTCCGGAGCCTCACGTCTTAGGAACTGGAGACGTTCTCTGCGTCTACTGTGATTGCCAGATGCCGCTTTGCCCTCGACTCTGTCGAAGGGGGCAAGCATATTGCCCGCGTCTATGTTAAGGTGAGTTTATGCTTCCTCCTTGCCTCATCCAATCACTGACAATGTCATTCTATGTATCATTAGTGTCCCTGTGTGCACCGTGGCCCTCAAATACAGAGGGCAAGTCGAGATAATCCTCCCTCGCGGTTGGGGCGGTCCATATATAATCCTTTAGGGCCCGCCAAAGGATGTGTATATGTATGTCATCAAGGTCAGTAGCATCACCGACTATCTTGGCGTATAGGTAGGGGATATTCGGCGGTGATGCTGACGTGTCCGTCGAGGCATGCTGTATGTTTGCAATGTTGCTGCGTGTCTCGCAGCAGATCTTGATGAATTTCATGATTTGGTCCATGGTCAGTGCGGCGAGAGGCGGATATCGAGCGATCCTCGTGTAAACATCAATGAAGGGAATTGGTTTGGGTTCCATATGCATTGTATATGATCTGTAGGCCGAAGACAGAGGCGTAGGGATAGGGAGGTAGGTGCAAAATACAAGCAGAATACGAGATAACGGGAAATACGAAGGACAGGGGCTATCTATCTACTTGTGGCTGGCGCGACTTGATCACAAGTTGGTTGACTTCTGTGTTCCCACGCCTGTGGCCGGACAGCTGGACAGCTCGCCAGACGCGGCATACCCAAAATGTGAATTCCCCGTTAACCTGTGGGTGGCGGGAGGAAAATGGGTATAAATAAGGGAGGCTGGCTGATCACGCGCGTCGTCGCAACGATCTCCCCCACTACGCTGCTAAGCTGAACCTTGGAATTGAGTTCTGATTTATTCACCCATCTGTCCGAACATCGACCATGCCCAGGGGCAAAGCAAGCGCGAGTGCGCGCGGTAGACCAGGCAAAGGTAAAGACACCACCACCGCCAATGGCGCCCGTCAGCCAAAGACCTCGCGCACCCAGAAGGCTGGCCTGCAGTTCCCCGTAGCCAGGATCCACCGCATGCTCAGGAGAGCGAACTACACCCTGCGCGTGGCGTCTGCGGCCCCTGGTCAGTCCCGCATGCTCGGTGATATGTCACCCTCATCGTTAGCCCCAAGTCTACCTCGCTGCTGTGCTGGAGTACCTCTCAGCGGAGGTGCTCGAGCTCGCGGGCAACGCGGCGCGGGATAACAAGAAACGGCGCATCAATCCGCGGCATCTGCAGCTTGCGATCAGGAACGATGATGAGTGCGTTCCTCCATCTTATCTATTGGTGATCGCTGTGAGATTGAACGAACGCTCCAAACGATCAGACTCAACAAGTTGCTCGGTAACGTGATCATATCCGAGGGAGGCGTTATTCCCTTTATCAACCCTGCGGTATGTTTTCTCACCTGTCTACTTGGGCACCCGACTGAGATTATCCTTCCTTCAACAGTTGTTACCAATCAAGACGAAGGACAAGCGAGGACCAAGTCAAGAGGTCTAGCCTGCGTCTCTCGGAGCACACCCGGCTCGTTACCATACCGCGACGAGTTGCTCGCCCTGACATCAGCATCCAATTTATCGGGTCTCTTATTCATCAGCTTATCTGTAACGAGCATTGTCCATGTACATGTGTATAAGTATATCCAGATATTTCAGTCCATCTGTACGATATACCCTGAGTTCGAACGCATCGCTCGTCCTATGACTCCCGCGTCATAGAGCCCCGTAAGGTCCAGTTCCGATGTGCATGCACCTGTGCTTCAGCAGCATCCCCCACGTCTGGTGTTGTAGGACCTCCAGGCGCTCTAGTCGGGACCGTGACAGTGCGCGACGCATAATTTAGAGGCAGAGGATCCCGCGAGTGCCTTCTGGAGCCACGGAAGCGACACCGCAGTGTGGCTGGCACGCCCTTGAGCGATTGTGAATTCGGCGGTCCTGGGAGCCGGCCGTTCACCCCATCAGGAGAACGTCGATGCTCTCGAGATCCAACTCCGCATTTCGCTAGCCCCAACAATCAGATCCAAAGGCCGCCAAAACACAACAAAGCCGACTCACCCTCAACAGCAAAATCCTATTCTGATCCATCATCACCTCCGTCGCCTCAAACTTCTCCTCGCTCACCGTCTCCTTATACGGCAACCCCGCACCGAGCGGCTCCCGAAACGGCCGCGTCACCTTCTCGCGCCCCGCGTCCTTGGCCATCACGAAGCGGCACTCGTCCTCGACCTCGCGGTCGTTCCCGCGCTCGAAGTGCGGGTTGAAGTCGCGGATGCGCAGCCGGCGCGGGTGCCGCGAGAAGAGCACGTCCTCGTTGATCGTCTCGATCGTGCGGAAGCCGTACACGGCGTGTTGCCAGTCGGACGATTCGCGCTCGGAGAACCAGCGCGTGGAGGAAGGGCCCCAGTGTTTCCAGGGCACGAGCTTTTGGCAGGCGCTGCCGCTGGCGGCGCACGAGGCTGAGCGGGTGCATATGTGCGAAGGCAGAGAAGGGGGGCGGCGGTCGTCGGTGTTGTCGAGCGCGACGAGGGCGGAGCGTTTGACGAAGAAGACGTATGAGTGCGAGTCGGTGATGTTGGATTCGCGCATGACGGTGACGAAGAAGACGAGGAGCTGGTCGGACGAGGTCGGCTGCACGAGGTCGTGGCTCGGGAAGGGGTTCGTCTCGGACCATGTGGTGCTCGTGCTGGAGTGGGAGGCGTGCGGAGGCGCGCCGGGGGTGGGGTTGCCGCTCATGAACGCGTACGAGTACGACCAGTCTTGCATCAGCTCTGGGAGGCCGAATCGGCCTGTGCAGTGTGGGGATCTACTTTGGTCTGCGAACGAGTACGTCTCGAGCGTGCCGAGGACGGTTATGATGAGGAAGGTATCGTCCGACAGGAAAAGGAAGTCGTCTGCGCCATCTTCAAACTCGAGCACAAACTTTATATATATAAAACTTTAAGCCGGTGCAGATTCCGGAGTAAGCGGAGAAACACTTTACCTCATATCCTTTATGGCCTTCCTTCCACGTCCAGAGATGCATGTACCCGCCAATGTCCCCATTGATGATGATATCACGACACAGCAGGACGACATAGTCTCCCACGACCTGGATCTTGACGGGCCCGGAGAGCTCGTAGAGGTCCAGCGCAATGTGCTGCTTGAGCACGGCGTGCAGTTCCGGAGCAGAAGCTTCCGGATGTGGCTTCCCTGACGACAACGAACGAAGATGTATGTTATATGCGTGGTCCACACTGCCAAAAGAAGGTATCCGTCAGCGCAAAGCAAAAACAGCTGACCATTCAGTGGGTCACACATACTCGTGTGCGGAAGCAGCGACGACCACCAATAAATCTTGGTCGGGCGAGAACGTAAAATCGACCAGGGTCCAGTCGAGCGTGGAGTGGGTCCATACTTTGATCTCGCCCTCGGGGGTGTCGAGGGTGGGGAGCTCGAGGAAGTGGATCGCGTTTGTCTTGGTCGCGTTGCCGTAGATGCCGCCGATGAACTCGTAGATCGCGCCGGTGTCGGGGAGGGGAAGTTTCATCTTCTTGCGGTACTTGAGCGTCTTCCAGGCGCGCTCGCGATCGCGGAGGCGCTGGCGCCGGGAGTACATGGACGGGTTCTGATCGAGGGATTTTGCGGGCATGGTCTGGAAGAAGGCCATGTCGACGAGGTACTGCAGACGCTCGGTCGAGTCGACGATGTCCTTGAGCAGTTTGCAGACCTGTATATGTGCTGAGTCAGAGGTTCTGGTATCTGGAGGGAGGGTATTTGAGAGGGAGATTTGCTTACCCGCCTGATGCGTAGGAGTTCTTTGCATTCGAGGAATGTCAAGATGAGGCACAAGAGCTCGAGAGGGAGCGTGGATAAATTTTTGGCGGCAAGCATGTCCACAGAAAAGCCAGTACGAGGCAATTTATGTAGGTCAAGAACAGATAGGAAGGGCCGTTTATGTACAGAGGGACATGAGACGATCAGCAGACTGAAGAGAGCAAAGAACAGGAAAGGTAAGGGAACCGTCCCGAGCCACGTGGGATTGCCTTTAATGGAAATGGATGTTCCCCTGGACTGCGGCAAGGGCGGGCCTGTTCTTGGAAGTGCCTCTATGTCACCCCCGACATGTCCTCACCAGAGCCAGATTCCCCTCCCATTAATGGTGCAGTCTCCCCAGAATCAGCAGTCGCCACCGTCATGAACGGCAACGGCCTCCATGCAGATGCACGGTCCTCCATAGACAGCGACCGCAGCTTCATGGTATCCCCCCCTCCCGCACACCCCGTCGGTCTCGCCAACGGCAAGCCAAGAACGAGCGCAGAGGATGCGGGGCTTTCGGAGGTCGAGAAGCTCAGGCGGGATCTCGACGCGGAGCGGGAGGCCAAGAAGAGCCTGGAGGCCCAGTACCAGAACTTGGTGTCCAAGCTCACCACCATGCGCACCACGCTCGGGAACAAGCTCAAGCAGGATGCAGTATGTCCCTCAATCTAAACTTCTTATAATGATCTGTATACTTAAATGTGCTCAACGGATGACAGGAGGAGCTCGATCGGCGCGAACAGCTCGTGCAGCAGCTCACGGCTCAGAACGAGGACCTCGCCACGGCCGTCGAGACGATGAAGACCGAGCTGATCGCCTCGCACGATGAGGGAGAGCGCACCGCGCGCGAGCTCGACTCGATACGTAGCAAGGCGCTCGACGATACCACCCAGGAGAGCATGCTTCGCGAACGCGAGCTCCACGAGACCGTTGCCGAACTCGAGCGCTGCCGCATAGAGCGCGACGAGTGGGAGCAGGCGGCGATGCAGGAGCGCATGTTCTCGGAGGAGGCAAGGACAAATCTGGACGCGGCGAGGCGGGATCTGGAGCTCGAGAGGGAGGCGAGGGAGAGGGAGGGTCAGGAACTGGACGCGGCGAGTTTGACGGCGGCGAACTTGCAGTCTGTGCTGGAGGACTTTCAGGCAGGTGCGTTACAAGGTTGTTTCACCATCGGCAGCTTCCAACCCGTGGCTGTGGTTCAGCCAAGGAACATGAGCTGGACACCGCTGTCCGAGACTTCAAGACGCGGCTTGATGATACCACGATGTCACTCGCAGAGTTCAAGCAACGTGCACTAAACGCCGAGGTTCGTGTACGCGCTGTCAGGAGCTCCCAGTATCTCATATTGTGCTCAGGCACAGCTAGAAGAAAACACTTCAAACGCATCACGAACACAAGAGCTAGAGAAAGATGTAAAAGAGAAAAACCTCCTCATCGGCAAACTACGGCATGAAGGTGCGCAATCGCTTCATCTCATCCTCACCTATAATGACAAGCTCTGGCCTACGCCCAGCCGTCATCATCAACGAACACCTCATGGAAGCCCTCCGCCGTCTGCGGCGCACCTCGACAGACACCAACGTCGACCGGCGCCTCGTCACCAACGTCCTCCTCTCCTTCCTCACCACGCCCCGCGCCGACTCCAAGCGCTTCGAGATGCTCTCCCTCCTCTCCACCATCCTGCAGTGGTCCGACGCCGAGCGCGAAAAGGCTGGCTTGCAGCGCTCGGTCTCGGGTGGCGGCGGCGGGGGGCAGGGTGGGCTCGCGCCGCCGGACGCGGGGCGGCCGTCGGGGTTCTGGAGCCGCTCCGCGGCGGCGTCGCCTGCTACGAAAACTGTGGATCTGGACAAGACGGATGAGACCGAGGTGCGTGCCACAACTGATATCGCGCAGGAACACCTGGCCCTTTCGTTCGTTCTAACACGCTCTATGCAGTCCTTCTCGCGCCTCTGGGTCGAGTTCCTCCTCACAGAAGCCAACCAAGGCGAATCGCCCACTGCGAAATCGATGCGCCCGATGGGCTCCGTGCCCAACAGCCCAGCCCAGTCCCCGAGCCGGCTCGCGCTCTCGCCGGGTGGCGGCGGTGGTCACCAGGGCACGCGCCGGCTGGGCTCGCTCGCGAACAGCAGCGCGATGGCGAGCTCGCCGAATATCCCGCTCGGTCTGCCACCACCGCCGTCGAGGAAGGGGAAGGAGAAGGAAGTTGTGCCTCCGGATTCATAGAGCGCTCCTGCTGGCTTAGGGGCTGGATAAGGAATTGGTTGCATGAACTGTGGCGAGGGGTGGCAACTAGCGCTGTCTCGAGGACGCCGCGGCGTGGATGGGGGACGTATCGGATACTTACCTTTTATTTTGAACATCTCCTTCAGTCTGTTGCATATTGGACAGTTTTTCATAATGTAATTTTATTGCATCCTGCAAGCCTCAACTCATGTGTACTGAATGGGAAAAGAATCTAAGCTCAAGAGCTCGGTATACCTCGCAGCAACAGGCGTGATATGGTGTGCAAAATGAGGAAAAAGAGTCTCTCTGGCGGGGAGTCGAACCCCGCTCTCCCGCGTGACAAGCGGGTGTACTAACCGATATACTACCAAAGACTTGCTTGAAAACATGCTAACTCTTAGAGTAATATATACCATCTCTGCTCTCTCAGCAATAGGCTGTACCCCTGTCGCATAAAGCGCTTGCTTAACACTCTCACTACCTGCACATCATGGCGTCCGCACCAACACCAGCAGAGAAGGAGCCCAATGCCTACGAGCTCCTCGGTGTCTCTGATCAGGCGACTGAAGCTGAGATCAGGACCGCATACCGCTCTCGCTCGCTCAAGGTCCATCCAGACAGGGTCTGTACGTATCCTCACCTTATACAAGCCATACGTCTCATTTCCCTCTCCCTCTCTATAGAATCGCAATGACCCAAAAGCCGGTACGCACAGAATTCCCTCGCTCTACCCGAACGACCCGCTCTGACAGTGACACTGGCAATATCAACGCCATCCCACAGCCCAGAAATTCCACGAGCTCACCCTCGCCTCCGCGCTCCTGCTCGACCCCCTCCGCCGGCTCGCGCTCGACGCGCAGCTGCGCGCGGAGGCGGCGAAGAAGGCGCGGTTTTCGTCGTTCGACAAGAAGCGCCGCGAGATGGTTGCGGATCTCGAGGAGCGCGAGCAGCAGGCGGTGAAGCGCGCGCGGGTGTCGCGCGAGGAGAGGCAGCGCCGGGAGTATGAGAACGATAGGATTATGGAGCAGGGGAAGAGGCTGCGCGAGGAGCGCGAGCGGGCGTCGGCTGTTGCTGGAGAGCAGGCGCGGAGGGAGAGGGAGGAGGAGGAGGAAGAGGAAGAGGATGTGCCGCCCCCGCTTGGGGCGCTGGATACGACGGTGCGGATCAAGTACGCGGCGGAGAAGCATCCTGAGCTGGACACGGGCGAGGCGCTCGCTGCGCACGTTTCGAGGATCGGGGCGGTCGACAAGGACTCGGTGGTGATGTCGAAGAAGGCGAAGAAGAAGAAGTCGAAGGCGAAAGACACAGGCGCAGGAGAAGAAGGCTCGATGATCGTCACCGCGCTCGTTCCGTTCGCCCAGCTCGCCTCTGCCTACGCCGCCGTCACTGGAAACACTCTACTGGATATGGAGGTCGCATGGGCGGGTGGATCTGAGCCTCCAATACTGGGCTGGCTCCGGAAACGCGGGGCGCTGGGCGGCCAGCCGAAGGGAGCGTCGTCGCCCGCTCCAGCTCCAGCGCAGGAAAGCACTTCGCCACCGCCCTTCAATGGCGCCAACGGCTCCTCTAAGCCCAGAAGCTCATCACCGCACTCGTTATCATCGTCATCATCCGCGCCGTTCAGCTCATTCCCGAGTACCTTTGTGAGTTCTTACATTCGGTAGAGCGATAGCCTGGTTTACTAACGGCTGCTGTAATCCAGCCTGATACGACGCCGTCAGCGCCGTCAGCGCCTCCACCCACCGGCCTCGACTTTGAGTCGATGACGTTACTTCGCATGCGCGAGGCTGAGCGAGCGCGGCTCGAGCGCGAAATACTAGAGGCCGAGGCCAACGAGGGATAAACGATTTGGGCACATATCCCCTTGTCACGCTTTGTGAAAGTTCGTGCTTTGGGCATCGTAATAGCATCTTCCCTCCATACATTTAGAGAAACCATCTAGCTACCTCTATTGCACCTCAGAAATATCCGTCATGGTACATGCGATAATTTACACGGATGATGAGTTGACACAACAAGATGCACAAGGGAAGACAAAGAGAGAATGAAGAAACATCTTCCAAACCAAATAGGCATGCGTGTGATGTGGTTGTAATTGCAGAAGCGATGCATGCCAGAATATTGCGGCAAATGGAACGACTGGCGATGTGTAAAGGCAAAGGCGAAAGAAAGCCAAAAGACGACGTCTAAGCGCGGTGGAGCCACCCGACATCGAGCCCGGTCATACTCCGCATGCTCTGCGGGTACGAGTGCTTGCTCTCCGAGAGCAAGCCCGCGAGCTTGCGACACACACCCAGCGGGTAATAGAGGTGCTCCGCCTGCGGAAAGCCCGGATACCGGTTCAGCAGCCTACACGCGCAACACGCACCCAACCGTCAGCCAAACTCACGAACGAACGAACTCAACAACGAAACAAACAACGCACTCTGTCAGCTCGACGGCCGGCTCAGCCGGCCCCAGGATCTTGTACAGCACCTTGCTCGCGTCGATCGCGCCGCTCTTGCGCAGGAAGTACGGCGTGGGGAGCATATACGACAGCCGGATGCGCGGCTTGAAGAGCCACACGAGCATCCGCGGGCGCTCTTCTTCCTCGTCGAAGAGCACGAAGCGGTACGTCGCGTGTGCGCGAACGTGCTCGAGCATGTCCTCGAGGACGAATGCGGACAGGGGGACTTTAGTCAGGCTGTGTGTGGAGAGGTCGTTAGCGTGAAAGGGGAAGGGGAAGGGAAGGGGAGAGAGGGACGCACCCAGCTGAAGGAGTGATCGGGCGGATGGCGTACTTGTACAGGCGGAACATGCGCTCGGACGAGCCGTCCGCAGTGTGGCGGTCGTGCACCCGCCCTACGACTGCACCGCAGAGGCACCGGACCAGGCGTCGGTCATCGTCGCCCTTCTGAAGTGGGTGTATTAGCTAACATATTCTACCAGAAACGCAAAGAAAGGCGAGAAGAGTGAAAGAGAAAAGAAAAGAAGAAAAGATTGTGCCCTCAAGCGTAGCCCCCGGCACATAGCCCTCCGCACCGAGAGTTGTTTGAAAGAGTGACCTGGCGCGCACGTCCCCCCAAAGAGGAACACGACGCCAATTGCTCTAGGACGCTTTGTATCAACCAAAAGCATTCGCTTGCCGCCCCGCCACGACGCCCCACACGAGCAACCATACCGCAGCGCACCGGCGCGCTGGCGCTACCGAAACCAGCCAGGGGCTTCGGCGCAACACAGCGTCCGGAGACACAGACGATACGGCGCCGCGGTGGCGCGCGACGAGGTGAGGCCGCTGGTAGTGGAGCCAGCGTCGGTCTTCTTGATCGTCCGGTGTAACACCAAAGCAAAAGAAGAAAAAACGAAGGGAAAAAAAACGCAAACCCCAAGAAAGAAAGAAAAAGACAGACGCAGAAGCAACCAAAACCCACCGGCTCAAGATCCCCCGCTGCCAAATTCCCACACGCAACCACCCCGCCATGAAACAGCACATAGCTCCCGCCAACCAGCGCCACGCCCGGCCCCGTCGGCCAGAACCCGTCGCGCCCCGTGCGCGCGACCTGCTCGTTGAGCGTCTGGTCCGCGTGGCACATCCACGCGTCCACGAGCTCCTCCCAGTGCTCCGACGGCAGGTCTCTGTACGCTATTCCGCCTTGCCCTCCGCCTCCGCCGCCGCCGCCGCCTCCTCCTGTTGTGGAATTAGGGGTGGAACCAGAGGCGGGTGGAGGCGGGTGCACGAGCGGGAGCGAGCACGATGCGCATGCGAAGGATGTGGGTTTGGCGCGGGAGAGGTGCGAGGCGCTCATGAGCGCCGGCGGGTCGTCGTGCTCCGCGAAGCCCTGTCCCGCGCCCGCGCCCGACCCTGATCCCGGGCCTGATCCCGAGCCCGAGCCGGAGGGGACACTGAGCTTGAGCTCAAAGTGGTGCTCTGACACCGAGACGACAGGACGGGACGGGGGCACGCGCACGGGGAGAGGCAGAGGCGGGGACGACGCGGTACCGGAGCGCACGACGAGCCAGCTCGTCGTCGCCGTCGCGCTGTCTGTCGACTGGTGTGCCTCGCCGGGTGTGCAGGGGAGCACCTCGGCCTCGATGGGCGATCCAGGCGGGATATTCGACACAGAGACGAAGATGAGGATGTGCTTCAGCGTCTCGTGGTACTCTGCGATGAACGACACGTCCAGCGCAGCCGGCGGCGCCCGCGCTTCGTCCGGCATCAGCCCCCTCGCGGACGTCGGCCGGCTCCCGTTCTTCGGCGTGCGCTTCCCCGAGCGCGACGACGGGCGCAACCACGCCATCGACGGCGCCGACATGCTCCGGCTGCGCAGCCTTGAGTGTCCGTGTCCGCCGCCCACCGTCCAACCACTGCCACTGGCGCCAGCACTCGCACTCGCGCCAGTGTTCGCCAAAACAGGCGGCGAGCCCTTCCTCGCCGCCTCCTTCTCCCGCGTCAGCGGCGACCCCGACCCCGACCACGTTCCCGCCCCCGATCCCGAACCGGACACCGCCCGGCCCATCGTGCGCGTTGCCGCGGGCATCGGTTCGCGCAGGAACTCGGGGAGCGAGATGGCCACGTCCGCGCCTTGCTCCACCTGCATCTTTGTCGGTGCACGCACGGCGTCTTGCCCGTGAAGCCGCCCCGCGCCGGACTTGGACATGACGTGCTCGACGAAGGCGTTGCGCTGTGCGAGGAAAGGATCCAGAAAGGAGGAAGGGAGGGGAGCGTCTGTCAGCTAAAGCACGCGACGTTGACGGAACGACACGCACCTCTTTCTGATACTGCTTCTGCGCGCTCTCGATCCGCACCTTGCGCGCGCCATCCATGACGACCGTCTGATCCGCCATCTTGCGCGCGCTCGCCTTGCCCAGCAGATCGAGCATCCGATCCAACTCCAGCTCCTCCGGCTCCCGCCCCTCCGCGCCCTCCACATGGGCATGGGCGTGGACATGGGCATGGGCATCCGACTCCTTCCTCTTTCCCTTCCCCTTGGGATCCACAACCGCGTTCCACGAAGAAATAACAAGCCCGCCATTCGCCCGCCCGACCGCACGGCGCGCGTTCTCCATCTCGTCCAGCTTCGCGCGCTTGAGCTCAACCCGCTGATTGTGCAGCTGCGGCGCGACGGAGTACAGCCTGTCGATCGCGCGCGCCATTGTGTCGAAGTCGAGCCGCATCTTTTCGTTCGCGATCACGGACGACATCGACACGGAGTGCGTGGGGGAGTGCGGGGTGGCGAGCGACTTTTTGTCGGATGTGGAGTCGTACGATGCGCGGGTGTAGGTGTCGCCGGCGTAGTACTCGGGGGGCGTCTCGAACGCGTCGTAGGTGTCGTCGTAGTGCGGGGGGAGGTGTTCGTGTTCGTGGCTCGGATGTGGCTGCGGAGGCGCCATGGAGTCGGAGCGGGTCTTGCATAGCGCGGCTACGGCTTCCATGTCGCGGTCTATGCACTCCCACAGTGCGGCGCCCTGCGGCGCATAACTCGCTGCCGTTTGGGTTTGTTGGCTAACAGTGGACGAGGTGCGCCGCGCTTGTAGATCGCTGAGATGTCTGCGGAAGTCGGCCATGGCGTCTGACGACGGGATGAAATGTGATGGTGACGATGGGAGGTCGAGAGACTGCGAATGGGGATGGGAGTCGGCCAGGCGCTGGAGGTCCGTGAGGAGGGCGACGATCGCGGCTGCGAAGGGCGCGTCGTGTTCCTCCAGCGTGGGCGCGATGACGTCCACGCGCTCGCGCAGCTCAAAGAGCAGCGAGGCGTCGTCTGTTGAGGCGGCGACGACTTCGGCTTCCTGGTCCTGGCTGCCGTTGCGCAGATTCTGAACGATGGTGTGGAGCGCTGAGTGTGCAAGGGGCTGCAGGGTGCTAGAGCTTGCGGGCGCGGACACGGAGGGCGCGACGGGTGCAGAGTGGCGCCTGTCGGGCACGATGGGCTGCCATCGGGTGGTGAGGTGGTCCGTATTTGAGAGGAGGTTGTTGAGTGTGATCAAGCACGAATTTTGTACCGCGCTGATGAAGGGTGAGATATCAGAATCAGACTGCGGGGAACGTGAACGTTAGCGCAGAGCCTTGCGGTGATGGATGGAAGGAAAAGGAAAACTGGGGAGTGGGAGGGCAGGGAAAGGAAACGCGAGGCAATGAGACTTACCTGTACCCATGTTCCCGTTCCGTGTGCCGACTGCTCCTCTGTCGTCCGCTCTGAGCTGCTCCCTGGCTGTTGCAGATTGCCATTGAGGTGACCATTCGGAGCCGGCGCACCGTAGTCGACTTGCTCTTCCGCTAGCTCATCGAGAAGGTCGTCGTGGTAAATATTTTCGTGGACAGAGGTAGAGGGAAAGGGAGCGGGGACAGACGCGGCCAACGAGTCGGGGTGATGGTCCTGGTTGACCGACTCCAGGTGTCTGTCTCTTGTCAGCGTGGCCATATATCGGGCGTAGACCCTTTTCCGGGCGTCAAAAGGTGGAAAAGTGGATTATGGGTGGAAAGGGACAGGTGGGATGAGGCGAAGATGTGACGAGGCTATAACTTTTCTAACGGGGTTGGAAGTACTGCCACCGTGCCAGAAGTGGGGTATGTTAGGTAAAATGCGCTGTATGAGTGGCCCTCGAAAAAGCGCAGTGACGACGACGAACGAGGACGAGATGGAGATGGAGATCAGGATGGGGAGGAGAAAGGGCAGGTCGAGCTGAGGATGGCATCTAACAGCATCTTACGCCTGCCAGCCATCCATCATCTATCTACATCGCCCTCGTGTACCCTTCCCACCTGCCCTACGATGTCCACGGTCCTATGTTTTTACATCTGTTTTCCGACAAGGACGCTAGAACTGTTCTTGATGGACCTACGTTTGCTCACTCCCGTTGATCTGCAGACGGCTCCCGAGCGGAGGCCGGTCTCTTACACCAACACTAAATAAATCACAGCGACGTATGATGTCGACAATGCGTCGTGTAGTAAATATCCGAAGCATAAAGTATCTCCAACTTTTCTGACAGTGACCAAAGTTTTTCCGGGAAATAGCCGACACGGCGAGCTCACCGGGCGCCAATGCGAACGGTTGAGTGACCGCCACCATGACGTCCCGCCCCCCAGTTGCCTTCCGCTCCCCGAGCCAGCCCCTCCTCCCCACAACAACCCGCTCACGCAGCCGCTCAGCTGTCGGCAGCCTCTCCAAGACCTCCAGGCCCTCCACGGGCGCACGCCGCACCTCTGTCGCCGGTCTCTCAGGTGTCACCGCCGCCAAGGCACAACGCTCATCCAAGACCACCGGCAAGCACGTTGTCCTCCCCTCTGCGCCTCAGACCAAGCCTCTGCGTGCGTACGGCCAAGGTGGCTCAGATGAAGATGTGCTGGGCTATGAGACGGACGCCGGCGTCCGCGTGACGGCGCCCAAGAGCGCCGCGGAGCGCATGTCCAAGGACGAGAGGAGGCGTGCAGGCGCTCGAAGGATCACGGCGTACTGCGTCGCCGAGAGCTTGAGAATGAAGCATCTCGCTGGATGGCTGAAGAGGGAGCACAACGTCTCGCCGCGGGTGTTCGACGAGGCCATGTACGTCGTACGTACCTCCAAAGCTACTACCATCTCTCCGTTTATAATCATGCCACTATCACAACGCAGATGTACCACCTCCCCCTCCTCCCCGGCTACTCCTCCGCGAACGTACGCTCCTCCGCACCGCAAAAGGTCACCCGCGCACTCATGACGCGCCTCTCCGAGGCCGAGGAAAACGGCTACCAGGGCTCATACTTCGCCCCCGCCCCCGAGGAAGGCGCCTACACCGCCGACGACGGCTACATGACCTCTGGCTCGCCCGAGACCCACCGCGACCGCCGCCTGCCCCCACAGCACATGCCCGAGAGCGAGAGCGACGCCGAGCGCTTCTACGAGTCCGAGCAGGACGCACACCACCCCCACGACGGGGCGCAGGACTCCGAGACAGACGCAGAAGCCGAGGCGGACAGGCTCGTGGACGAGGCGCGCCGGCTCATCGAGTCCGAGTCGGAGTTCGAGCGCGAGCCAGACACCGAGCTGGAGACGGACGCAGAGCACGAAACAGACCGCCTGCTGAGCGACGCCGAGAGCGAGCGCACGCAGGTTCTCCCGCGCCCGCCCATCCCCCTCTCCTCGTCTCCGCAGTCTGCGCCTGCTGCCGAACTGCGCGTCACCGCGGATGATGTCGAGCTTGTCCCGCGGACGCTCAGCCCGACCTCGACGCGCACCGAGCCCGCGCTGCCTGTTGCGGCTGACCACGCCGCCCGCGAGGTGCACTTCCGGGACACGCCGCCTGTGGCGCTGGAGGAGCGCCATCGCGAGAAGGAGGTGAAGGCGCTGGAGGCGGCGAAGGCGAAGGCGGGCGCGTACGTGCACGATCCGGCGAACGTTGCCGAGGCGGTGTTTTTCGCGTACGGTGTTGTCGTGCTCTTCGGATTCGACGAGGCTCAGGAGCACGCCGTCCTCGAGGACATTACGGGCGCGGGCGCGCTCAGGCGGGCGATCAAAGAGGACGACTGGGAGATCGAGGAGTGTCATTATGCGGTGAGCTGGTACCATCTCGACCACTCTCAGCGGAGGTGCTGATTATTATCTGCAGTACGACTCAGAGATCGCGTACCCGCGCATCTACAACGACTTCTTCAGTACGCCCACCACGCCCATCTAAAACTTCTAAAACTAACACCCTCCCACACAGCATTCAAATCCCCCTCACACCTCCTCACCCTCTCCGTCGCACACGCCATCGCGCAGTCCACCCTCCTCGCGCACTACGAATCCGAACTCACCTCCGTCCTCTCCGCCCCGCAAACCGTCTCCATCCCGCGCCAGCTCGCCTCGTCCGGGTCGCTCAAGCTCTCGCGCGCCGACGCGCTCAAGCTCACCGGGCGCCTGTTCAAGCTGCGGCGGGACGTGAATCTGGTGAGCAACGTGCTGGATGTGCCGGAGCTGTTCTGGGCGGAGGCGAGTATGCGCGGGTTGTATGAGAGTGTGAGGGAGTATATGGAGGTGGGCGAGAGGGGGGCGGTGGTTAATGAGCGGTTGGGGGTGGCGAGTGATTTTGTGAGTGCCACAGGCTGTTTCGCGTTTGTGTGAGGAGGGTTTGGTGTTTATTTTTGGTGTGCAGTTGGATGCGATTCACGATCATCTTAATAATAATGCGATGGAGCGGATAACGTGGATTGTGATTTGGTGCGCTCTTCTTTCTGCTCACCCGCAGTTCGGGCGCTCTGCTAACGCTCGATTTTTATTAAGGCTTATCGTGGCTGCGATTCTTGTCGAGCTCGTACGTTGTCTCGTTTTGCAATTAACCTTCTACGCGCTGACGTTATCTTTCATATTACAGGGAGAGGTCATCGCGCGCCTTGTCGTGCACGCCACGGGCGGCAGCAACAAGGCCGGAGCGATGAAGATGCTCATGCGGAGCTTGTCCTCGCCTTCGAGTTAAGCGCCGGCCGTCATATTGGGCTCGTTCAGTCAGCTTCGCCCCTGCCCGTGCACTGAATGTGCATATTCGTTTATTGAGTTTTCGATTACCCCTTAGAAATTCGTATCATCGGACTTAATGTTAGTGTAGTATATGCGAATGCATGGATTTATCAGACATTGTGCCCTTCGTTGGGCCTATCGTAACGTTCATCGTAAGTAGTGCTACTTCTACCCGTATCGTATTCGCCGCACATATCGATCGACGCATCATCACATGTAAGTACGTTTAACAGGAGCGCACAACATGGGCAACGAAGTCGACGACTACGTAAGTACTTCCTGGCCGGAGCTTGAACCACAGGGCGTTGGATGGGGATCAAGATAGAGGAACCGCTCTGCCTGCTTCAAGTTTTCGTCCATAATGGAGTAGTCCCATTCTTCCGCCGGCTCAATGCTCATTCCGGAGTCCAACACTCGAGCCTTGAAGAACTCTACCGCCTCCTTAGCGGTGGGCCTTTCCGTTGGTTCTTTGCGCCAGCATTGCTGCATGAATGCCCAGACGCTGTCGTCCACGTGGGGGCCATCGATTCTGTCGGGGGTGCGCCCTCGAAGTATACGAAAGATGATAACTGCATCTCTCAGACCACGAAACGGTGTTTTGCCGCAGAATAGCTAAAGGGCCGGCGGAAACTCATCAGTACCCAAATCTCACAAACAGAGAAACCTGACCTCGTAGCAAACTCCGCCGAAAGCATACATATCGCTTTTTGTGGTGAACACCATCCTGCCAAAAGTACCTTCGTCGAAAATCTCCGGTGCCATCCATGCAATGCTAGACAACTCGGAAGTCATGTCGTCGTCTTCACCAACGAGACAGGCCTTTGCGGACATTGTGACAGCATCAAGGGGACGGTCCTTTGCGGTGGTGGACTCAAAATCAACGAGACATGCTCGTCCGGTATCTGATACTAAAATGTTGGACTGTTTTTTATTACTCAGTATACCAAATAGTAACCAAATTCGCTCTGCTGCCACTTACCCCGTTGATATTAGCATGTACAATCTCAGGACTCCAGCCATGAAGGAAATTTAAAGCTTGCGCAACATCCAACGCCTAAAGGGAAGTAAGGGGAATTATACCGCTTGACAACGGAAGGCCGAACTACGTACCAAGAGCGTCCGGTTTGCACTGGGGTTTATTTCCAGATAGTTGCAGATATTACCGTAACTGAGGTACGGCGAGATAGTGTAGAGTTCCCTTCTCCCTTCTCCCTGAAATACGCCACTGAATGAAAGAATGTTGGGATGTCGAAGCTGGCTCCACACTGTGACTTCACTTGCAAACTTCTGCTTAAACGAGGTTCTCACTGTTATGACTGAGAAAAACTGCAAGGGGTTTACCGACCTGTAGGTTCCTTTTTGAATAAGACTCATCGGACATGCGTATGACTTTGAGAGCGAGCTGTACATCCGGCTGTGTTTCAATATTTCCTTTGTAGACGGCTGAAAGACCGCCATGTCCAATTGGACGCATTTCCCATTTAATATTGATATTGCGCAGCTGTAGACATTGAGCATAGCGGCCTGAATTGGCAGCGAGCTGTATCAGTCCGTAACGAAACATGCGCTGGGATCTTGCATCGATCGTCGAACGGATGCGGACCTAATTGAAACACAAAGCGTAGTAAAATGTCTGGAGGATCCACAATATATAGTTGAGATTACGACTCACGGCTTGTAAAACATCCACCAATGTTTGCGCGTTTTGATCCTCCTGTGAGAAGAAGTCTATCACATTGTCGTAACTTTTAAAGATAGAGGAAAGTTGAAAGGCAAGGGATGCAACATCACAGTCAGCCGGTGGGCATGTCTCAAAGAACATATGTCTGCAACGGGCGTTATCGGGCTGTATACGTAGCTTCAACTAAATTCAGTACCGTGCCCGCAGTGAAAAGAGACGAAATGTTTAACAGACCGTTGTGTCAATGACCTTGTGGAACTCTGCCCTGATATGAGCGTGGCAAAGGAGCCATGAAAGCGGGCCATCATATTTGTGTCGGTCTATCACCTCGTCAAGTGTGTCTTTGAGCGTGGACAAGGCACTTGGTTTTAGCTGTCAGCGTCTGAAGTGCGCAGCGATCGCCTCTCCACGTACCTTGGGTCCGTTAGGCAAAATGACGCATGAGAAAGGGCGACAGCTGTGGTGATCTGTTAATTGCTAATCAACACTTTTCAGCTTTGCGGACGCGCCTGGATAAATCGGATAAACAGGGATCAACTGGAGATATTTCGTAACAACATCTGCATCGACGCATAGCGTTAATCGCCAAACCCTTTAGTCGAAAATGACCATGATAAACGTACCGAAAACGGCAGGGAATGTATTTTGCTCATGAGACAACTTCCACGACTGGTAGGATTGTTGATAAGACCAATAACCACAACGCTTGAAGGGAATGGCCTCACTCACTGAGACTACCCTAGAAGCCTCAGTGAGGCGAACGACAGCCAGATCAAAGCAGCCCATCAAAGAAAACGCTTCTAAAAAGAAGGGAAGCTGTTCCTGTATAAACTGGAAGACAAGGGCTTGATTTTCGGCGCTGTGGCTCATTGCTTCAATATGATATGGCCAGTAAAGACAGGCGTAGCGTAGGGCGCCAGATATTGCTGCATCGCGCTGCGGTCAGAATCTGATATCTGTGTATGTAATCTGGATGCACCTTTTTGCTCGCGTATCTCCGGATTCAGCTGTCGACGCATGAGTTTCAGGCATAAGCCAGCTAAACGGCGGTGTGACTCTGCTGGATCGACGTAAAAGTCCCCAGAACGAGACCTAGTTGAAAGATAGTCACGAAGGGACGAGTGGTATATCTGTACAGAACTTGGGGAGTCCATAGGCGGGAGAGAAACGATGGCCGAAAGATGTGCGATGTGCTTCCGGACGTCGGTGGTGAACAGGTTACAGATGTCAGATAGTGATAGGGGGCTTGAGAGCGCAATGATGTCTGCCAGATACTCAACACCGAGTTGCCGATCCTCAACGTCAGGGTTGGCAACGATGTAGCGATAAACCGAGTCAATGCTGCCTGAGATGAGGTCCAGGGACCTAAGTTCGCCCCTGTACATGCTCAAAATGACATCCAAGTAATCATTTGGGTCGGGTGCGTCACGGACGAGTCGACATACCGTTGCGGCCACAATGAACTGCCCTTTGATCTGATCCACTAGCACGTTGAGGGTATCTGCGGGAGGCCATGGTAGAGAATGTACAAATTCGAGTTCGCGTGCGTAGTAAATTTCTTCGAAGGTGTATTGAAGATAAAGCTTGATGTCCTCGGTAGCATTAAAAGACTCGACGTGCTGAAGGGTGACAAGATCGATGATGATTGGGCGCCTTGTGAGAGCCTGCAGCTGAGAAGAGATCCTGCTGGTGAAGAGAATATTGCAAATAGGGATAGTGGGGTCGCGGAGAAGCTTGACCAGCATGCGAACCAAGTCTCCGATCTGGTTGCCATGGCTCGCCATCCCTTCATCAGCGGCATCGAAGACCATCCCCCTTTTCGTAGACCATACAAACTGAAGTTCTCTCAGAGGCTCAACCAGTAGTTTGTTGAACTGATCAAGATGATACTTGTGAGGGGAGAGTAAGTCGGGGTCGTGTCTGATGGCCTTGATGATGGCCGCTTTGGCAATGTGGTGAAGGAGGCCGATCTGGTATGCGAGGGTGAAGAATACACGGTCGGTACCACTCCTGTAGGTATCCTTGCGCGAGAAAAAGAATGTTGCGGCTAGCTGGTCTCTACTACGAAGACGTTCTGCAGTGGTATACGCAACACTGGATTTGCCCGAGCCTGACCCTCCGAAGAGCCAAACGACCTTGTTATCTTCTCCTGTCAAAGACGTCTCCAGTGTTTGCAAGAGCTCGACGCGGGTGCCTGGAAGACAATGGGAGAAGGAACGGTCTTCGCAGGAGCTGTACTCTGCCCCTTGAGCGATCTGGCTGTGGAGTCTCCTCCATGCATCCTCGTCTGCTTGCTGGTTGAAGCTTGATCCTGAAGAAATACGCGAACAAGGATAAGACGACGCCGGGAAGATAGGCCAGTCAACGTACCTAGCGCAGCCATGTCACAGTAGGCTTTAGATATGGCGACCGTCAAGGAGATACCTGTAAGGACTAGTATAAGAGTGCTCTGCAAAACGTGCAGAACATGCCGGCGCGCCACCTTCTATCCATAATTAGGTTTCAGTTATTTGGGGAGCACACCCGCACTGCTTTGGCCAAAAGGAGGTGGTAAGCTAGTGGTAAGCTGCGTCCAGCGTATCTTGTGCGGGCGCTAAGCAGCGCGCCGGAGTGTTCCCGTGGGCTCACCGCAACTCTTCCGCAACTTGGAGTAACGGCCCCGAACTCCGAGCATGGACCTCCCATCGCACTGGCGAAGAGCCAATCTATCGTTGTCCCTCAAACGTTCAGGCCGGACCGAATAGGGGCGATAGTGGCGCCTGCTAACACCTGTTAAGAATCAAGCCAGTACTTAATATCCCATCAGACCTGTCTCAATCAAGCGCCCATGTTAATCTCTAAAAGGAGGCACGTAAGTCACCCAGCTCTCCGGAACTCCGCTTCTTTGCGACCATGGGGGACAGTACGACAGCCTCTGCATCGTCTGCGGCATCGCACCCTCCGATAAAGCACTGGACGTATACAATGACCCCGGCTACGACATGCTCGACATATGCAAGAAGGTCGCCGAGACGATTGCACCGAACCTATCGGATCTGGACGAGGAGGAAGTAGGAGCTATCGTAGAACTCCTCGAGCTTGTCGAAGGCGATGCGTGGCGGCCGGAGGAACTGAGGGGCTAGGACTGGCTTCATTAGGTGTGCTGCTATTGGTCACTTTGACAGCATCGACGGCGATGCAAAAGTCGTAGTGGACGAATCGACCAAGAAGTACTGTATCCCAACCAGTGCTGGCGTGCGGACGCGTCGCGTGTTCGACTATGACGCGGGTAACTTCTCAAAGATCGAGTCCACTATCGGACCGAGCGGGAAGCGAGGAGAGAAGGTGGATAATGTCGTCACGCACACGACCAACTAGAGGGAGAACCCAAACTTCTTAGTCTCGGAGACCTGCTACCGTTACCTGGAGGCTTAGGTCGATATGAGCGCGTTGCCGACACAGAACACGAACGTGCCGCATATACCCTCGCTTGACATCGCTGGCGAGCTATACGAGATTGTCAATTCGCGAACTGAAGTGAGAGATGAGGGCCCTTCCCTATTACATGAAACGTTGGTTCATATCAGAGCTAGACACTGGCCGCGGCTTCCTCCCGTGCATAACCTAGTCGAGGATACATGCGAACAATATCAAGATCGCTTCAACCATGAGGACCATTGAGTTCGGTATCAGAGAAGGACTTCGAGGATCTGACCTGATACAACATATTATCCGTGACTTTGGTTGTTGGATGTTCATGAGGCCGAACGCGTGAGTACTTTAATGTCAACGCCTTGCGCTGACATGTACTGAGGATCAGTCTCAGGTAGCCTGCCCCTCCGGAAGACGGCGTTATAAACATGCCGTCCTTCACGGTATTTGGAGAGGCGACGGAGCCACAGAACAATGCACTAGCTCGCCTACCCAAAGAGGTTATCGACATAATTGGTGGCTGGATGTCCTTCTCGACCTACTTTGCACTATCGGCTACATGCAAAGCCTTCCGTTGCCGGATGTGCGACTTAAAAGTCCTAAACCACGTTTCGAGGGAGATAATCCAGCACGGCCCGCTGCGATGGATCTTACCGGTGGCGGGAGTGGCTGGCGAAATGGAGGCAGCGGTAACGACCTCGGAGATGTGGATCGATTTCGCGAGATATAGGCTCGAGTCGAAGCCCTCTGAGCTGAGTGGTGGGACGGCGGGCGTTACAGTCCAGGCACACTCGACCTCGGCGACGTTCTACTCGGGAGACTTTCCTGCATTCGCATTCATCGATGCCTGCTTCCGTTCGGAGTTGATCAGGAGTAGACGGAGACTATACAGGCAAGTAATGCAGTTTAAAGAGCTGTGGAGGGATTATCGCATGAAAAAGGTTGGGAGGTTGATAGGTTCTATCATATCATTAAGTAGGCGATAAGATGCGTGCATAGCTGCTGATGCATAGCTAGTAGTAATATTTTGAACCCTGCCGCTTTGCCTTCCGATTATAATGAGTCCGGACTCCGGAGCCATGGATATGATAACACGCCTCCTAGTAGAACTTCGTATCATTTTGAGAGGACCAGGTGCTCTCACAGGAATAACATAACGTTAGAAGATATACTGTATGATCTATCGCATTGAAAACAAGAAACATATGCTATAGATACAATGTAAGATGAAGGTCCACCACCTACATTCCGTCTATCCACTAAAGTAACCACCTCAGGCCAACCCAGCGATAAGAAGCCCAACAATCACGACAACGATCGTGGTCGGAGGCGTAACAATGCAATAACTCCAAAAGATGGTCCGGCTCACAAGGCGCTCAAAGGCGTCGCTCGACGCTGCCTGCGTGATCTGCGCAAGCGTGATTGCAGGTGGACTCGCGATCAGGAGGATTGTCGATACAATGAATACCGGACTGAAAACATCAAGATTTGTCAGCTCAAATGACTAAGACAAGAATGAAGAGAGATGAAGGAACGTACTCATCCAACAGTTCATGCGCGTCCCACTGCACCGCCAGCGCAAACAGGGGTATAAGCACAAGCGGCACAAGCACCATGCGCGAAAGCACAGCCACGAGCACCGTGCGGCCCTCGCCTCGCCTGTCGACGTTGTCGGGGGTCTCGATTTGCTTCCACGACGCCGGCGGCTCCCATTCGACCGCTGTGGCATCGCGATCGTGCGACGCAGAGGGTGCGAGCGCATCGTCCGACTCGTCTTCAGACGTCTCTGCACTTGTACGCGCGCTCCGCCCCGCCTCCTCGTCGCCTTCGAGATAGACGGCGCCGCGCTTCGGCTGTTTCGGCCGGAACGCGCCCTGGAAGAAGCTGATGATCGACTTGGTGCTCGGCACGCTCGCAAGCGTGCCCGTGCTGCGCTCCTTGTGCACTCTGCGTCCCGGGCCTTTGGGGCATAGGGGCGTTCGCTCGTCCACTGCTTCATCATCGCCATGACCAGTCGCTGAGGGAGCGCTGATGGCACTCGCACCAACTCCAACTCTGTCAGGTCTGAAACTGGATTTGCCAGCGTCGTTGCTGCCTGAGTTGTAGAAGTACGCGCCGAGGACGACCATCGTCACGGGGACGGAGCAGCTGCCAGCAGCGGACAAGGCACCTTTGACGGGCGGGAAGTGCTGGTCGAGGAAGTGCTGCAAGGGTTGGACGCATGCGACGACAAGCGATAGTAGTGCCGCCCATAGTGGGGGTGTCATGAACCCGTTGATTGCGTGCCATGCGCGCTTGAGAGGAGCAAATATGCTCTTCTTCACCGGGACTGAGCTTGATTCTGGGGTATGTGAGCCTGCCTCTGAAGGCGACGTGGGAGGAAGGTGGGGAAGCGAGGATGACGTTGAAGCGTAGCTGGAGTGAGGTTGCTTATATGAATTCGGCACGGCGCTCCCGTTCTTTCGCCCGGTATCAGATATGAAGTTGGATTCCTCGCTGTCTGAGTCTGAGCGCCCATCATTGTTCAGCGAGCCGTAGTTTGTCTCAGGACCGTGAACGACGATGTTGATGTCCGGCTGGGGCGCGCGTTCGACATCCAGATACGCGGGGTCTTTGCGGTCCGGTTCGTCTGATTTGGCGAGCAGGCTGACGCCATAGCTCCAGCGAAGCTGCGGAAGCAAACGGGTATGAATTAGGGAAGATAAGGGCTTATCGCGGTGACAGGCCACGTACCACCATGCCTAACGTGCTGAACAGAACAAGGTACGTCAGGGCGCGTCCGAGCATCGCATCTGCTTCGTCATCCTGGTCCCACCGGAGTGCAGAGACAGTGACGACTAGGCTCTGCATGAGGGCAATTGGCAGAGAATTGGAGTTCATGAACATGGAGGCGGCTATGGCAAAGTTCCTGCAAACCGTATTAGCGACTACTGCACAAACGGAAGATGAATGATTGAGTGTATGCGCACCTTTGCGACCGCTTCAGCCTGAACACCCTCCCTACGAGATTGGCTACAAGCCCTGATATAGCTGAGACGACCACGAAGAGAAAGGGGATGATCCATAGTTCCTGAAGTTTCGCTTTGCATAACATGTTAGAAGGCGTACACACGTCAAAAGACAAAGCGGGCCATACCTGGATTGAGAGAGAACGCGACTTTGGAGAAGAGAAGAGAAGGTGTGAAGATGAAGACGTTGAGTTTGTTAAGAGCCTAGAAGGAATGCAAGTCAAGGTCAGCAAGTCAAGCTGCAGATGGGGACGGAGACAGCATACGCGTTGCACATTCTTATCTATGATACCCTTGCGGGCAGCGATGTTGCCAGCCAAGCATATCAAGAAAACCTCAAGGATAGACTGCAGGACGCATACGAGCGTGTGGGGTTAGGGCATTTACAGAGCACAGGGGTGATACGGGATGCTCACGTTGATGACGGTACCTAGGAGGGGAAGAATAGGTGACCCATTTGTTAGCAACATGGGCGTTGGACGTTGAGAGTTGAAAGGAGCGGAAGCGAATGAGCCGGAACTCGAGGCCTAGGGGGAATATATGCGCAATGAAAGCCAAGCGCGAAGATTCTCAGAGAAGAGGAAAAGATAAAGGAGCACAGCTCTAACTGGTAACAGGGAGAACGTTGTGGTATGCTGCGCCGCGACGGGCAGGGCCAAGATGAAGACGTTTCAAATGAGCGCATCCTGTTGTAGTCAACAAGTGCGCTGAGGCTAATAAAAATGTAAGCGGGTTGTGAACATAAATCTTGGCGGGCGCTTTTGGCAAATCGACACACGCCATTTGGCTCGCGTCGAAATGCTGTGCTGGAACGTTTGTGGAACCGAGACTTGGCCGAGACTGCCGGCATCTGCCGAGCTCCGGCTTGTCGACGCTCCTATCCCACTTCATCACTTCGTCATCGCCTGTCATCGCATACACAAGTGCATCACACTCAACATCATCCTTCAACGTTCAACCAATCTGACGGGACTCTTTGTGCTCCGCCGTTTGTTTTTATCCACAATGAGGGAATGGGGCTGCTCTGGAAGATCCAACGAAGAGCTCATCAACAACTTGAGCACTCTCCGTGACATGGACGGCATCGGAACGATTCTTAGCTCTGAACGCGTAATAGCTGTGCGTCCTGCACCTGTTGTTCTGCCCAGCACATCTAGGCTGACAGCTTCCGATTCTTTTATTCGCTCCGATGAATGCCTGTCATCTAGGCGATGAAGAAGGCCGATAGGAAACATTATGTGCCCGATCCGAGTTCGGCATACGAGGATAGGCCCCAGTCTGTCTTGAACCAACAGCTTGATCGTGCATGTTCCCTTACTCTGTTTCAGGCCGATACCGTACGGTGATGGTGCAACTATCTCAGCACCGCATATGGTCTGCCATAGTCCCATTGCATAACACTTGGCAGCTCATGGGTCCCCGTAGCATGCTCACGCTGTGGAGCATCTCGCCGAGAAGCTTCAGCCCGGGGCTCGCGTTCTCGACGTTGGTTCCGGTTCTGGATATCTCTGCGCCGTTCTACACCACCTCGTCTCTCCAGACGGCGAGAAGAAAGGCAAAGTCGTTGGCATAGACCACATGCCAAGGCTTGTACAGTGGAGCGTGGAAAACCTTAAGAAAGACGGCCTCAAGAACGATACAGTATTCGTCGACACGACCAAGGGTGACGAAGTTAGTCCCGCTGATGGAAAGCTTACGATGGTCTGCGGTGATGGAAGACAAGGATACCCTCCCGGTGGTGCGTCTGGCCCGTTCGTTCAACCCTAACCTTCTCATTACACATGCCGTGTACCTTCACAGCGCCTTATGACGCTATCCACGTCGGTGCAGCTGCTCCGACGATGCCTCAAGCTCTCATTGACCAGCTCGCTAACGACGGTCGCATGTTTATTCCCGTTGGTCCTGAATATGGTCTACAACACATTGTCCAGGTGGACAAGAATGGTAGGGGCGAAGTAACGAAGCGGAACTTAATGGGTGTTGCTGTACGTCATTTGTGAATCTTGCTGAAAATAAGGTGCTGATCATTTCGCCTGCCTTGCCAGTATGTCGGACTGAAAGACAGGCCAGCCTAGTAATTTCATGATTGTATGATTTGTTTCCCCGATGTGAAGTAGTTCACTTACTTGACAGTACATGAGGGTGGGCAACTGCTGTAAGTGACGGCGCGCGGGAAAAAGGCATCGGTTACCTATTTAGGATGCATGCGCTGTGATACCTTTGAAGCCGCAGAACGCAGCTCGCTCGACAGTCCATAGTAGTGTTTAGCACATGTACTACGGTGTCAAAAATGTATGATAGGGTTAAGTACACCTTAATTCAGATTTTGTTGGGAGGAGGTCTGGTAATACCTCGAAATGGCCAAGTTAGAGAACAAATATACGTGTAATGGGGCGAATTTTGGGAAAATAATCCCAACAAAAGTTGCAATTTGGCTTAGAAACACCCAAAAGAGCTTATATTTCTACACATATCCTGCCCAAAAAGTCGTGGGCAAGCCGCCTTGGGGATGTACGCGCCAGTGGCTGTGCAGACGCGTCCCCGCTGCAATTAAACGCGTCCGACGCGTGCATATCTAGCTGTCGAGTACGCGTTTTTGGCCACACCTGGTGCGCCATTCACTCGATAACTTGTACGTATAATAT